TTGTCTTATACTAGCAGACTACCATATTTCCTTTATTAAAGGCCGGGCCTTGATTAAACACTGGGGTAGGGGGTGTCTGAAATCAATAAACGCCAGGTCTCACTAAAAAATCAGGTGCTGTATACGTTAAAAAAATTGTCCCTACGAAACAGAAGCATTTTTGTAAACTTTTAAACTATTGTATCGAAGATGGATCTGAGCACATCTTTAGTTGGAAATTGAAATTATAAACACCAGGCCTCAATTTAACATCAGTGAGAAAGAATGTCTGAAAGAAATATACTCATCCGCATTTTATTGAGGAAATACGGTAGCCTTACTTTCAAAGGCTGGTGGAATCACTGAGTGATGACTCCAGTTCTGTCGGCTGTGTCCCCATTATGTATGGAGTAATTAGACACCTCCTTTGTCTGCTGGGTGATAATAGTCTGTGCTGATTATGCAGCATGTTGTTAACATAGATATGATAGAGGGTCCTGATAGATTTTATTGACTAGCATCAAGCACCTAAAGTACTGTCGTAAGCATTAGATTGGGTAAAAAATGTTTTTCCTTTGAAACTACTGAAAGATGAAATACTACTTATCCTTAAAGTAACAAGACATAGCAAATGACTGCAAGTTGACACCCTCAGTTCCAAACAAATTTAGTGGATCACGGAAAGATTTGCAGAAAATCTAAATTACTGCAGAAATACTGAAAAATTGCGGAATTTGCCTTTTGTTATCAATCCATACACTAACTTGGATTTTGGGCCCTTGATTTTTCGAAAATTGAGTTTGTACTAATTGTTGAAGGGGAAGTTTACCACAGAATTTACTGCAGGACTTTGCAATTTTTGCTGCAGAATGTGTCTGGGACTGCAAGTTGTACATGCAATTTGCTGTGCAGAAATCTATGAATCCCGGTTTGCCCTAGTTATGGGTTTTACCAAACTGATAAACTAACTAACCATGCTCGCTCCTCACTAACTAACCATGCTCGCTCCTCACTCACTCACTCACTCACTCACTCACTCACTCACTCACTCACTCACTCACTCACTCACTCACTCACTCACTCACTCCACCTCCCCTTCAGGACCCTCAGTGAAAACATCACTGAACCGTTTAACTGTATCACTTCAAAATACACTGGGAGAAGAGATCAACCATATGCTAATATCACTAATTGTCATGTTGTGGCCTGATGTTGGTGATAAATACGAACTGATGGTGGTAAAGCCATGATTGACAACAGGCACTGAAAGCTTAGGATCAGACTTAACTGTTGTGTCATGTCTGTTCCATCAACAGACTTGCATAAATAAAGTTATGATTGACATGTGGTATGTTGTAGAATACACTGGATTGTTGTCCTGCACCATGACCGTGGAATATATTTATTTCATGAAAAATGATAATCTAGAAACGCATACAAAAGCAGTCTAGCCAGCTCAATCAGCATAGGGAATCTTTTTTTATTTTTAGAGTCAAGAAGGATATTGTATGATATAAGATTTCAGAGACTAAATGTTAATCTAACTGGATAGAGGTGGCAGACAATGAACACTATTTATTTGCATGAGGATTGTCATTGCTTCTGTATGAAAAAGTCCATGATATAACATCAATTTAGTTAAAAACTTACCTTGCAGGCTCATGCTATAGGCGATAACCCTTCAACTGCTAATATATCACACAATATATTTATATGCTGAAAGTTTCAAGTGGCTTCTTTGATGTGAAAGATAATAGACATTCTAAAAGGCAACTAAACGATAGAAATTTTATTTACTCTCTAATGTGTTGTTTTTAATTATTACTGAATCAAAGCTTTAAGGTCATTTGGTAACACCATCTGTTAGTGACCTAGGATACAGACAAGTCTTACACCAGTGTTTCACTGTACATGGTAGCTAATGACACAGGGGATTCCGGGGCTGTGTACATCCCCTGCCCAGTGCTTGCCCAGTGTTCCCACTTGATACTGCCAGCCCCGATGGACTGGCAACTCTGAAAATTACCAGTCCCGTCCAATTTTTGTCAGTTCAAAATTTGTAGAAATAGGAAAACTCATGAAATTTACCTTGTTTCACTTTTTTCAACGTTACTTTTAACCTCCATTTTGGTTCAAAATTGATATTTAACACAAGTAAAAGGAATGTTATTTCCTTGCATTAAAAATAGACAACAGGAAACCCATGACAAGCTGACGTCATTCAAAATATATACTTTGTTGATTATCGCAGTGTTTTTGTTCAACAGCAAAGATTTATGAGGTAGTTAATTTGCCGTCTAAAGGGACTGACACTCACATGAATTACCGGTCCAGGCCCAATTTTACCAGTAAAAAGATGGTAATTACTGGTAAACGGGAACACTGTTGAGACAGACACACACACAATACAGACACATTTACACACAGACACAGACACACACATACACAGACACATACACATACATACAAAGAGAGAGAGACACAGACACACATTTACACACAGACACATGTATACACATACACACATATACACAAACACATGCACACAGACACACACACACACACACACACATACAGAAAGACACCGAGCTAAACACATACACACATACAGAGAGAAGGGTCTCTCTCTCTCTCTCTCTCTCACACAAACACACACACACACACAGACATATACAGAAAGACACCGAGATAAAAACACACACATACACAGAGAGAGGGTCTCTCTCTCTCTCTCTCTCTCTCTCTCTTTCTCTCTCTCTCTCTCTCTCTCTCTCTCACACACACACACTTCTATCATTTTCCTACTCCTAGACTTTGGGCCCATTGTAATTAATTAGGTCGATACATCCTCTCAGTGACTCACTCAGACCAGACCAACTGACCCACTCCTGACATTGTGACTTGAATGTGTTGAAGCTTGTACAGTAGGTTAGGACTTACACAGGTATATAACTGAAAAGGGATATTTGTATTCTTTTCACTATTTATAAAAGTATTAATAACAAGAAACACTGTCATTTTGATCTCTGATATACCGGGGTATAAAATGACCTGACTATTAATCTGTCGCTACTGTCTGGTGTGCTGTAGGCTTAGATTATCAGAATTTGTGTTGGGCCTGTTCAGGAGATGTAAGTTATACCCAAATATCCCGAAAATGTCAGTAAAAATTCACAAATTGCTATTACAAATTTTGGCAATTCATGTTAATATAGTTATTTGCACAGGGGACACAGAGGAAGAGGATTTAATGCTTAGTTTTCCATTATTGCAATAGTACAATGTTAAAATAGTTTGAATTTAGGAAAATGACTTTTTTAAAAATACCTATTTTGAACAAAATATTGATTTTCTCCCTATTTCCCTACTAAGAGCACTTAATCTGGACTCCTAGATAATCCCTGGGTTGACATATCTCCTATCAGCCCTGTCTGTTGGCACAAGGAAAGAGCTTGACCATGTGTTATCGCCAGTGCAGATACCTGGTGGTGGGGCTACTCATCTTAAAGATATCTATAAACTCTGGAGACAAGCATGTGCTTCAACAAGATGGGACAAATACTGTTGCAGGATGGAAATTTGAATCGCAAGGATAAAATGGAGATAAGAAAAGATACTATTATTTTAGGATTAGAGTAGAACTATTTAACATGTCGCTTCAGGGTCAACCCGATAATGTTTCTAGGTTTGTCAGCACCATACCTGTTCTCGTGGGTTTCACCAAAGTGGTAAATGTGTTAGAACTGCATCACTTCAGGCTTTCCTGGGGCGGTCGGGTAGCCTGGTGGTTAAAGCGTTAGCTCATCACGCCGAAGACCCGGGTTCGATTCCCGACATGGGTACAATGTGTGAAGCCCATTTCTGGTGTCCCCCGCCATGATATTGCTGGAATATTGCTAAAAGCGGCGTAAAGTGGCTTTCCTCCCAGCCGAAATTTAACTGGAATACTGTTCAAAGTGGCATTTAACCCAAAACACTCTCACATGTCGCATCAATATGATCCATAAAATCTTTCACGATGTTCACTGATATTTATTTCTGTAATATGTTTTAATATCTCAATAGGCCTGTATCAATTGGAAAAACAATGACTGATGTGATATATTTTATCATACTTGATTTGCGGATCCACTTAACCTAAAATTGAGGTATGTTGAAAAAATGTGTGAAGCTTTTTATTGTATTGCCAAGTCTGATAATCACACTTGTGAAAAAAGCACAAATGCAAATTGTTTCCCTGCCTGACCCAGACAAGTGATACCTGCTCAAAGTATGTAACTAGGATGAATACTGTTCCCATCTTTTTTGTCATTCTGGGCACTGGGGTAGCCTAGTTGTTAAAGCATTTGCTTGTCATCCCAGGTTTGATTCCCATCATAGGTACAACATGTGAAGCCTATTTCTGGTGTCCAACGCCATGATATTGCTGGAAAATTGTTAAAAGTGGTGTTAAACCACACTCACTCACTCATTGGCTTTCAGAGTAGTGGGTGACTTTCTCCCATGTAAAAACTAAATCACGAAGCATGCTAAAATGACGAATAGAGATTCTGGTGGACAGGCTCACTGGTTGATTGCTTCTCTGATGATTCCTTTTTCTCAGATCCTAGACACATTTTTAAGCTGAATGTTTGTGTACATCTCTCAACCTTCGGTCATGCAGTTTTCAAGTTCATTGAGGTCGTAATAACTGGTGTTCCCGCTGCTGAAACATGTAACCAGTGTTTGAAATTCTGGGGAGTCCTTCTATCCTTGCAGTTTGTTGCTAAGGCAGTATGTAGTATTTTATGGGTATGGGTATTTTTTTTCCCCCAATCCTTGTTGCCCTGTGTGTCGGGCATGGGTAGTTTACGTTTCTTGGTTTGTCAGCACCATACTCATTCACATGGGTTTTGCCAAAGTGTTAAAAATCAAAGACCTGCATCACTGGCATTTTCCCACATCATGATATATCTGAAATACCTCTCAATGTGACATGGACCTCCACTCACTCACTCACTCACTCTTCTCTGTTGTTTCAGGCCATGAAGGAGATGCTGTATGAAGCTCAGGAACAAGCTCCATCACTGGAAGGTGAGTATACTCATTTACCCTTACTAACGCACATTCGTCACAACTCGCTCCTTTCCGTAACCAGCAAGCAGACTTGTCCCCCTATCGATGAATGTTATGTGCGAAAATACGACAAACCAATCAGAATGCGCGTGTGACTTCAAGGACTTTGGTCAAAGAATCCTTCAGGGATAATTTTTTATTTCACATATGTCTTGCATCTAAAAATATAACACAGATACAGTTAAATGTGTTCAATCATACTGTATAAATACTGTAAGTAGCATTTGGAATATATATTACATAGAGAAAATATATGTGAATCATTATGCAACAAGTTGACAATTCTTTTAACTATGCCTGTTTGCGCTTAGACAGAACCCATTTGCAAAAATGGCCACAAGAGGGGCACGAGTCGCTATTTGGCTTGGCCTGGAATAACAAGAGTTGGTTACAAATAACAAATGCGTTGTTGTAAACAGAAATGTACCCTGATCAAAACCTGATACAGGAATGTAGCCTTGCTGGCCAATGCACTGGTGCAGATGAATAAGTTAATTCAAATAAGTATGAAACAATTTTCGGTTTCACATCTAAGCAAAAACATTGCATATTGCAGGATGAGTTGTTGTTGGGAATGGTGACAGTGACGTCGAGATTTAATGGATGTTATCAGAAAAAATGATTAGAGCCAGTCCAAACACCCCAGTCAAGACATGATGAAATGAAGTCTTCCATTGAAAGCACTCATCCAGTTGTCCGAGGGCTTTCAGTTTCTAGTTGGGATACATTTCTGTGTACCTGGTGTCCATTTCACGACCACTACCCCCTTCAGCCCACATCCCCATTGTTCAAGAAACCAAGCATTGCTAGGCATATCATGACTTATCTCCTTGTCTTTTGTATGTTTACTGGTTAAGGTGAATTCTCCCACAGAGATCTGGTTAAAGTAGGTCCCCAGCAACCTGTTTGTCATATGAGACATCTATGTTGTATCAGGTGGTCAGGCTTGGGGACTTGCTGATTGCTTGTACCGTGTAGCAGTCACTGACACAACTTAGGAGTCTATCATCTCCAAAGCATCAGCTTTTAGATTTTATTGTTAAGATATGGACCATTATTAGCTGAGCTTACTTGACCGAACAGATTTTTACTAGACACAGGCTTTTGACTAGTGGTTAAAGTTGCAGACTGATGCAGGTTGTTGCATGTACCATCAACACTGGCTTCCTCGGACTCCAGTACTTTCAAAACTAAGTGCCCCCGACAGACGATTTTTGGAAAAAAATCTTTATTAAAAAAAACTTAGAATTTTTTAAAAAGTTCTTATTTTCTTAGGGGCGGTCGGGTAGCCTAGTGGTTAAAGCATTAGCTCGTCACGCCGAAGATCCGGGTTCAAATCCTGACATGGGTACAATGTGTGAAGCCCATTATGGTGTCCCCCCGCCGTGATATTGCTGGAATATTTCTAAAAGCGGCGTAAAACCAAACTCACTCACTCACTCACTCACTTATTTTCTTAAATTCAGAGGTATTTTAACATTACATGTGACCCACCACGAGATAAGGGACCTTATGGGTGAAAATCACATTTTGACCAATTCATTATTATCCCCCGCCGCGCGAAAGCGCGAAGCGGGGGATATAGTATTCACGACCGTCCGTACGTACGTCCGTACGTCCGTCCGTACGTCCGTCCGTAGGTCCCACCTGTTTGTTGCCGCGATATCTCAAGAACTAAACACTGGATTGTCTTCATATTTGGAACTATGGTGTATATACAGATTCCGCAGACACCAGTCGGTTTTGGTGACCTTGATCCCATTTTCAAGGTCACAGCAGACAAATCTGCTTTTAGAGTTGGAAAACGGTGTTGCCGCGATATCTCAAGAACTAAACACTGGATTGTCTTCATATTTGGAACTATGGTGTATATACAGACTCCGCAGACACCAGTCGGTTTTGGTGACCTTGATCCTATTTTCAAGGTCACAGCAGACAAATCTGCTTTTAGAGTTGGAAAACGGTGTTGCCGCGATATCTCAAGAACTAAACACTGGATTGTCTTCATATTTGGAACTATGGTGTATATACAGACTCCGCAGACACCAGTCGGTTTTGGTGACCTTGATCCCATTTTAAAGGTCACAGCAGGCAAATCTGCTTTTGGAGTTGGAAAACGGTGTTGCCGCGATATCTCAAGAACTAATCCCTGGATTGTCTTCATATTTGGAACTATAGTGTATATACAGACACCGCATACACCTGTCAGATTTGGTGACCTTGACCCCATTTTCAAGGTCACAGCAGGCAAATCTGTTTTTGGAGTTGGAAAACGGTGTTGTCACAATATCTCAAGAACTAATCGCTGGATTGTCTTCATATTTGGTACTATGGTGTACAGGCGGGGGATATTTCGTCACTCTGTGACAAATACTTGTATTTACAGTATTTTCGGCACACAAAAATACAATTCACAAGCTTCAATTCATATTTAGTACAAACATTTTGACTCATTTTCTGACTTTTAACTGCTTATGCAATAATAACTGTTTTTAGACATGATCTCTGAAAAATTGAAAGTAGATATGTATGCCGAAAGGATTTTAAATAATGATGTTATTACAATACAAGTTAACAAGAGAAAAATAAGATATTTTAGTTCAGTCTGCACACTTGGCGATCTTCACTAAAGTAAGTTGACGTCCAACGTCTTTATGATGTCACAGTACAATTGTATCCTACCACCCATAAGGTCCCTTTTCTCCTGGTGGGTCGGTCACATATTATGAGATTGCATTTAATGCATTGGTATAAAACTAAGCATGAAAACCTGTTTCGTCTTTACTGGTCCTGTGGAGGAGAATTTATGGATGTCAACGTCTTTATTATGAGGAATACAAGTTTTCAGAGTATATACTTACTCCTTCATCAGGTGAATAATAAAGAAGTTGACATCCATAAATTCTCTTCCTTATGTGTATCACTTCTAAATGCCATTCAACATGTTCAAAGACGTTATTGGTCCTGTTATCAGTGAAATACAGGTTACCTCTACAAAGTCATAAAATTAGTTATCATGGTTATTATCTTGAATTTGGAAATATACGATTCCAATTTGGGAACTTTTCATAACATTTGCTGCAAACTTGGGGTCTTATATCAGCCAGTAGTCTAGATATATCCTTGGATATAGCAGGAATATTTCTGACTGTCGTGTAAAACAACAACAACAACTACATAATTTATAACAAGATATCATCAATTATACCATTACAGCATCTCAAAACAATTACAACTCAACAACAAGAAACAACTTTCATTTCATGTCATTAACTCGATCTTTGGTTCCACAGATTACGACAACGCTAATAAAACATGTAAAATGTCATTTGAAAAGGACTTTTTTTATTCTGCCAATGCAAACTTGTATGTGCACTTCAAAAAGACAGGTTAAACTGCAATACATTTAAGGTTAAAATAAGTTAAATAATACAGTGCATGTGTAACATACTTTTTTAAAATCATCTGAAATAATTTATGCATTCCTCTAGTCTGTCTTACAGACCCTGATACAAATATATATCAAATACAGCCCATGCAAGTCTATAATGTTTGGCAAGTCTAGATCACTGCAGTATCTGAAAATGAAGAGAGTCACTGGGCTCCTTTTTATTATTGTCCCCCGCCGCGCGAAAGCGCGAAGCGGGGGATATAGTATTCACGACCGTCCGTACGTCCGTCCGTACGTCCGTCCGTACGTCCCACCTGTTTGTTGCCGCGATATCACAAGAACTAAACACTGGATTGTCTTCATATTTGGTACTAGGGTGTATATACGGACTCCGCAGACACCAGTCGGTTTTGGTGACCTTGACCCCATTTTCAAGGTCACAGCAGGCATATCTGCTTTTGGAGTTGGAAAACGGTGTTGCCGCGATATCTCAAGAACTAATCTCTGGATTGTCTTCATGTTTGGAACTATGGTGTATATACAGACACCGCAGACACCAGTCGGTTTTGGTGACCTTGACCCCATTTTCAAGGTCACAGCAGGTAAATCTGCTTTTGGAGTTGGAAAACGGTGTTGCCGCGATATCTCAAGAACTAATCGCAGGATTGTCTTCATGTTTGGAACTATGGTGTATATACAGACACCGCAGACACCAGTCGGTTTTGGTGACCTTGTCCCCATTTTCAAGGTCACAGCAGGCAAATCTGCTTTTGGAGTTGGAAAACGGTGTTGCCGCGATATCTCAAGAACTAATCGCAGGATTGTCTTCATGTTTGGAACTATGGTGTATATACAGACACCGCAGACACCAGTCGGTTTTGGTGACCTTGACCCCATTTTCAAGGTCACAGCAGGCAAATCTGCTTTTGGAGTTTGAAAACAGAGTTGCCGCGATATCTCAAGACCTAAATACTGGATTGTTTTCATATTTGGAACTATGGTGTATATACAGACTCCGCAGACAACAGTCGGTTTTGGTGACCTTGACCCCATTTTCAAGGTCACAGCAGGTAAATCTGCTTTTGGAGTTGGAAAACGGTGTTGCCGCGATATCTCAAGAACTAATCGCAGGATTGTCTTAATATTTGGAACTATGGTGTATATACAGACACCGCAGACACCAGTCGGTTTTGGTGACCTTGTCCCTATTTTCAAGGTCACAGCAGGCAAATCTGCTTTTGGAGTTGGAAAACGGTGTTGCCACAATATCTCAAGAACTAATCGCTGGATTGTCTTCATATTTGGTATTTTGGTGTATATACAGGCGGGGGACATTTCGTCACTTCTGTGACAAATACTTGTATTTTTATTAAGATAACTGAACAACGGTTTTTTTATGTACGATATGTTCATTTCAGAGACTAGATTTTAGTCTAGCATTCCTCCTATGCCCTGTATACTGACCAGGCGTTTAATCAGGATATTTTACCCTCCAAATCTGTAAGCCAAATGGTAACACTATGTCCAGTCTAACAGTTTTTTACCTGCCTGTGGGACTCATGCCATCAATCACTGGTTTGTCAGAACCAGATTCCCGTCCTGATTGACTGCCATGATATGGATGCAATATTGTTAAACAAGACATAATTGTTGTCAAAGACCAAAGATTGCCAGATTTGGAATGAATGTATTGTGTTCGTATAGACTTCTCAAAAGAAGTTAAAGAACACCTGATTTTTTTCATATGACTATAGCTCATCTGTCATGACATGACAGATTAACTACAGTCATGAAAACATCATGACAGATTAACTATAAAGGTGTTCTTTAACTTCTTTTGAATAGTACATAATCATGTTATACAGATTTGATGATGGTGAACTTTAATGTGAATGTGTTTTGTTGTAGTTGTGGATCAGAGTACCATCCAGAGATACTTTGCCCGCTTTGATGAGAAGTTCTTCCAGTTCTGTGACAAGGAGCTTGCCAAGATTAACACCTTCTTCTTAGGTAATCTGATTTCTCTTCACACTGTTGTCATTTCACCTCATTGGATTACAGACCAGTGAAGATCCGGGGTAGAATAGGTCTTCAGGCAACGATGCTTGTTGTAGGAGGCGACTGACGGGATCGGGTGGTCAGGCTCGCTGACTTGGTTGATGCATGTCATTTTATCCAAATTGTGTGGATCGATGTTCATGATGCCAGTCACTGGATTGTCTGGTCCAGACTCGATTATTTGCAGACCATCATCATATAGCTGGAATATTGCTGAGTGTGGCGTTAAACAACAAACAAAGTCATAGGATTACCAAATCAGCTATTTTATACTTATATTTTACAGCGTTAGCAATTGGCTCTAGTCCTATTCTCCTTGGCAAACTGGCCAATAGTTAAGGTATCCTAAGGATTAGTAGAAATTTGCTCTTTTTAAGGGTTTTGCTATTTGTTATCATTGTAAGGACTACTGGACTAAAACTTTTTTATCAGGGGATGTGCAGTAGCCTAGTGGTTATAGTGTTTGCTTGTCACGCCCAAGGCATAGGGTTCAATTCCCTACATGGGCATAATATTTGAAGCCCATGTCTGGTCTCCTGGGCTGGGAGTTTGCTATAGAGCAGCTTAAGACGATAGTTACTCACTTATTAATGATAATATGTTAAATAGTGTCATGGTCCGTTGTCTGACAATCCACAGGCCAGATGCTGGTTAACTTGAAGGCTTATTGTACATGTTTGGTAGGTTTTAAATATGGTTGATTTTGTTGTCATCATTGGTAATTATATAGCAACCTTGTGTGGATAGAATTGTATTACAAATATGTCATTCACTTTGCATGCAGGGAATAACATGTAATTTCCATAAATACCGTAAACTACATTTATAACAAACACACTTATAACGAACTGACAGATATAACAAAAAAAATTTTGGTCCCGGACATTTGCTGTATATGTGCTTATAACAAACTACGGTTATAACGAGCTAATATCAGGGGTCCCTTTGAGTTCATTATAACCGTAGTTTACTGTATATCAAAACTCTTTCAAATCCATGCCAGTTGTATATATTATTTACTTTTGTCTGAACTTCAAATTGAAGATAATCATGAAACGATTAAAGGTCAAGTCCTACGTCCTGGTTGCCCTGATTTTTTCTAGGTTTGTCAGCACCATAACCGTGCTCATGGGTTTCACCAACGTGCTGAACGGCGTAGACATGCATCACTTCTGGCTTTCCTCCCACATTAAGCTGAACACTGTGATGTAACTGGAATAGTGTTCAAAGCAGCTCTAAACCCAACTCCTTCACTCACTATATCCTACAAAACATACCTTTTCCTTTGACAGAGAAACTCTCTGAGGCCAACAGGAAGTATGCAAACCTCAAGTCTGAGCTGCAAGCGTACATGGAGCATGAGTTGAAAACATCTGGAAGCAGCAATCTACGTAGACGGCGGCCGAGCATTTACGCTCGCTTTAAGGATAAGGAGAGCGCGGGGATGACGCACATGAGGAAGCTCCACGACCTGAAGCTGGCATTCAGTGAGTTCTACCTGAGTCTCATTCTCCTGCAGAACTACCAGACTCTTAACTTCACCGGCTTCAGGAAGATCCTCAAGAAACATGACAAGGTAGGAGCAGTTGCAGGGAAATAGTATCAGTGATTGTTTTACTATTCAGGAAGATCCTCAAGAAACATGACAAGGTAGGAGCAGTTGCAGGGAAATAGTATCAGTGATTGTTTTACTATTCAGGAAGATCCTCAAGAAACATGACAAGGTAGGAGCAGTTGCAGGGAAATAGTATCAGTAATTGTTTTACCATTCAGGAAGGGAGGAATACAAGACCTATGACACAGCATGTCTAATTGTTGATGTTCTGGGAAGTTTATAGCAGTTAAATAACAGTTTACCACCATTTTTCCCCAGGCTTTCACCTGTTTTCATGGTTTATGGATGCAGTCTTTTCCTAATGACTGGTTTGTTACATCCTTGGTGATCTAGGGTACATAATGTCTCCATTCCGTTGTAATAAACTTATAAACACCCTGGACCCAATTGCCAGCATAGCTTTGTTTTGAGCCCAATTTGAAAGGCACAATACTAGAAATAGCCATCCAATCAAATTACCTTCATGAGCATGGGAAAATCTCTGCTACAATAGAGACAGGAGTGATTGATATGGGGACTCACTTTTGATACAAATCAATGGTGGAAAATGTTTCGAGGGTATTTGCCAGTTGTGTAGGTTTTGAAACTGGATAATGAAGGGAGTGTGACTTGTGTCCCGGCTCTTGTGTCACCCTGCTTGTGTTTGTGTCCAGCTGATGCAGACAAGCCGGGGCGTCGAGTGGAGGCAGACCCACGTGGAGTCGGCCCCCTTCTACACCAACAAGGAGGTGGACCATCTCATCAAGGACACAGAGGTAGGCAGGCGTCACGCTGGGGGTGTCGGGGGAGGTTATCAAGGACACAGAGGTAGGCAGGCATCACTCTGGGAGTGTCAGGGGAGGTTATCAAGTGACACAGAGGTAGGCAGGCGTCACGCTGGGGGTGTCAGGGGAGGTAATCAAGGACACAGGTAGGCAGGCGTCATGCTGGGGGTGTCGGGAGGTAATCAATGACACAGAGGTAGGCAGGCGTCACGCTGGGGGTGTCAGGGGAAGTAATCAAGGACACAGAGGTAGGCAGGCGTCACGCTGGGGGTGTCAGGAGAGGTAATCAAGGACACAGAGGTAGGCAGGCGTCACGCTGGGGGTGTCAGGGGAGGTAATCCATGACACAGAGGTAGGCAGGCGTCACGCTGGGGGTGTCAGGGGAGGTAATCAAGGACACAGAGGTAGGCAGGCGTCACGCTGGGGGTGTCGGGAGGTAATCAAGGACACAGAGGTAGGCAGGTGTCACGCTGGGGGTGTCAGGGGAGGTAATCAAGGACACAGAGGTAGGCAGGCGTCACGCTGGGGGTGTCGGGAGGTAATCAAGGACTCAGAGGTAGGCAGGTGTCACTCTGGGGGTGTCAGGGGAGGTTATCAAGGACACAGAGGTAGGCAGGCGTCACGCTTGGGGTGTCGGGAGGTAATCAAGGACACAGAGGTAGGCAGGTGTCACGCTGGGGGTGTCAGGGGAGGTAATCAAGGACACAGAGGTAGGCAGGTGTCACGCTGGGGGTATCAGGGGTGGAAATCAAGGACACACCGGTAGGCAGTCATCGGGGTGTCAGGGGAGGTCATGAAGGACACAGAGGTAGGCAGGCGTCATTTGGACGGTGTCAGGGGAGGTAATCAAGGACACAGAGGTAGTCAGGCTTCACGCTGGTGGTGTCGTTAGGTTATCAAGGACACAGAGGTAGGCAGGCGTCACACTGGGGGTGTCAGGGGAGGTAATCAAGGACACAGAGGTAGTCAGGCGTCACGCTGGGGGTGTCGTTAGGTTATCAAGGACACTGAGGTAGGCAGGCATCACACTGGGGGGTGTCAGGGGAGGTAATCCTCAGTGGTTCTGGCTTGTTCACATCAATCAGGAATCAGGATTATTACGAGATAGATGTACCATGTTTTCAATGTAGCCGGGTTACATGTTGATTTAGCTGCCCTGAATTGAATTTTGAACAAAACGTGCAGTTAGTTCTATTCTTCACTTGTCTTAGCAGTTTCAAATGTCAAATAAGCTGCTTCCATAAGAGTTGGTTATTATCACCCGCAACAATTTGGGCAGTGGATATAGGAACGTGGTTCATCTGTCCATCCATCCTTCCATTTTTCGGTCTGCTTCACAATGTGGACAATTTTTTTATTGACTATTGAAGTTAGAGAAATAAGATTTTACACACTGATGTAACTGATCATGATCTCAGATAAGTTAGAAAACTGTTTTGTTAAATGGCTCCATGCAACTCAGTGCATACTGCATGAAATGGGGACAAGTTTTTTCAGAAACTACTGAAGTTACATGGATGAAAGTTTGCATGCTCATCTAAGAGATACTTGTCAAGACTGAGTTTGAAAATTGGTTATGTTGTGGCCCAATCTCATTAAAATCAGATCTTAGTTCTCGTTATCGCTAAACAAAGATCTGAGGACATCCCATTACGGGTCACGTCAGAACGACCTTTCATCCAACCAATCAGAGCGGCGCTTACCAGATCATGAAAGTGACAGTCGGTATGTGTTTTCTAATCATGCAACCACGATATAACGGGGTATTCCGAACGACAGTTACGGGTTATATGATTATATACATACAATCTAGGCCATCTATAAGCCATTCCAGAATTTCTTCTTATCAGTTTTAATATTTTTAATCGATAATACATCAAAATATGTTTCAAACCATAGTCGCTAGTTTGAATTTAGTGTCGTAAAGCTCGAGAAAGCTGCCTTCTGATTAGCCAATGTTGATTTCTTGTTAGTCATTTCATTGGTCGGTCAAAATTCGCAAAATGTCGTTCTGACGTGACCTGTAATGGGATGTCATCAGATCTTTGGTTAGTGGTACCGACAACTAAGATCTGACTTTAATGAGATTGAGTAACGGCCCTTGCTCCATGCTTTTCAACTTAGTGCATACTGTGTGCAACGGAGACAAGTTTCCTCAGAAACTACTGAAGTTGCATGAATGAAAGTTTGCATGCGTATCTAAGAGATACTTGTCAAGACTGAGTTCAAAATTTGGTTAAAATAGAGTTGAGCTTTTATAATAGATTTTGAACCGATTGTGTGTGGTAATTTCACATTTAATAATTTTTTCTGATGACATAAAGTGTCCCAAGTGACTATCGTTTCTTAAGGCTTTATGGGACTCTTTTTTTATTATTTGTGTTCACTACTATATGAACAAACAAAATACTTATGTACCCCATGGTGGGGGACAGTGGTAACGCTGTTTTCTTGTTGTTCTACTGTTTTATGATGGAACATATCTCTATTTTCCTATATGTAACTACTGATTATCTGATAATTAATACAAATAAGTATCCATCAAACAATTCCAGCACTTTTAAAAAAATGGGTATGTCTTTGGTATGAAAACCTCCTTGCCATTTTTTTTTCATTGATCTTGATAAAGATTTTCAGTAGAATGTCCATGATCTCTGTTTTCTTTCCCATCCAACTCACACGAATAAGTCCTGCGCTTGTTTATCTTGAGAAATAATATGTTTGTCATAAAATATGAGAGCAGTGTTATTAAAACATTCAACATGATGTGTAATCATTTATAGTCAGTGTGGACCTTCAAGTTGATGTGGTTTTTGACTGAATGTAGTTTGAAGGGACAGATGTGTGACTTTTTTGGTAATGGTGGTATTGGGGATATGACAAGGGGATGTGTGTTCATCGTTCTGGGCTGTCTGTATCTGACATTGGTCTCAGTGTTATAACTAATCTCAGTGTTATAACTGTGTTTCGTGTGTCTCTCATTTAGCAAAGCGTGACGAGTGAGCTGGAAGGTGGAAACAGACAGAAGGCCATGAAGAGACTGAGAGTGCCGCCCCTTGGGGACCAGGTAATGTCTGGGATCAGATTCTTCTATAGCACTTTCAATATCAGCCTCTTGTCGAGTCCAAATGAAGAGTTAGACACTGGGAAACTCCCTATCATTCAACATTAGACACTTGTAGAACACCATATCAGAATCTACCACCCTTTCCTGAGTGAGTGAGTTTGGTTATACGCCGCTTTTAGGAATGTTCCAGCAATATCACAGTGGGGGGACACCAGAAATGGGCTTCACATATTGTACCCATGTTGGGAATCGAACCCGGGTCTTCGGCGTGACGAGCGAACGCTTTAACCACTAGGCTACCCGACCGCCCCTCACCCTTTCCTGAACATTTATTGGGGGAGGGGGAGGGGCACAGGTGGCCCAGTCATCTAAGGCGCCTTAATCTGCTGTTCAGAGTAGGTTTGAATCCCTGTTTGCCCCAATTGTGTTTTCAGGTTGCGTCCCTTGGGCATGCCAGAAACCTATGATTGTGAGTTCGAATGCCGGTTCGCCCTGATTATGTTTCTAGGTTTGTCAGCACCATACCCATGCTTATGTGTTTCACCAAAGTGGTAAACGTCTGAGACCTGCATCACTTGATGCTTTCCTCCATCATTAAGCTGACATGCCATGCTATAACGGAAATACTGTTCAAAGCCGCATTGAACCAAACTCACTCCCTCCCTCAACTTTTCTTGATTTCTATCTAAACACCCCAAAGCTTTTCTTCATACAAGAAAAAAGATACCTCATGAAAAATGATTGCAGTTACCGTATTCGACGTAATTAGCGCCCCGCTCTAATAAGCGCCCATGGCGATATTTGCTAATATATTGGCTTGTGAACAATCCTAATTAGCACCCCTTCCGATTGATCAATGTACACAAGACTTATTTATTCATGTAATATATGCACTCGTGTGTTATATGCACCCTTAATTATGGGCAATTAAATTCTGGAAAAATATATCTGTCGTATATAAACATTTCAGGCTGTTAGCATAAACCACGAAATCTACGATCTTTCAACTGTTTTTTTTCACCAAAATGATATTCCAATAAGAGCCCCCAATTTCTAATTTTGAGAGTGCCCTTGGCGCTTAATACGTCAAAATACAGTGTTTCATATTTCCTTTTTTATCCTGAACAGAATGTGACATCTTGTGCTTCTGTTTGCAGCAAAATCCGTGGACCAACTTCAAAGTGGGATTGTTTCTGGGCATGTTTTCAATCCTCATCATTGTCGTCATCCTTGCAGGTGGGTACATTGTACAGGTAGTCGACCCGTGAAGATCCGGGGTAGAATAGGTCTTCAGCAACCAATGCTTGCCGTAAAAGGCAACTATGCTTGTCGGAAGAGGCGACGAACGAGATCCGGTGGTCAGGCTCGCTGACTTGGTTGATGCAAGTCATCGATCCCAATTCTGTGGATCGATGCTCATGATGTCAATCACTGTATTGTCTGGTCCAGACTCGTGGCAGGAGAGGGCCAGTGGGGTAGCCAGGTGGCTAGCGTGTTTGCATATCACGTTGAAGATTGCCCCCAAGCATGCAATGTGTTCAGTCCACTTGGTGTGTCCCCAGCTGTGATATTGCTGAAATAGTGTTAAAAGCAACCTAAAACTATACTCTCTTCCACTTATCTGTTCATTATTAGCAGTTTAAGAAAGGCCTGCATGGAAGCAGTTGTAGATCTATTTCAAACATGTCCCCAACAATATTGTGAGCGTAACCTGCCACTCTTCTTAAAAAAGACCACATGACAATAAAATGAAAACAGTTCTCACAGGGAGAAACTGAATTGCCTTCATTCCAAGTTCCATCCCAAAATAATGATTCAGTTAGTGATAAAAAAAAAATCATTTATGCAGGTATAAATGTAAAAAATGGTGCACATACTGTGTACCTCGACATCAGCAGCGTCTTTCGACACAATAATACAACACAAGCCCTGCCCGTTTAGTCATCTACCAATCAAAAAACAAAAGTTTGTTAGTGGGCGTAGCTTTTTTTTTATATATATTTTTTATGGAAACATAAGCTGCCTGGTTATTGAGTGAGTGAGTGAGTGAGTGAGTGAGTGAGTATGGTGTTACACCGCTTTTAGCATTATTCCAGCAATATCACGACAGGGGACACCAGAAATGGGCTTCACACATTGTACCCACACTGTACCCACATTGTACCCATTCGGGTCTTCAGCGTGACTAGCGAATGCTTTAACCACTAGGCTACCCGACCACCCCTGCTTGGTTAGCCAATCAAATGCCACAGAATCACTTGCAATATATTTGTCGGGTGTTCACCCCAGCTGACTCTGTGGTTGTGTCTCGGCTGCAGCTGTGTTCACGGACCACCATGCGGACTGGGAGCCAGCGCTGCGCATGTACCGCGGGATGTTCCTGCTCATCTTCATCCTCTTCCTCCTGGGGGTCAACACGTACGGCTGGAGGTCATCCGGGGTCAACCATGTGCTCATCTTCGAGATCGACCCACGCCATCATCTGACACATGCTCAGTTGCTAGAGGTAGTTACCATAGGAACAGCTCTACAGTAAATAATAATGAACTGACAGATATAACAAAATGATTTTCTGGGGTCCCGTACATTTGCTGTATATTCTGTACATGTGCTTACAACGAACTACAGTTATAATGAACTAAAATCACTGGTCTCTTTAGTTCGTTATAACCGTAGTTTACTGTATTTATTTTCTGAACAGGTGTTTATGTAACTAGGTAGTTTGTTGCATTATATGTAGAAATAATGTTCGACTATGACCATGAGTTGTTTATTTCTTATATGAGATATCAACATTATTGGCAGCCTCTTTAAGGATGTAAATAGATGTATTAGCTTTAAAAATATTTACCCGTATTTAAATAATGAAGACTGCCAGAATACAATACGACCTGGGCAATGTCTGACAAATTTATTTATGAACAGTGGTCGTTTGGGTGGGGGGGGAAGGAGTTTTATATTTCACAGATATTCTGACAATTTTCATGTCCATCATCTGTACCTATTCTCTCAATGCCTATTGTCAAATCTCTCCCATTTTGGGTACGATTATTTGGCCAGTTCAGCGATACACTGTCACTTTATGTCATCTGAACCAAAGCCTGACTTAAGTAATTTTTTTTTTTTTTTTAGGACTGACATTGTCATATCTTATCTTTCTTAAAATGACAATGAGTCATATATGGAGTAACATACACAATAACCATCTCAAAGATTGGAATAACAGACAATATGTTCTCTGTGAGTGAGTGCTGTGAGTACCTTGCCCAAGGCTTCGGTCTTACACCTTTCAAACACCCAGTGGCGTCCTGGGTTAGAATTTGTCCCCAGCAATCTATGCTGAGGTGACTTAAAGGATAGGGTGGTCAGACTCGGGTACTTCGTTGATGGCGTGTCATCGTACCCCAACAGCGTGGGATGTTGCTCACAATATCAACCACTGGTTTTTCTGGTCCAGACTTATAGACTGGCCGTCATACAGCTGGAATGTTGCTTAGTACACAAACACACACTAACACCATTCCTTCCCTCGGGACAGATAATGTTGTCCTATGAGTATCATACAATTTTAGAATATTCCTTCATTTACTGAATCTGTTCTCCAGCTCGCATCATTCCTGGCCGTGGTGTGGGCGTTGAGTGTGCTGTGCTACCTGTTCAGCCCCACCGTCTCCATCCCGTCGATGGTGTTCCCGCTGTCCATGGCGGGGATGTTGATGCTGTTCCTCATCAACCCCTTCAAGATCTTCTACTATCGAGCCCGCATGTGGCTCCTCCGGGTACTGGTGCGTAGCTGTCTTTATTGGGAAGAATATGTTTTAATAGTATTATTGTCTTTGATTGGCATTTAGAAGTTCTAGTTCAGAGAGGGGGGCGGTCGGGTAGCCTAGTGGTTAAAGCGTTCGCTCGTCACGCCGAAGACCCGGGTTCGATTCCCGACATGGGTACAATGTGTGAAGCCCATTTCTGGTGTCCCCCGCCGTGATATTGCTGGAATATTGCTAAAAGCGGCGTAAAATCATACTCACTCACTCACTCACTCTAGTTCAGAGACACAAGATGTACAGGTTTCATCTTCTGTATTGTTTAGAACTTTTCAAGGGTACATGTTGCCCCATTGTCAGGTGAATTAACCTAATGAAGGTGAAAGTAATAGAAACATACTGTATCAAGTATACTCGGACCCCGTGGTACCGCGGCATTCATGGTATCGTGGCATTTGCGATTTCCAGTAGTTCACGAGGGACACGCCTATTACCGGCAGTCTATTAATCAGTTACCAGGAAGTGCTCGCTTCGTAAACAATTTCAATTTCCACGGAATGCTCCGTCTGCTGTAAGTAAGGAGTTATTAACGTGTTGATATTTACTTCTGGCATCTCTTTAATATTGCCTTACCCCCGATTATCAATGGACAACGATATAACACGCAGTTTCCCAAGTAAACTTTCTCTATCGACCTGAACTAGATCATCTGAATATTCTTGGCAACTAATAAGGAAACGGAAGTTACATTGTCCTCACATTTTTTTCCTGTTCTGTGGCCAGAAACTATAACAAGATCATAAGGGCCATAATGCCATACTTAGAAATACATTCTTCACTAGTAGCCAAATGATAAATACATACTTTTGGCATACTAGGAGTGCTGTTTTTACTAATGGACCTAATGAACTTTTATCAGTAAAACATGTATAGTTAGATAAAACAAAATGCGTCTGATAAAAAGAACATGAATAATCATGAAGGTTAGGAGTGCATTTTGTTCCATTTAGCGTACATAACAAGAAACGCGATACCCCGAGGTTGCAGGCAATTCAGAAGTTGAAATCAACATACAGATATTGAGTCTATCACACTTACATGTTTTGGGGATGGGAAATTTAGGAACTGTATTATGAAAAAACATTGTACCGTTTTTTAGCGAGTGTCCAACTACCTGCTAGAGTAACTGACATATATGAAAATGGAATAAGAAAGAGTATGTGTAATTACTGTCACCTGTGCTTACTGGTTAACTGATAGCTTAGCTCTTGGATATTGTGGTTACAGACATGTGGGTTTATGTGGGAAACCATCTTCCTGAGGCAAGGGAGTTAACTGACTGTAAAAGTCCAGTTTCCACCCTTGCCAAGCTTGGCCGGAATTTCTGTGTTCGATCGTCATGCCACCAGTGGCTATTATGAGTTATGGCCCTTTTATGTCCCTCCTATTGACCAATCAGATTCCACCTCTCATATTACTTGCATTTGCTTCAAACAAAATTGCGGCACCAAGTGAAGAAGATCTGATCGATAATCAAGATCTATAATGTAATAAAATAGGTTTACTTCACAAAGTGCATCAAATCAGCTGAGCACCTTGACTAAAAACATGATAAAGATTTGGAAAATATCTGTTGACGCTAAGTTGATGATACACATACTTTGCAAATCCTGCAATTGACCGAAGTCTGCACTGCAGTTTACAAACCAGATGTTGATTTTGTAACGTGATTTGATTGGACTATGCAAAGACTTGTTAGTCAATCCCAGTTCGGCAAGGGTGGAAACTGGACTTTTATAGCCGGTTAACTCCCTTGCCTCGGGAAGATGGCGGGAAACAGCCAGGGATGTATCTAGGATTCAAACTACATGCCCTCAGAAGGCAAAGAGGGAAATATTGTTACTTAGTTCAAAAGTGTGTTTTTTTAAGTAATTATTTTCTTTATTTTAGAGGTATTTACACGAATGTAAAATTAAACCACTTCCGACTTATTGGTCCTGTTATCAGCGAAGTACAAGTCACCTTGACGAAGTCATCACATTACGTTCTCTGTTCTGTGTTTCAGTTCCGTATCTTCACTGCTCCGTTCCACCATGTGGGCTTCGCAGACTTTTGGCTGGCTGATCAGCTCAACAGCCTGGCCACCGTGCTGCTTGACTTCGAATACCTCATCTGCTACTTCGCCTTTGAGGTGGAGTGGCTGGGCAACGATACAGGTGAGATGATGTCAATATTGCTCTCCCTTGAGGATTCCGGGTCAGAATTGGTCCCCAGTAACCTATGCTTGTCGTAAGAGGCGACTTAATGGATCGGCACAGTCGTTTAAGGCACTGAATTCCCTGTGCAGAGTTGCTTCCCTTAGGTGTGCCAGAAACCTCTGACTGTAGGTTTGACTCCCAGGTTCATCCTGATTATGTTCCTGGGTTTGTCAGCACCATGGTGGGTTTCACCAAAGTGCATCTTTTCCATCCACGTCAACCTGTCATGAAATACATAAAATACTTTTCAAAGAAACAATTAAGCACTCACTCATTCACTGTTCTTGCTACAGAGTTTATTGTTGTCCTTCCACTTCTCCAGAGAAGGTGTGCACCAAGAGTATCTATGGTATCCGTGCGGTGGTTGGTTGTCTTCCTGCCTGGTTCCGATTTGCTCAGTGCCTTCGGCGTTACCGTGACACCAAGCTCCTGTTCCCCCACGTGGTCAACGCGGGGAAGTACTCCACCACCTTCTTCGTCATGCTCTTCTCCACACTGTACAAGATACATAGAGGTAGGTGAGAGGGAGGTGCTGTTTGTTGTTTCTATTGGTTGTGGAAGCTTATTCTACTCCGGCTTATGTTGTTGTTTGATGTTTCGAGAGGAGTGCCGACAGAACAGCGTGTTCTTTTACTTGTGGGTTGTGGAGGCTCCTGCTGATCCTGCTGATGTTGTTTGTTTGTTGTTTCTAGAGGAGTACCGACAGAACAGCGTGTTCTACTTCCTGTGGGTTGTGGTGGCTCCTGCTGATCCTGCTGATGTTGTTTGTTTGTTGTTTCTAGAGGAGTGCCGACAGAACAGCGTGTTCTACTTCCTGTGGGTTGTGGTGGCTCCTGCTGATCCTGCTGATGTTGTTTGTTTGTTGTTTCTAGAGGAGTGCCGACAGAACAGCGTGTTCTTCTACTTCCTGTGGGTTGTGGTGGCTCCTGCTGATCCTGCTGATGTTGTTTGTTTGTTGTTTCTAGAGGAGTGCCGACAGAACAGCGTGTTCTACTTCCTGTGGGTTGTGGTGGCTCCTGCTAATCTGGCTGATGTTGTTTGTTTGTTGTTTCTAGAGGAGTACCGACAGAACAGCATGTTCTACTTCCTGTGGGTTGTGATGGCTCCTGCTAATCCGGCTGATGTTGTTTGTTTGTTGTTTCTAGAGGAGTACCGACAGAACAGCATGTTCTACTTCCTGTGGGTTGTGATGGCTCCTGCTAATCCGGCTGATGTTGTTTGTTTGTTGTTTCTAGAGGAGTACCGACAGAACAGCGTGTTCTTCTACTTCCTGTGGGTTGTGATGGCTCCTGCTAATCCGGCTGATGTTGTTTGTTTGTTGTTTCTAGAGGAGTACAGCGAGGATTACCGACAGAACAGTGTGTTCTTCTACTTGTGGTTGGTGGCGGCAGTGGCTAGCTCTTGCTACACCTACACCTGGGACATCAAGATGGACTGGGGACTGTTTGACAAAAATGCTGGTGAAAACAAATTTCTCAGGGAGGAAATTGTCTATGCTTTTAAGGTAAGATATCCAGTGTGTCTTCAAGACTAAATCTAGATGTAAGAGGATATATTCCCCGTAGGGAGTATGTATTTGGGAGTAGGACTTGGCTCACCGTGTGTCATCATACCCTTGTGGGGTGTTGGGTGTGGACCAATGCTCATGCTTTCAATTACTGGTTTGACTGGTCCAAATTTTTATTACTTTCAGGCTGCGATGATATAGCTTAGATAAGACTGACTCTAGTGTTAAACAACCCCTGTGGGATAAGGTGAGGTGAGGTGAAAATGGGTTTAACGTTGCATACAAGATTATTGCACTTATATAGCGATGCCTGCGTGCAGCGTGTGTGCGTGCGTGCGTGCGTGCGTGGAAGGTGCCACTCAGTGGGAGGGGTGTGTCAGGTAGGGTTGATGGTTGCCATAGCTACAGAGTAGTTCATGAGCAGTGGAAGGTGCCACTCGGTGGGAGGGGTGTCCGTCTTGAGAACAGGAACAAGGAGCAAGCCATGTGGCTGTCCTGTTACCATGGTTAAGTTGGTTGGTTTGTTGTTTAACGCCGCACTCAGCAATATTCCAGCTATATGACGGCGGTCTGTAAATAATTGAGTCTGGACCAGGCAATCCAGTGATTAATACCATTAGCATCGATCCACGCCATTGGCATCGATGACATGCATCAACCAAGGCAGCAAGCCTGACCACCCGATCCCATTAGTCCCCTCTTATGACAAGCATAGTCGCCTTTTACGGCAAGCATGGGTTTCTGAAGACCTATTCTACCCCGGATCTTCACGGGTCCATGATTAAGAGAGGCACAAACAATTGATGATTTTCTCATAACACTGGATGTTGCTTCTGATACTGATGTTGGTTTTGTTTCAGGCGTACTACTACTTTGCAATTGTGGAAGATTTCATCCTCAGATTCACATGGTCGCTGTCTGTGTCTATAGGAGAGGGTCTCATTATTCACAACGAAATACTTAAAACAATACTTACATTGTTAGAGGTGTTCAGGTGGGTGTGTTACACAGAGCTGTGTGTTACACAGAGCTGTCTGTTATATTATAATGACAGCCAACAGGTCCTTGTCATGACTCTGATAGAGTTACAAATTTAGGAGGTACCTAGATTCAAATTCTTAAGGGTCAGCACACCACAAGGACCACCGGACACCCCTTAATCTAGAATGCTGCAGAGCCAGCAGGACTATACATCATAAGAACCCTTTTGGTACGCTATTAGTACAAATTCAAACCTGAGGAAATCTGAAGAAAATTGTTATCAAAATTGTAGAAAGTGATTATCAGCTTTGAAAGCTTTTAATTTTTCTTGGCCCAAAAGGCTAGTATTATGATTTGTGTCCGACCATGAAAATTTATCAATGATCCTGTTATGTATATTGAAGAAATGACCTGATATTTTTTGTGTTTAAACGTACAGGCTAGTGTGCATGCTGTGTAAATTCACGTACACAATGAATGCATGCCGGTTTTTACGTTTATGCCTCCATAAATGCAAATACATATTGAACTCTATTCTTAGAAATAAATACATAAACAATAATGACTTCACAGACTGCTTATTGAATCATTAACACACAAAAACTGGTAGGCAACAGGCAATCTTTCAGCGCAATAATGTGACCAAAGCCCCACCCATTCTTTTTTCTGGCAATCTGGATACAGTAGTCTTCTAGTGGGTGTGCCCTATTAATTTTATAATAAGACGTTGAAGTAACGTTTGTTATGATATTATTCAATCGAACTGCTATCACCCCAAACTATGTCATATAATTTTAAGTCTTCAGTCTTGGTGTTATCAGGGCAGTGGGGTAGCTCGAATAACTGGGTTAGATTCCCCACATGGGTACGATGTGTAAAGCCCATTTCTGGTGTTCCCCTGCCGTGATATTGGTGGAATACTATTTCAAAGATTGGTAATTAATTTCATGATGCATTTTAGGTCTGAGATTGACATTCACATTAATTTAGTGATGCATAAATTTCATGATAGTATGTAGGCAATAACTTGAAGAAAGAATAGCAGTGATTATATTCGATTTTCATGTCCAAAACAGTTATAAGAAAACATGTACAAAAAATAACTTTATATTTTGTTATTGAGGGGGCTGAAAACACACAATTAGTTCTCTGTCATGTTGATGATGCATTATTTTGCATTTCTAAAATTTTGTATTAATGATAATCTTCATGTAGGCGGTTTGTGTGGAATTTCTTCCGTCTGGAGAACGAGCATCTAAACAACTGTGGTCAGTTCCGAGCGGTCCGAGACATCTCCATTGGACCAATTGACTCGAGCAATGAGATGCAGATCGTGGAGATGATGGACGAACTCTATGGTGCTGACTCAAGGCGGTACGAGAAACGAGGAAAACTCCTCGCTAACAGGTGCTTTTACTAACTTAATGTTTCTCTAACTACTATGTGTGAGATTACAGACATTGTTAACTTCCTGTCCACAACTAGTTAACATCCACTTCGGATTTTATGAACAGGATTGTCCCATGCTTCTTGTAAGGTCTGACTAATGAGGATTTAGCAGTTACGATATGTGACCTGGCTGATTGTGTTTTTTCACACACCTGTTATCGAGAAACCCATTGAGAGAAACCCATTGAGGTAGCTGGTATCAAACAAATATGTGAGATCGAATTCCAGGTCCGTGATTGGCTGCTCCTACTGACCTAAGGTCAGATTATGACAGACTACTTTCCTGATTGTAATTCATAGATAAGTTTCTCATGGTTCATGCAAATTCACGAAAAAGTTTACGTTTAATAGTGTTTAATAAATGCTCTTTGATCTTATCTAATTTGCATTATCATCATTGTAGACCCGTGGACATCCGGGGTAGAACAGGTCTTCAGCAACCCATGCTTGCCGTAAAAGGCGACTTTGCTTGTTGTAAGAGGCGACTAACAGGATCGGGTGGTCAGGCTCGTTGACTTGGTTGATACATGTCATCATATCCCAATTGCGTGGATCGATGCTCATGATGTCAATCACTGGATTGTCTGGTCCAGATTTTTTTACAGACCGCCGTCATATAGACGTTATATTGCTGAGTGCGGCGTTAAACAACAAACAAACAAACAAATATCATCATTGTGATCATGAGAATAGACAAAATATCCATCGATTCAATGCTAAAGGTTTGTTGTTTTAGGTTGTGTAAGAAACAGATTATTACCTGTCTGTCAAATAAAACATTTATCTTACACAACTCCCTTTCATTTGTTAGATTTCTTTTGAAACAACTCTTAAGATAAATGGTTTCTGACTTGTGGGGTAATCACTGTCACAGCACCCTGATGACTTGGATGTTTGCTTATGCTGTCAAGCACTGGTTTTGCCTGACCAACATGTATAGCATGGCTATTGAATGTGGCGTAAAACAACATTCACTTACTGACTCTTACTACTGTGTTGTGAGATCAGACATTGTGAACGTGATGTTCACCATAACATCAACTTACAGTAAGGCTAAAAAACCTAATAGTCTTGGTTCTCAGGCACCGCCGCATCATCATAAAGTCTGCCGCACGTTTCGTTTTTATTTACTTTTTAAAAAAACAACAATAAAACAAAACATTCCTGATACTTAAAAACAATGGCATCCAAGTTACTTCCCTTTACCTGCTCACTGCTTTGCTGCACATCTTGTGTTAGGATCATGGCGGCAATTGGAGAGAAAAAAACATCGCCTGCCTGCACTAGAGTCATTTCCTGAGAACCAATTCTTTTATTTTTTGAAGCCTAACACTACTGATACAAGTGTCCAATGTTCTATTGTTCCTGCTGACTTTCATTCATCAATGTCTACTAAAAACATTAACAGTATACTGACCCTGATTTTTAAAAATTACATAACCATTTCAGGTGAGCTTCAGAATCTATGGCCACTAAATTAATGACGTTTCCTGTCCGTTTCCCGCTTTGATCTCTGTATGGATATTCTGTGTCACACTTTCGACAATGAAATGTCTGTTCTTGTTAATCATAATACAGCCTAATTTTCGTTGGCTTTAGCCGTTATTCAAAATTACTTTGTTTTGTTTTTTGGCAACAAAGACTGCTGACCCCTCAACTACTGTGGGTTAATATATTTTGCATCATCAACATGATTAAGATTGCTTTGTGTAATAAGTTCCCATGGTTTCATTCCTCAAAGCAATCTTCGCCTTCAGAGGTCGTCTTCGGGTGTTACTTTCACAAAAGTCTAAGGTGTAGGCTTGGTGAAACAAAGTCCTGGGGCAGTGAAATGTTTACAGAGCAGTAAGATGTTTACTCATTGTGTATCACAAATACAGAGCAGTCACACAAACACAGGGCAGTAATAGGTTAACTCCAATATATGGTTTGTTTGTCATGATATTTTCCCGTTGCCAGAATCCTGTGATTGAAGGGTTGAATCCCTTGATACATTGAAAAAGTTTTTTGTTTGGGGTAGCAGTAGGCCCTGTCTTCAATCCCTAGGCAGAGTTGCGTCCCTTATGCATGCCAGAATCCTGTGATGGTAGGGTTGAATCCCTTGATACATTGAACAAGTTTTTTGTTTGGGGTAGCAGTGGGGCCTGTCTTCAATCCCTTGGCAGAGTTGTGTCCCTTATGCATGCCAGAATCCTGTGATTGTAGGGTTGAATCCCTTGATTCATTGAAAAAGTTTTTTGTTTGGGGTAGCTGTGGGCCCTGTCTTCAATCCCTAGGCAGAGTTGCATCCCTTATTCATGCCAGAATCCTGTGATTGTAGGGTTGAATCCCTTGATACATTGAAAACGTTTTTTGTTTGGAAACGCAGTTGGCCCTGTCTTCAATCCCTGCAGAGTCGCGTCACCTTATGCATGTTAGAATCATGTGGGTTCAGACCTTCATCAAATCAGGCTTTCCTCACTATTGACAACCTATAACCGAAAAACTACTCAAAGCAGCATTAAACCCAAATCACTTATTCATTGGTGGGGTAGCCTAGTGGTTAAAGCGTTGGCTCATCACACCTAAGACCCAGGTTCGATTCCCCACATGGATACAACATGTGAAGCCCATTTCTGGAGTCCCCAGCTGTGATATTGCTGGAATATTGCTAAAAGCCACTTAAAACCATACTCACACATTATTCAAAGCAGGATTTTATTTTATGTTCATAATGAGTTTATTTGTTTCCTTGTCCCCGCAGATCAAAGAAAGACACTCGCCTGTGGGTGGACGAGGATGAGGAGAGGACCCCCCTCATGCCCAAGATGAAGGGGTTGTGATCTACTCTCTGCTGAACCACATTATCGATGTCGGACTGAGTGGTGGAACAGCTCTTGGCCCACTTGCACAAACCGATCTTAGCACTAAGATTATCGTAAGCCTATGTTAAAGTATGTGAGTTACGATCATCTTAGCGCTAAGATCGCTTTGTTCAAGTGGGCCCAGGTCTACAGTGGTCATTCTGCTCCGAACACCCCAGTAGGAGGTACTGAGTCCAGAGGATATTTCTCAATGCTGACTGTGATGAAATACAAGACCAGCGAATGGTACACCTCAGACCTTGGAAGTTGACAGTTCTGTTGTTTATACATGAGCAGACTTGTACAATCAACTCTACAGTTTGATCTTACTTATGTTGACATATTATTTCTCTCATGTTTCAATTTGTGTGTCTCTCTCAAGATATTGAGAATCTGGAAGCTGCATCAACGTTTCTTTTACTTGCAGCTGTGTGTGAGGGGCGTTTTAGTTCCTGCAAATGTGTGTTTCAAGTGTCTTAATCTGTGTCCTATCATTTGATGAAGACCACAAAAGACACTGCTCACTGCTTTACAATTCATTGTTGGGAGAGGAGTTGTCTTTCTCTCATTTCAGGGATGGAAATTAACCAATAACATCTATGCGCCCAAATAGTGAAAACATGCTGCAATACGCCCCAAACTGTATGAATCAGATAAGATCTGGGGTAGAACAGGTCTTCAGCAACCCATGTTTGCTGTAAAAGGCGACTATGCTTGTTGTAAGAGGCGACTAACGGGATCGGGTCCCCAGGCTCGCTGACTTGGTTGATGCATGTCATCGTATGCCAGTTGCATAGATAGATGCTCATGATATCAGTCACTGGATTGTCTGATCCAAACTCGATTAAAAAACAAACAAACGAAAATGTATGAAATTCTACTCGCCCTGCATTAAGCAACTGGTCTGGGCTAGCGCTAATTTTCATCCCTGATAGCATTTGACAAATAGGACCAAGAACTAGTTTGTGAGGATGAGGTTTAAGTTGACGGACTTACTGATTGTGTTAGTGTACATGTTGTCTCGGTATCAGACCATCCTTTCTTAAAGGGGGAATATGCTCAGGCCAAATAACAGTCCTAGAAAGTGGATTTAAGTCTTTCAAGTACCACATGTTTGTCTGCTATGTTATGATGTGTATGGGGGCGGTCGGGTAGCCTAGTGGTTAAAGTGTTCGCTCGTCACGCCGACGACCCTGGTTCGATTCCCGACATGGGTACAATGTGTGAAGCCCATTTCCGGTGTCCCCCGCCGTGATATTGCTGGAATATTGCTAAAAGCGGCGTAAAACCATACTCACTCACTCACTCACTATGATGTGTATGAATGCATCAGTGAAGGACTATCAAGATTACACAGAGACAGTGTCTCAGTATCACACATGGCAGTAGGGGCGTTACAATACGATTACACAGTACAGTATGTATCGTGATACTTAATTTTCTCGATTACATGTGTGAAATTCTCCATGTTCAGTGCTGTCCTTTTGACAAGAGGTTGTAGCTATCGACCACGGCCCCGTTTCACAAAGCGATCAAAGCACTAAGGTGATCGTAACTCACATACTTTAACACAGACTTGCGACAATCGTAGCGTATGATCTCTAAGGTGAATGGTGGTCACTTTGTGTTAACTGATTATTTAATTAGGACTTGTTATTATGCAGTCAGTATTAGCATTTTGCTGGTTCGTCGTAAATGGTAAGCCCAAGCAGTTATCAGGACGGGTCATTGCAAACCTTGGTAAATAGGACTTTGAAAATAAATACAAAATTTAATTATGAATCAATGCATGTGTAAGAGTATGATGAATGGATTTGGCGGGTGTAAATTCACAATGTTTCGGTGACTGGTGATGTCCTTACTGTTGTAACATTGGTCAGACGTATAGTCTGGAAGGTAATTTAAGGTACCGACGTTTCGTACAATATCTGAATAATTATTGGAAAATACCAGCCCGTGGAGGATAGTCCCTCTTTAAGACAAATAATGTTACGACCAGTGCGACTTATTGTCTCTATTTTTTCCTTTTCTAAGAAATGCTATGATCAATTTTGATGTCTCCTCTTTGTGTGTGACATATTGTCATGGAGTTGATGCTAGATGATGCTAATGAAGATGTCTCTGTCTTCCACATTGCTTTATTACAACACAGTGACTGTGCTCAGACTATTATCGTCCTTGTTCCAGCGTGAGGGTACTGGCTGGATAATCCCGGGTCGTGGTCGACACCGGATGTAGGCTCCCCTATCTCGACTCTTTAAAACAACACATAACTGATACACCTTGGTCAAAGGCCGACCCTACGATATTAACAACATACAGCCGATATAAATACCCCGGACATGTCAGAAGTGTTTTGATTCCATGCTTCACAGGCAAAGGCAGTTATTAAATCTATCTTGAAATAGCTAACATTAGTGACAGCAGATTTCTATGCACAATTAGTAGATAATATTGTATATTTTAGTTCAAAAGATCGTACTAACTTTGGACTAACTCCGAGAAGCTTAACAGTCAACACGCGTTGACCTGACCTTCCTCATTTGAATATGCCATATTTGGCATTTCCTGCTACTCATTTCATAGAAATATCAGATCACATGACAAGCTGGAGAAGTATGTTTTCAGGACAAGAAACCATGACCCTCACACCAATCACTTCGCATACGATTTCGCCAAATTATTGTTAATGTTATTGTAATATTGAATGAAATTTTGAATAAAATTAATAAAATATATTGCAAACATTAGTCCAGATAAACAATGAACAAATATTTTATAACCAGATATTATAATAATAGGATTAGATTGTGTACTTCAGTTGGGATTTGTTGACTGGAAATTCCAGTGTTACGTGATCGCAGTGATCAGCTGATAATGTTTTTGAGATGGGAAAACATTGTGTCATTGGAAAACTTGAGTTTGTTTAAAATTGAAAGTAAATTTTGGGAGCCATGCTTTACCGCGGGCTATAACCGAGTTAGCGCTATATTGAAGAGCGCAATAGAGAGGGAACACTGTATTTCAAATTCTCTTGACAGTCGTAAAGTAAATGTAATTGTTTAAGTCATGACAGCTGCATCACTTGGTGCAAGAGGACCCCAAGTAATATGTCTCATCCCTCCCCTTGCATCAATTTGGGTTGCCCACTGACAAGTCCACTTGTCGAGGACTTAGATGAGACAAATATCTCTCCCCTTTGTGTTGGCAGTAACATTCCTGTTAATGATATGGGTCGGTTGTCTTGTAAAAAGTAATAATTTTGTTTTTCAATATAAATCTGGACCCAAGATGTGTTTATTTCTTCTTTCATAAATATGTTTATTCTGTATAATGGCCATAGCCCATGAATACTACTCAAAAGAAGTTAAGGACCATGATTCTTTCATATTACAATTGTTAATCTGCCCTGAAATGAGAGATTACCTGTAGTAATATGAAAGAATTTGGTGATCCTTAACTTCTTTTGAGTAGTATACATTAAGCTGGGTTCATTGAGCGTACCATGTACAGCATGTATGACAAGTATTGAGATTGTATCATACCACAGCAAAGTTCTTTATAGCTACAAGTATTATGTATCGTACCACAGCAATAATTATAGCCTGCAGACGGGACGAAGCTTCAAATGATGGAGGTCACCCTTCTGTTAGGGACTGACTGAGTGATGCTGAGATTATAGCCAGAAGACGGGACGAAGCTTCAGATGATGCCCTGCTATAAAGAGCAAACTGTGTGAATGTACTGTCTATTGAGTGGTGGGAGCAGTTCTCAAATTCATTGTCATTTGACCAATTGCGTGGATCGATGCTCATGATATTAATCACTGTATTGTCTGGTCCAGACTCGATTATTTACAGACCGCCGTCATATAGCTGGAATATTGCTGAGTGCGGCGTTAAACAACAAACCAACCAACCAACATTGTCATTTGAACTTCGAGGGCTGTGAAGACATTGCTATAGCTGTGCCTGATTAGCCATGATGAATTTCCTCAAGCAAGGGTCAAAGGGAGAGAGACTTTGGAAGAGTGTGTACCTTATTCGACATAATAAGCGCCCAGGGCGCTCTCAAATTTAGAAATAGGGGGCTCTTATTCGAATATTATTTTGGTGAAGAGAAAAACAGAGTTGAAAGATAAATTTCGTGGTTTATGCTGACAGCCTGAAATGTTGATATACGACAAATATATTTTTCCAGAATTTAATTGCCCATAATTAAGGGTGCATGTAGCACACGAGTGCGTATTATACGCGAATAAATAAGTTTTTGTTACATTGATCAGTCGGAAGGGGTGCTACATGGGATTGTTCACTAGCCAATATATTATCAAATATCGCCGTGGACGCTTATTAGAGCGGGCGCTTATTACGTCGAATATGGTATATGTGATCATAATGTTGTTTTAAGGGATGTGAGTCACAATGATTCCTTCCAAAATTGCTATCATAGATGTGGCTGCGGAGACCCACTGGTATGTTAGAATCAACAAAAAGTTATAATATTTGTTTGCTCAAATTATGACATGTAAATTCTGCTATTAATAATATTGTCTAAAATCGATATTCGTCTTGTCTCCGTCTCTTGATATATACTGAACAGAAAAAGTTTGAGATAATGAAATATTTTTTAATATGAAATTATGTACCCAGTCTTCACTGCAAAAAAAATAATATAAATATATAAATATTCATGATGCCTAACCTTTTTTGTTCAGTATTGTTGATGGTCCGGATGAGTTGATAAGATTTTGCTGTTATTGTCCATGTTATTGCCTTGATATTTCTCCAGCCTATTGATAGTCATTTTGCCTAAACATGTCAACAGTACATGTATTTGGATGTGTGCAAGTTTTTATATATCACTGCTTTAAAAATTAAGGTGTATACTGTGACCCTTGACATTTGCTGTATAAATATGAATCTAGGGACCTTTTATAAGGGTCGTGACAAGGACTTTCATGCTAATTTGGAACACTGTATAATTATGTGTTATGTATATGTCTTATCCAAGAATGTTCATATTTGCTGTTGCTGGAGAATTATGGGCATCAAGGAAAGTTATATTTTAGACGTACTAGCACATGTGGTTTTGTGTCAGTCTAGCAAGGCAATCATATATAGGCTTCCTCTATGTGGCATTAAGAGGCCGTAGAAACAGGGTTGACGGGGGTATTTCATCTTCTTTATTCTTTCAGTGTTATGTTTTGGTATACAAGCTCGTACCCTTATAAAGCAAGTCACGTGATACTGATACAGTGATCCCTTGCTACAACACTACCTCGGAGATCCAAATAATCGATAAGTATGAATGACGATCAGATGATGACCAACACTCTCTTTTTTTCTCTTTTTTTGGGGGGGGAGAGTACACAAACAATAAGTTTACAGAATATAGTTCACATGCAATCTAAACTACATACAAGATTGCAAGTAGATGACCAACACCTGCTCAGATACAGTACTACCGCCCGTACTGAAATGTTGCATTAAAGAATAAAGAAGTGGAACTCTATCCGCCAATCCTGTCTTCATGAGGGGGCACGTGTGGCGAAGTCGTCTAAGATGCCACAATAGGCTGTGAAGAGTTACCTCCTCTTTGCATGCCAGGAACCTACGATCATGGCTTCAAATCCCGGTTCCCCTGATCATGTTTCTAGGTTTGTTAGCGCCATACCTGTGCTTGTGGGTTTCACCAAAGTGGTAAATGTCTAAGATCTGCCTCACTTAGGGCTTTTCTCCCACCATGGTATGACTGGAATACTGTTCAAAGCAGCTTTAAACCCAACTCACTCACACATGCCTTGGACATGTTGTGTGTGATAAATAGGAAGGCGTGACAAGCTGTGTATAAGGGACATTCTTTTGGGTCAATCCCCGGATTTGTAAATTGATGAGTTAACTGTGTGGACCTGCAGACTGCTTTATTTGTCAGTGATGTAAATATTATCAGGGTTCATTTCAACATCGTTATCATCCCGATAGACAAATTAGCTACACCATAGAACTTTGTATGTTGTAAGTATATCAGACATGTTAGAACTGTAATGGCTTACTTGATACTGTTTATGATACTGTTTGTTCATAAAACTGAGAAAATACGTTTAAATTTTGGGAAAATTATAAATTTTTCAGAAATCATTTAACTATCAGGTGATCAGGTTTCACTTTGAACTAACACTGTTGAGAAGCCAATGGCTTCCTGAAATATGAAACAAGGCTTTGAACATAGATTGTATTGTTAAATCTGACATCATGGACTCTCCCTTCATGTGAATTCAAGTCCTTGAATAATCATGGTTGTTGTTGAGGAGCTTTGCTCCTACTGGTGTATAATTTACAGTACATTTTGTGTTGTTATGACAAGATTGTATGTGATGTTCGTTGTATCATAGTTGAATGGTGTATTTTATTTCTTGTATTTTGATTATCAGGTCTGCATTTGTCAAAGATTTGTATTAAACCAATACAGCCCATGCAAGTCTATAATGTTTGGCAAGTCTAGATTACAGAAAAGGAACAAAGCCTCTGGGCTCCTTTTTATTATATTTTATAACTATAATTTACCAACTGTTTTTTCTGTAAAATATGTTCATTTCAGAGACTAGATGTTAGTCTACATGTCCTTTTGAGATGAGGAATCTGTATTTACTGTGATATAAACATACAGTTGCACAAACAACAGCACAGTTCCTTCATATCCTGATAAGGTACTATTACAAGTCCTCTATTTGTCCAAGAGCACAGCCAAATACTTGTGTTCCATGGAAAGGATATCAGCACACACAGACCAGCATGTGCAAACATCACTTTTCTCTCAAGGCTGAGGAACCCACGACACAGGCCTCTGTAATTCTTCATGTACATGCAGCTCGAGTAACATTAACGTTTGTGTTTGGAGACATAGTTATGTTATTCTTCTACATGTGACCCAAATGATGAACACCCATTGGATGAGAGCGTTTGCTCTGAGAAATGTTCACTGTCAGCAATTTCAAGATATAACGATGACTTTGTTCCAAAGCATGGAAGGCAGATTGTACATTGTCTTCATGTGGGTGGTTGAAAGTTAGATTTATCTTGTCAGCTGTTAGTACTGAGCAATATGTGCTAGCTAGGAGTTCAACAACACTGACATCTTTTTATCATTTGTGTTTTGTTTTCAAGAAACAGTTTACATTTTTATCTGTCATCGCATTCATTGCATACCATTTTAACCTTTTGACAAGTATTGTCTGTACCCACTGAATTTAGATGTATTTATTTTAATTTTATATAATTGTATTTGTGAATTTATTTTGATCTTTGTTCATGATTTGCTCAGATGTTTCATTCAGTATACGGATTGCGGTGGTAGAAATTGGCACTAGTCCTATAGTCCTTGCCAAAGTGCCCAATAGTTAAGGACTAGTAGAAATTTGCCCTTATTAAGGGCTGCACTATATGTTATCATTATAAGGACTAGTGGACTAAAACTGTTAGTTTCTATTGCTGCAGATTGCCTTCCACAGTGTTTATGAAAGAATCAGGGTGGTATATTTTCAGCATCTTCAGTAGGAGACAGTAACATGACCATGTACAGATACTCTACATGCTGTATTTCATGGTTCTCCATGGGGAGAGTAAAACAACTCACAACGTTTAGTTCTCAGACAGACCACTATGACATCATAAGGTTCCACAGAAGTCCAAGAATGAAAGACTTGGTAGCCATGGCGACAGTGTGTGATAGACAAGCTGTAATGGTCAAGTGGTTTATTACTGAATTTCGCAACACTTTCTCTAAGTCATTGTTCGTCAGGGGGTTGCCAATGTTTGCATAAAATAATCTAATATTTGCATCAAATAATCTAATACTTGCATCATACATTTGCATAAAAAAATCTAACATTTGCTTTTCTAATATTTGCTTAAACTAATCTAATATTTGCTTAAACTAATCTAATATTTGCTTATGATAATCTTATATTTGCATCAAATAATCTAACATTTTTGGCAAATAATATGACATTTTTATCAAATAATCTAACATTTGCTTCATATAATCTAAAATTTGCTTTAAAATAATCTAATAGTTGCTTTAAATAATCTAACATGAAGATTTGTTCAACCCTGTGAAGATTTTTAATTTTGTGTATTTTACCTGTTACCTCTTGGCACAGAAACCAAGAACATCTGTACAATCTGTACATTTTTGGCAAATAATATGACATTTTTATCAAATAATCCAACATTTGCTTCACATAATCTAAAATTTGCTTAAAATAATCTAATAGTTGCTTTAAATAGTCTAACATGAAGATTTGTTCAACCCTGTGAAGATTTTTAATTTTGTGTATATTACCTGTTACCTCTTGGCACAGAAACCAAGAACATCTGTACAATCTTTCATTTTTGGCATATAATATGACATTTTTATCAAATAATCCAACATTTGCTTCATATAATCTAAAATTTGCTTAAAATAATCTAATATTTGCTTTAAATAGTCTAACATGAAGATTTGTTCAACCCTGTGAAGATTTTTTATTTTGTGTATATTACCTGTTACCTCTTGGCACAGAAACCAAGAACATCTGTACAGTAAGAACATGCCTCTGTCTGAATGGATCTCTACATGATCCACCCGTGCTTATTGTGTTCAGCAGTTTCAGATCTCTGGAACTTGCAGACTCAAGATCTGATTCTACCTGCTTACATTTCTCAACCAGATTCAGTTTTTCTCACTTAAACATATTATTCATTATTATGCTGCATATTGTGGGAATTAATTATGGATGTAATCAGTTCATACATCATTACCATGGTTACGATATTTTGAAACAGGAGTTATGGGAATACTTAGATGGCTGTACAGGGGTGAAGAGACACCTGCACCTAAAATTTTAAATTCCCCTCTTTTAACACATGTAGTTTCTGTTATAAGTTCGCAGATAACAAAGCCAACGGAAAGTACCAAAGGTTAATTGTGTCAAGACAAGAAAATGATCGAACACTTTTTTTTTAAAAGACTGACCAATCAAATATGAGACTGTGCCAAAAGCTTTTGTGTCTACTGCCCAAACTTTATTTTTTTACATTATTTTCAGTGAAATTTAGTCTCATGTGGTCTACTATAAGGTGATCTTACTAGACCAGAACCAGCTTCGGGATTAACATCACGTTTTAAGATTATTTCACTTACATAGAGACGTGCTTGTCTGTTTTTTGTGGGGGGCACGGGTGGCCCAGTCGTCTAAGGCGCCGCGATTCGCTGTGCAGAGTAGCGTCCCTTGGGCACGCCAGAAACCTGCATCACTTCGGGCTTTCCTCCCACATTAAGCTGACACGCCGCGATATAACTGGAATAATGTTAAAAGCAGCGTTAAATCCAAATCACTCACTCACTGTTTTTTGTGTGACTGCTTGTACTAGTCTGGACTAAGGCTGGTTTTATAGTGCTGGCACACTGAGTTATCATGCCACAGTTTCTCCGTTCACCCCACTCAGACACAGTATAGTTACTCCAAGCCAGTCTCCCTTAATGCAGAGCACCAGACAGTAACAAACACTGGCTTGGGACTAGTGGCTTAAAGTCACACTCTGAGATAGTTAGATGTTATTGCAAATAAAATATTTCTGAAGGGTGCAGCCTTTAGGTGTCATGCAGCCCAGGGCTTTGGATTTAATTATGTTGCTGAAATAGGTACTAGTGTAGGTCATCAATCAGACTGGTTGGAGTAAAATTAGACTGGTGTTCCATGTTTTGTGCATCGACACACTGTTGATTCAATGTGTGATAGATTTAGCCAATTCTTTGGCTTGGAGGTTTGGGTGAATAGAAATGAGATGAAAAACAGAAATTGAGCTTCAGATATTTATTTGGGATAAAGTAGTTTGGGTCGTTCGGTTCAGCAGGGATTAATAAAACAAAACATGTTTAAAGTGCAGGCAGTTTAAGGGGTACATGTACATTTTTTAACTTCCATCAGACAACATTGTTCTTTGCTCTGGGGTTTTCAATGGCCAGAAACTTGTACTTGTATCATTTTCCGGTTTAGAATTGGTCTTCAGCAACTCGTGCTTGTCGTAAAAAGCGACTAACGGGATCAGGTGGTCAGGCTTGCTGACTTGGTAGATGCATGTCATCGTATCCCAGTTGCGTAGATTACTGCTCATGATGTCAGTCACTGGATTATCTAGTAGACTCGATTCTTTACGGACTGCCATCATCATGTGTCTTTGTTCTCTGGTCAGTCGAATATGTAAAAAAAATAGTGAAGTATCGCCAAAGCCAACAATGAACCGTCATAGCTTACACTACCCAAGAAATCCTGTATCTGACAAATGTATTGAAACAGAAGATAAATAAATTGGGTCATGTACATTGTAGTGTTTCTTCAGAGAAAAAAGAAGGGAAATGCAATTGATTTTATCCCAATTGTTCTTGAATGTGATCGAGATGTTCAGTATTTCAAATATACAAAAGTGTTCCAAGAAATATGTGCCTTGAATGTTTCTTTGACCCAACATTATCATTGCCTTCATCAGTTGTCATAGTAACATTGTTCATATCATTGTATTGTCATCATTTACTCAGAAATGTACCTGTTGAAAGATTAATAAATTTTCTATAAAATTACTTCTTGTTGCTCTGTTTTTTAAGTCTCGCTTAGTAGACAGCTACAGTCTCAATATTGTGAATCCTAAAATTAATGTTGAAATGTGTGTCCGTTGCTCACATTATGGGTGTTAAGCAATTCAATTATAGCTCACCTGACTAAAAGTCAAGTGATGTTATGTAACAAATGTTATATTTGAGATAACACTTTGAGTAAAGTACAGATTCTCGTACTTTTTGGGGTTGAGTCCCATCTGGGATTCGAACCCACACTGCCAGAGTGGAGGCACCTAATCGCCAGCACACAAAGTCAGCGATCTGACCCAGTCAGCCACCGAGGCTTCCAGCATTGAGTCAGGTGGGAATAGTACTTTTAGCTATCGTGTTGTTGAAGTGTTGCTTCGAATCATAAAGTTTAACAAAATAAAGAGGCAATGTTTGAACGTAAAGCAGATTATTTATGTGAAACAGACCTAGCCTTGCACGCCATCTTGTCAAGTTTATTCAGGGACTACAACAATTTTAGCTACTAAAGATTGGTCTAGACCAATTGTAAGTTTCGATTGTAACTTACAATGATCTTAGCCTACAATCACTTTGTGCAAGTGGATGGCGATTGTAGCTGAAGCTACAAAGATTGCGATCTTAAGGATTTACAATAATTCTAGTGCCAAGATTGTTCTGTGCAAGTGGACCATGGTCACCATCACTAGATGCACTCAACATCATTGTCCCAACCCATGTTGCCAAAAATACTTTTTTCTTTCGATTACCAAAATAGGGTTGAACTGTCATTAAGTTAGTCTCCCCCGCCCAACAAAGTTGGCGGAGGATATAGAAACGGGCTCCGTCCGTCACGTTTCGTTTCGTTTCCGGAGCATAACTCAGAAACCGTTCAATATTTTTTCATGAAACTTTTCAGGTTTGTCAGGTACATGCTGAACTGGTGCCTTTTGCTATTTAATTTTTTTTCAGAAATTTGTATTTTTTACGTTTCCGTGGCAACAAGATGGTTCAAAACTCTTCTTTTTTTTTACAATTTCCATGACAAGTTCCACCTCGGTTAAAAAAGGTTAGGGTTTGTTTAGATTTAATTATGTCATAAATTCTGCAACAGGGGCGGGGGATATAGACACGTTAGTGGCAAACTCTTGTTACCTCTTAAGTCAGGTGAGCTTCAGTGCCCTGAGTCTATTTTTATTTGAACATATTGAAATTAACTGTCGCATCAGGTTCATTGTACATTCTTGATGTCATTTATTATACATGTATGCAGTGCTCGAGAGAAGCTGTGTATTTGCATAAAATATACATTAAATAGACGCAGACAAATCAAATCCTAGGGTATCAAATATGCAACAAAAACTATAAATACTCTATTGAAATAAAATTAATGTGTCTGTTATAACTATTAGATAAAACAATTGCGTATATTACAACTGTTAGATAAAATGATTGTGTGTCAGCAGATCTCCAAATTCACTTACCGACAGTTACATTTGGAAAAGCTTCTGCGACAAACATACTGATCGATGCCAATTGAAAATTCTATGTACATGTTGTATCTTAAACAGTCACTGATTGGTGATTGAAAAAAAGCCCCTTTCTAACAATGCTAGGTTTTGCAAACAAATTGCCCTCCCAGAGAGGGAGCCACAAGCAGACGCAGATGGGTATACTACTATTCATATAGTTTTAAATGATTTACAGGGATTGTTATGAAACAGGTTTTAAGTTAAACATACCATAATGTCAAGAAACAGGTGAGTAAAAAAAATTGAATACCCTCTAAAAATTGTTGTTACCCAATCAAAATCAACCCCCTGGCTAATATATCCAAAATTACCAAAAGTTTATATAGAGCTCTGGTATGTGCTGTAAAACTTTCAAAGGTTGGACCAGTAGCCATGTCACGATTTAAAGTACCTTATTTAAAGTACCTTTCCGAAATCAATGATTTGATTGAATGGTTTAATGTTGAACAGTGTTTGAATCAAATATAGCGTATGAGCTGCTTGTGGGAGACCAACGTTGGAGTTGGCCCAGCTGGGCCCTTTCCACAGAGCGATGCTAGTGCGGCAACAGTTGTCCATGGGAGTTGTGGGTGAGGTGAGGTGAGGTGAAATGGGGTTTAATGTGTCATTCAAGATCTTTGCACTCACACAGCAGTGTGTGTGTGCATGTGCACATGCCTGCATCTGCTTGATTGTACTTGTCAGGACGAATGCCGATTTAATAGAGCTCGCCCATTGGGAAACAAATTCACAGTTTAACCTGAATACCCCACTCAGACACAGAATACAGACTCTGAGCCGACCAGTCCTTGTTTGATCCCTTTAATGCCAAGTACCAGGCAGGGTAACAACAAGTACCATCTTATGGCGTCTTTTGATATGATCACAAGGCCGGGGATCAGATCACTGACTTTCCACTCTCAAGACAGATGCTCTATACACTACACCATGGAGGCGGTCTCTGTGGGAGTTATCATGACTTTGTCAAGTGAGTGAGTGAATATTATTAATGCTACAGTCGGCACCATTCCAGCTATGACAACAGCAGCCTGTAATTAATTGAATCCAGACCACATCACCCATACAAACAAACAATGATAACATAGCTTAAACATATTTAATGATTTTTCTGGAATAAGGTGCTTCTTATGAGTGAGATTGATAAGGTTTTCCGTTCACAACAGTTTCAAAGTAATAACATGGGCATTCAATATGATTCTAAACAACCAATATTTACAATGGATTATAACATATGAATACCTATTGTGTACCAGTACATTCCATAGCTTCATAGCTTCAACTCTTCTTGAAAACAAGAATCTTATATGGGATTTATAAATGAATGACAGCATGCATATTTTCTCACCATAAAGACAGGCCTATATTGATTACTTGTCTTACATACTGTCATGCCCAAAAGGACTTGAAGACAGGAGGGATAAAATATATAACATAGTCCCATGGCACAGTAGCTCATTTGGGTATGTAGTCAAGGGTTTGAAATTTTAACAGACAGCCACTTAACAGAATTTGCTGTCAGCATTGAAATCCAAATATTTTCTGCTTATATACTGAAGACTAAGAACTAAAGCTAAAAGCTAATGATTTGAACAAAATATGAGGTGAGGTATAATGTGGTTTAACATCGCGTTCACAATTATTGCAAATTATATAGCAACATGCATGCACGTGTGTGTGGGTGGCTGCTTGTAGTAGTCCGGACTAATGCCGATTTTATAGTGCTAGCCCACTGAGATACCATGCTTCATGGTGAGCGCCAGGAAGGGTAACAACAAATATCATTTTTTAAGGTCTTTTGGTATGATGTGGCCAGGCATTGAAAACCACAGACCGTCCGCTCTCCGGACTGACGCTTTACCACTAGACCATGGTGAGTGAGTGAGTGAGTGAGTATGGTTTTATGCCGCTTTAGGCAATATTCCAGCAATATCACAGCAGGGGACACCAGAATTGGTTTTCACACAGTGTACCCATGTCGGGAATTGAACCCGGGTCTTTGGTGTGATGAGCGAATGCTTTAACCACTAGGCTACCCCACCACTAGACCATAGAGGCGGTGAACAAAACATGATGTCATCAAAAAGGAGAAACATACATGCCAAAGTTCAGCTCCCTTAGTCTGTCTACTGTAGCATGTTTGGGGGGAAAAATGTTTACAGAGCCAAATATTCCTTTTGAGAATATCTAGAAGTATGGCCAAAACAAGGTCAAAATATTGCAAAAAAAAGGATCGAGAATATTTCATGACAGCTGGTACAAATCTGGCAGACAAATGTTCATAAATAACTTTTTCAATATGGCCGCCACGGTTGCTATATTAAGAAACAAGTTTCAAACCTCATGAACCTTTGGGGTGTCATCACTAGTGGGATGAAGCATGTGTAGTTTCAGCTTTATTGGTCCAGTGATTTCTGCGTAGACCTTTTGGGAGAATATAGGAGCATGACCAAAGTGCACTATTTATTACACACATACACAATTTCACTACATTCTGAAAGAAAATGGGTGAGTAATGGCCAGAAAAAGTTTCAGTTGTGGTTCTTGGATTCAAATTTATTAAACAAATTTGGGTGTCATCACTGTTGGGGACAAGCATGTTACGTTTCAGTGTCATTGGTCCTGTTGTATCTGAGAAGATGCTTTCAGTAAGATGAGCTAAATATCAATGTCAGACGAAACATTTTTTGTTTTGCCAATAACCATATTTTCTTCATTGTCTTTTTGGTGGGATTTGGGGGGAAGGGAAGAAGGGAGCATATAAAATGCCATTTTTTTGCTTATGGTGAAGTCTTCACATGAGCTAGTGGGAGAGAACAAACAGTCAAAATGTCATTGTAACAGTAAATTTTGAGGTTACAAGAAAAATGATTCTTTGCAATTACTGTTTTTGGGGTTTTTTTTGGAAATGGCCAAAAGGTGACAGGCCTATCTGTAAAACAACTGATTTTGTGACATCTGTAGATGATGGCGCCATCCTCACACAAGTGAGTGGGTGAATTGGGTTAATGCCACTTAGAACAAGTTTTCAGCTATATCACTGACTGTAAGCTTGATAGGGGAGGAAAGCCTGAAGTAATGCAGGTGTTTACCACTTTGGTGAAACCCACAGGCACGAATGTGGCGCTGACAAACCAAAAAATACAATTTGAGAGAATCTGGGTTTTTAACCCACGATCATAGGACTCTAGCATGCCAAAAAGACGAGCACTAGGCCTTTAGCTGAGACATGTAGTACAGGTGTCCATCCTCTTCAGGTCCGTCTCTCAGGAGGGACATCAGCTGTTTTGTAGACACTGTGTTAGTTCAGCTACTGTCTGTTGGACCGTTGACACAAACCAAGATGGCTGCCTGGATCCACGGAGCAGAGTTTGCACGTCAGTGCATGCTGTTTGTAAACTCTTGAGTATCTTGTGATGCTGTGTTTCCTGTAATAAGATGGAGTGAGCGAGTTGGGTTTTACACCGCTTTCACAACATGCAAGTAATATCACACAGGGAAACAACAGAAACAGACTCAAATGTGAGGACATATTGTGTTTATCAAAAATGTTCATACTGAAGATTTCAGTAATATTCTGTAGCATTCTCTTTCACACAATTAATTCCTGAAATTCTCGCAAAAGATTTTGATACGACTGATAACTGACGCGATAGGTTTGCTGAGGAAATCCAAATTAAGTATTTACAATATTTTTTTTTAAATACTGACTACAACTCCACTAGTTGTTTAAAATAAAACAAAGTACAAGCTTTCAGAATTAAACGAGACTGAAATAACTTTCATAAAATAGAAACTTGGAATTTCCACTGTCTATTTATAGATCGCTGTTGAAGTGATCTGTCTTGTCTTCATTGCAGTCAGTGTATGCGACAGCAAACAAGCATGCCTGAGAAAATCATGACTCCCAAATTTAGAAAATGCCACACACACACCCCTCCCCCGAAAGATACCGTATGTGGTAGTCATCATGACTCCCATGTTAACAAGACTATGTAAAACCCTGGCTATTTCATGACAGGCATTCAGTAAAGTGCTATTCCATGATGCTTTCAGACACTTGGCTGCTATTATAAAATATTCTTTGTGTAATCAAACTTCAAAGCAAAAACCTTTCTATAAAAGTTATACATTTTATTTCAGACTTGTGGAATCTGACAGCAAACTATATAATTTAGCCACAATGACAACTTGTAAACAATTCTGTATTCTGCATCACGTTATTACCTCATCTCCTCCATCACTCTCCGTCCGAGGTCTTTTACTGGTAGGCTGAAAATCACCATGTGTTATTATTCTTAAGCATTGAGGTTCGTAATTATTTCACAATTGGACAAATCAGAATAATTCAGATAAAACTTCCATGAATCCTACGCATACTATTCCCATGGCATGAGCTTGTTTGTTTGTTTGTTTTTTGTTTAACGCCACACTCAGCAATATTCCAGCTATACGACGGCAATCTGTAAATAATCGAGTCTGGACCAGGCAATCCAGTGATTGACATCATGACCATCAATCCACACAATTAGGATACGATGACATACATCAACCAAGTCAGCGTGCCTGACCACCAGATCCCATTAGTCGCCTTTTACGACAAGCTAGTATCCATGGCATGAACAAACATGATAGTCTCTCCCAACCTGCCATCAACTTGTGGTATTTGAAACAGTTGGGAATACTGGCATATAGACACTAGTGGGAACCATGGCAACAGTTTTAAGACTTGAGTAAAAGATTACAAAAGAAGAGCTTTTAATGCCTACAGAAGCTAATCAAAATCTCAGTCGATCCAAATCTTTCATCTCTCAACAATTAAGAAAAAAACTTACCTCGTATAATGTTTCTATAGTAGCCTGTTTCCATGGCAAAGCATCTGACGAATTCAACATCTGCAGCTGAAGCCTAAGATACTCCACTGTGTCCATCTTGCCACCACTTGGAGCACTTGGCACCTGGCATTAATCAAAGCTTAATTTGGGCTTGCTTACACGAGGACATATCTTATCTTTATCCAGCATTCTTGTTATGTATAAGTTTGTTTGTTGTTTGTTGTTTAATACTGCACTCAGCAATATTTCAGCTATATGACTGCGGTCTGTAAATAATCAAGTCTGGACAAGACAATCCAGTGATTGACATCATGAGCATCGTTCCATGCAACAGGGATACAATGACATGCATCAACCAAGTCAGTGAGTCTGATCACCCGATCTCGTTAGTCGTCTCTTATGACAAGCATAGTCACCTTTTACGGCAAGCATGCGTTGCTGAAGACCTATCCTAATCCAGATCTTCATGGGTCTGTGTTATGCATTAATGAGACTGTTAAGGACCTATCAATGTCTTGAAGAAAAATGAGGGAATTTACACACCTCCATCGCTGGACATAGCTGGAATATATGCTGAGTGTGTGTTAAACAACAAACAAACAAACATCATGGTACGATCACACGCTATCAACCGAGTCTAACCAATTCATTAACCCTCATGGTGCCTGACTGTCAGTCACCTTGTATACCACTCAGTGCTGCACTGTGCTGACATCACAGTTTCTAAACCATATTCGCCTTCAGGGTATGATGACATGCTATCAGCCAGCCGATCCACGACCAGCATAGGTTGCTGGGAGCCTATTCTAACCTGGAATCCCCATGGGTGAGTATTCATGTCCAATCACAGAAGAGACATTAAAGTCACCTTATTCAAGAAGGCCACCACCTTGTCCTGTAGACTGGCATCTCGCTCCAGACACTCGGGCACCACAGACTCGTGCACTGTCTCCTCAGCGAAGCTGGTGAAGGCCTGTAGAGCTCGGTGCTGGACAATACAGTGTGGGTCCTTCAGGCTAGGGCAGAACACCTCGGGCAGTTTGTGCATGGTCTGGCTTTGCTGGAATACATAGAACACCAGGGCTCCAGATTAGCAATAGAAACTAACAGTTTCAGTCCACTAGTCCTTATAATGATAACATATAGTAAAACCCTTAAAAAGGGCAAATTTCTACTCGTTCTTATGATACCTTAAGTATTGGGCAGTTTGGCAAGGACTAGAGGACTAGTGCCAATACCTAACGCTGGCTCCAGATACATCTTTGAGTAGTTACGTATTCACCCACATGTTATCATTCATTGTTTTCTATGGGTACTCAATATAATTTTGCTCTAGTGGTATTTTTAAGCCAATGAGTAGACCTTCTAAAAAAATAGCTTTGATAAAATGAATCGAGCATGAACTAAAGTTGTGATGTTACACTCAAAAATTATTTCATGCATGATTTAAAAGCACACAGAATCGTTGACGTACTGTCCCTTTAAAAGTGCCACTAGCAGAGTGTGACATTACGAGCTGAATGAGCTTGTACACCAAGATGAACACATGTAAATATCATTACAAGTACAGCGAGTGAAATGTTTGAGGGACAAGAGCAGAGCTGCTTATGACAGCCAGTGGGTTGTGTATAGTAATCCAAAATGTCTACAGGGTCAATTATGATGTGACAAGTATATGACACTGTGATGTCAGGGTGTCTGTAGGGGCCACCAGCTGACTTTTACAAGATTGGTTGGTTGGTTTGTTGTTTAAAGCCGCACTCAGCAATATTTCAGCTATATGAAGGCGGTCTGTAAATAATCAAGTCTGGACCAGACAATCCAGTGATTAATATCATGAGCATCGAACCACGCAATTGGGATCGATGACATGCATCAACCAAGTCAGTGAGCCTGACCACCCTATCCCGTTAGTCGCCTTTTAAGACAAGCATAGTCGCCTTTTACGGCAAGCATGGGTTGCTGAAGAACTATTCTACCCCGGAATCTTCACGGGTCCTTTTACAAAACAGCTTATAGCCAATCAGATAGATGGATATAATTACAAGTAATAAGTTGATTTATCATGATGCATCAAATTATCACTGAATCGTCCTCGCTCTAATTATTCAGCAGAGATGCCACTGATCACAATGATGATCATATGAAAACTGAAGTGTACCAATATAAGCCTACCTCAAATGATGGCGCCAGTTTAGCAGCCCCACACTTCTGTAGGAATCCCACAACTTCTAGTCTCAGTAGCACTGAAGAGGGCTGAACCAACAACCTCTGAGTCACCGTCAGTATCTGAAACCAAACCAGATGCATGTGTACACCATTATGCAAAAACAGGATAATCCATAACAATGTGTTGATTGTGTCCTGGACATATTCTGTTCTTGAGTGAGTGAGGGAGTGAGTATGGTTTTACGCCGCTTTTAGCAATATTCCAGCAATATCACAGCTGGGGACACCAGAAATGGGCTTCACACATTGTACCCATGTTGGGAATTGAACCTGGGTCTTTGGCGTGACGAGCGAATGCTTTAACCAAGAGGCTACCCGACCGCCCCCTCTGTTCTTGAGAACCGTAAATGAAATGCAAGGTATGTTTTGTCAGAGACATTTGTTTTCTAGTCCTTCCCCACAACTTGATGTGTCTGGCTAAATTGTTCATGTTCATATTCCTTGTGAAAATCACTGACAGACTTAACCAACCGGTTACCACTAATTGAACTGGTGCATTTGTACAAACTCCATAAAGTCACTATAGTCTTTATAGTGATTAATATATGAATTAATAATTTCAAAATATTGTCCAGTAACTTCTAACATTTTGGCATTTAATGTAGGACTAGTGCCATCTATATCAAGTAACAGTACTCTGTGAAGATCCCTGCTAGAATTGGTCTTCAGCAACCCCCATTCTTGTTGTAAGTGATGACTAACAGGATCGGGTGGTCAGATTCACTGACTTAGTTGATGCATTTCATTGTATCCCAAGTGCATAGACCAATAGACATGTTATACTTGGGAGAACACTTTCTGAGTAAAGTACAGATTCTCGTACTTTTGGGGGGTTGAGTCCCGTCTGGGATTCGAATCCACACTGCCAAAGTGAGGCACCTAATCGCCATCACACAAAGTCAGCGACCCACTCAGCCACCAAGGCTTCCACAAAAAATGAAAGATCGACAACTGGTAGTCTAGATCACGTTCTTTGTGTACCCCTCTTACAAGTGTAAATTGGCAAGGCTGCCATGGCCGAAAGCTATGAACACACAATGCCATTTAGATTGGTCAAATGTAACAAATATTATAATTGGGATAACACTTTCTGAGTAAAGTACAGATTCTCATACTTTTTGGGAGGTTGAGTCCCATCCGGGATTTGAACCCACACTGCCAGAGTGATGTCAATCACTAGACTGTCTGGTCCAAACTCAATTATTAACATATATAGCTGAAATATTGCTGGGTGCAGAACAAGAGTTTGCCACTAACGTGGCTATATCCCCCACCCCTGTTGCAGAATTTATGACATAATTAAATCTAAACAAACCCTAACCTTTTTTAACCGAGGTGGAACTTGTCATGGAAATTGTAAAAAAAAGAAGAGTTTGGAACCTAAGTCCATCTTGTTGCCATGGAAATGTAAAAAATAAAAATTTCTAAAATAGCTAAATAGCAAAAGGCACCAGTTCAGCATGTACTTGACAAAGCTGCAAAGTTTCATGAAAAAATATTGAACGGTTTCTGAGTTATGCTCCGGAACATAACGTGACGGACGGAAGTACGGACGGAGCCCGTTTCTATATCCAATAAAAACATACAAAAACCAATACAAAAAGTACCTGCAGTATGTCTGGAGTCTGTAGGAAGCCCACGAGCTGTGCACTGAGTCTGTACGTGGCAGCCAGCAGTGCTTCCAGGGCTGGACGGAGATCCCATGAGGCTGCAGCAAGTGTTCTCCAGAGGTGGGCGACTTTCTCTAGGACCACGGACTGGAGCTGTGGGGTGACACACTTCTCCACCAGGGAGGGGCTGCTGTACAGGTGGGCCAGGCACTTCACACAGACATTCTGGGAACACATTGAATGTACAGCATTTCAGTCACAAAATTTGACATCTGTTCAAGGGACCCTCCCTAAAATTGAAGGCTATGCAAACAGATTTCATTACCCTAACTTGTCAATATCCAAGGTTCTCTCTATATGTGTCGTCTATTTCACACGCCAAATCAATTATCAATTTGATACAGACAAGACATATTCTAAGCAGCAGATCCTGTGTTGTGTTGTCTTAAAAGGGTTAAAATGGGAAAAGATTTATTTATTTTTCGGAATGATTGGAGTAATTATAGTATTCAGGGATATTTTCAAGGAGAATAAAATTCAAGATACATAAGTTATAAACCAATCTTGAGGGGAATACACACCATGTGTGTGAGCCTATGTACCGTGAGCCGTCAGCTCGTATCTTAATGGAAGTGAGATCAATTTTCTTTATCATTTATCATTTTATTCGTACTGGTCGGTCATAGGTTGTTTGTTTGTTTGTTGTTTTAAACCCAACTCAGAAATATTCTAACTATATGATGGCGTTCGTAAATAATCAAGTCTGGACAAGGCAATCCAGTGATAAACATCATGAGCAAAGATCTAAGCAATTGGGATACGATGACATGCATCAGTCATGTCAGCGAGCCTGACCACCTGATCCCGTTAGTCACCTCTTACAACAAGCATGGGTTTCTGAAGACCTATTCTAACCCGGATCTTCAAGGGGGAGAATTGATAGTGACCTTACCCATATTTAGAACAATAGGTGTATGGAATCAACTCACATTTCCCCCAAAATAAAGATACAGGGAAGGTCTTCAGCAACCCATGACTTGTTGAAAAAGGCGACTAAGCTTGTTGTAAGAGGCGACTAAAGGGATCGGGTGGTCAGGCTCGCTGACTTGGTTGATGCATGTCATCGTATCACAACAGCGTGGATCAATGTTCATGATATTAATCACTGGATTGTCTGGTCCAGACTTGATTATTTACAGACCGCCTTCATATAGCTGAAATATTGCTGAGTGCAGCTTTAAACAACAAACCAACCAACCAATCTTGTAAAAGTCAGCTGGTGGCCCCTACAGACACCTTGACATCACAGTGTCATATACTTGTCACATCATAATTGACCCTGTAGACATTTTGGATTACTATACACAACCCACTGGCTGTCATAAGCAGCTCTGCTCTTGTCCCTCAAACATTTCACTCGCTGTACTTGTAATGATATTTACAGACCGCCGTCATATAGCTGGAATATTGCTGAGTGCGGTGTTAAACAGTCAACAATCAATCTAAAAACGCTTTTATCATTCTGTTACTGTGAATGAATCAACGCATGCTACGAGTCCACCTACCACATTGTCCAGCTGTCCCAGTGTTTTCTCGGAGGTGTTGATCCAGTTGTGCACGGACTTGGTGCAACGTGTAATCAGCTCTTCCATCACATCTCTTGCCATGCTAGTTGTCATGGCAACAAGAGGCAACTCAGACCAGAGCTGGACATTTTCTGAGGGTGGGAATTCCTTAAGTAGGGATTGCTGAAATATAAAGGAGTTAGTGAGTTTACCACCTTTCTAGAGGTAGTAGTAGTAGTAGTAGTAGTAGTAGTAGCAGCAGCAGTTGTAGTAGCAGCAGCAGTAGAAGTAGTAGTAGTGGTAGTAGTAGTAGTGGTAGTAGTAGTAGTAGTAGTAGTAGTAGTAGTAGTAGTAGTAGTAGTAGTAGTAGTGGTAGTGGTAGTAGTAATAGTAGTAGTAGTAGTAGTAGTAGTAGTAGTAGTAGTAGTAGTAGTCGTAATAAAATATATTTTTTTTAAATCCATTGATAATGCACCATTTCTGCTGAACATATAGTAGTAGTAGTAGTAGTAGCAGTAGTAGTAGTAGTAGCAGTAGTAGTAGTAGAAGTGATGTGATGTGAAATGGGGTTTAACGTTGCATCCAAGATTATTGCACTTAAATAGCGACATGCATGCACGTGTATGTGTGTGTGTTGCTGCTTGTACTAGTCCGGACTGATGCCGATTTATAGTGCTAGCACACTGAGATACCATGCCGCAGTTTAACATGAATACCCCACTCAGACACACTATACTGATTCCAAGCCGACCAGTCCTTGTTTTAGACCTTAATGCCGAGCGCCAGACAGGGTAACAACAAGTACCATCTTTTAACGTCTTTTGGTATGACACGGCTGGGCCCGCTCTCCGGGCGGACGCTCTACCATTAGACCACAGAGGCGGTCTAGTAGTAGAAGTAGTTGTAGTAGTGGTAGTGGTAGTGGTAGTGGTAGTGGTAGTAGTGGTAGTAGTAGTAGTAGTAGTAGTAGTAGTAATAGTAGCAGTAGTAGTAGGTGAGGAGTTATAAAGGCTTACAGTCACAATACCATCTCATCCTGCCGGGTCCCCATTTACTACTGGGTCCTATGACCAAGTTAAATCCTTTACGTCCAGCCTGTGGTTACCTGGTGCTGAGGGGCGAGGAACTTGGCCAGTCTGTGCAGCACTGCCGAGAGCCTGGAGGTCGCCAGGTGGGAGTGGGGGGACCTGGTCAGGTCCTGGTACATCCTCACTAACAGCAGGACATGCTGGTAACACAACTCCGCACTGCCGTACCTGCAACCAGGGAGTGATTGTATATCAGTTGTATCCAGCGGCCTGGTCAATATGATCAAGACTGGTCAAGACAAATCAGTGGTTGATGGGACCCGTGAAGATCCAGGGTAGAATAGGTCTTCAGCAACCCATGCTTGGCGTAAAAGCCGACTGTACTTGTATTTTTTAAGGATCTTAATTTCAGGAGTTTTTAACATTATCTTAACAGTTCAATACAATCATGTAAAATGAAGTATTGAAGCCTCTTTAGTGGTTGTGTTCTCAGTGAAATCATAGTGACCTCCACCAAGCCTTCATATAAGTTATTCCTGTGAAGATGCGGGGTAGAATAGGTCTTCAGCAACCCATGCTTGTTGTAAGAGGTGACTATGCTTGTCATAAGAGGCGACTATGCTTGTCATAATGGGCGATTAACGGGATCGGGTGGTCATCCTCGCTGACTTGGTTGATGCATGTCATTGATCCCAATTGCATGGATGTTGAACTCACCTGGCCATGAAGCACCAACAGTCGACCGCCATGCTGGCCTGATATGGGTTTGGTGACAGGCTGTTGGCAAACAGGATTTCTTCCTGTGTGGAGAAGGTAAGAGAAACATTACACAATGTTCTTCATGATATATAGCACTGTGAAGGCAGAGATTTGTAGATTTGCTACGACCACCAAGATCTGGGCCAGGTTCCCAAATTGTTTTGGAATTAGTTTCGAACATTGAGATGATCAGGTTCGGATCTTGGGACCCCCTAAATCTTTACCTTTTAACATAAGGGATATGACAAGTATCCCTTGACTTTCTTGATTAATTTCAAACACATGATCTGATCTGGTTTGATTCTAGGGAACCCCAAAAGCTTCACCTTTTAACATAAGGGATATGACAAGTACAACTTGACGTCCACGCTTAATTCTGAACACTGAAGGAAGAAATACGAGCGTTAAGTCTTCAAATTTATCCTGTTCATGTAGGCCGGTCAATGATCTAGTTCTAGGAAAAATGACGAAGACAAAAACATAAAATTGTCAATCAAGACCATGGACCTGATCATTTTTTTCAACCACAGCAAAGGAATTGATGGATTTGGAGTTATTTTCAGCTTAATGAGGCACTTACCAACACAGCAAAATGCCTGGCCGGGAAACTGCCTATGAAGCCACACAGATTTGTACAGACGAACTCGTACAGACAGGCATCCCTGAAACACCCATCATTGCATCAAGCTGTTGTCATACATACGTATTGTGAAGTCAGGATCAACCCTTACACCTGTCACACCAGTAGGGATGTCATCGTCATCCTTCAGTGAGTGAGTGAGTGAGTATGGTTTTACGCCGCTTTTAGCAATATTCCAGCAATATCACGGCGGGGGACACCAGAAATGGGCTTCACACATTGTACCCATGTCGGGAATCGAACCCGGGTCTTCGGCGTGACGAGCGAACGTTTTAACCACTAGGCTACCCGATCGCCCCTCGACATCATTGAAGATTACCATGGTTCAGATAGACAATAAGAAGGCAGAAAAATCATATTCAAATTGTTTGTTGTTTCCAGCTAATCGATGGTGGTCTGTAAACAATCAAGTCTAGACCAGACAATTCATCCATCTATGCAATTGGGATACGATGACATGCATCAATCAAGTCTGCAAGACTGGCCAGCTGATCCCGTTAGTTGCCTTGCAGTATTCTCAGAGTAATGTCCCTTTGTGTTTGTAGTATTCTCAGAGTAATGTCCCTCTGTGTTTGCAGTATTCTCAGAGTAATGTCTCTTTGTGTTTGCAGTATTCTCCGAGTAATGTCCCTTTGTGTTTGCAGTATTCTCAGAGTAATGTCCCTTTGTGTTTGCAGTATTCTCAGAGTAATGTCCCTTTGTGTTTGCAGTATTCTCAGAGTAATGTCTCTTTGTGTTTGCAGTATTCTCAGAGTAATGTCCCTCTGTGTTTGCAGTATTCTCAGAGTAATGTCCCTTTGTGTTTGCAGTATTCTCAGAGTAATGTCCCTTTTGTGTTTGCAGTATTATCGGAGTAATGTCCCTTTGTGTTTGCAGTATTCTCAGAGTAATGTCCCTTCGTGTTTGCAGTATTCCCAGAGTATTGTCTCTTTGTGTTTGCAGTATTCTCAGAGTAATGTCCCTTTGTGTTTGCAGTATTCTCAGAGTAATGTCCCTTTGTGTTTGCAGTATTCTCAGAGTAATGTCCCTTTGTGTTTGCAGTATTCTCAGAGTAATGTCTCTTTGTGTTTGCAGTATTCCCAGAGTAATGTCCCTCTGTGTTAGCAGTATTCTCAGAGTAAAGTCCCATTGTCTTTGAAGTATTCCCAGAGTAATGTCCCTTTGTGTTTGCAGTATTCTCAGAGTAATGTCCCTTTGTGTTTGCAGAATTCTCAGAGTAATGTCCCTTTGTGTTTGCAGTATTCCCAGAGTAATGTCCCTTTGTGTTTGCAGTATTCTCAGAGTAATGTCCCTTTGTGTTTGCAGTATTCTCAGAGTAATGTCCCTTTGTGTTTGCAGTATTCTCAGAGTAATGTCTCTTTGTGTTTGCAGTATTCTCAGAGTAATGCCCCTTTGTGCATGCAGTTTTCACAGTGTAATGTCTTTTTCTCAGAGAAATCATGTGGAAAGTGGAATATCCAGACTAACAGGGTCCTGAATAACAAGGTTCGACAATACGGATATAAACAGGTGTAATCATTCAGAAAGTGGAATATTCAGAATAACAGGGACCTGAATAACAAGGTTCCACTATACAGATATTCATAAGAGTAATCATTCAGAAAGTGGAATATCCGGAATATCAGGGTCCTGAATAACAAGGTTCCCCTGTACACTTAAGGACTGAGATGCTGACTTGTTACGGTGGTTAACCTACCTCTGCTGTTTCCCTGGTACGATCACTCCCGGCAGACTGACAGGCACAGCCAGCTCCACATAGCCTGAAACAGAGGGCTGTGTGTCAAGCGGGACAGCATTCACGGATGAAAGACTCCTGTTTCAAATTTCAGGTATACCACAATGGTCTGTAAACCAGGCACACCAGCATAAGAGAGTATTGGCACTGTTAAGACTTGGTAATAAACAATCAGCCAGGTTACACATACAAACTTCAAAAACTTCAAGTATCAGTTTGTTTGTTTGTTTGTTGTTTATAGCCACAGTCAGCAATATTCTAGCTATATGACAGCGGTCTGTAAATACTCGAGTCTGGACCAGACAATCCAGTGATTGATATCATGAACAAGCATTTGGGATACCAAGACATGCATCAACCAAGTCAGCGAGCATGACCATCCAATCCCGTTAGTCGCCTCTTATGAGTGAGTGAGTGAGTGAGTGAGTATGGTTTTACGCCGCTTTTAGCAATATTCCAGCAATATCACAGCGGGGGACACCAGAAATGGGCTTCACACATTCTGCCCATGTCGGGAATCGAACCCGGGTCTTCGGCGTGACGAGCGAACGCTTTAACCACCAGGCTACCCGACCGCCCCGTCGCCTCTTATGACAAGCAGGGGTTGCTGAAGACCTATTCTAGCCCGGATCTTCACAGGAATAACTAATGTGATGGCTTGGTGGAGGTCACTATGATTTCACCGAGAACACGACCACTAAAGCGTCTTTCATGCTTCATTTTACATTATTGTATTGAACAGATGTTAAAAACACCTGAAAATAAGATTAAACAAGTATTTGTCACAAAGTGACGAAATGTCCCCCGCCTGTATATACACCATAGTACCAAATATGAAGACAATCCAGCGATTACTCCTTGAGATATTACACCGTTTTCCAACTCCAAAAGCAGATTTGCCTGCTGTGACCTTGAAAATGGGGTCAAGGTCACCAAAACCGACTGGTGTCTGTGGAGTCTGTATATACACCATAGTTCTGAATGTGAAGACAATCCAACGCTTAGTTCTTGAGATATATCGCGGCAACACCGTTTTCCAACTCCAAAAGCAAATTTGCCTGCTGTGACCTTGAAAATGGGGTCAAGGTCACCAAAACCGACTGGTGTCTGCGGAGTCTGTATATACACAATAGTTCCAAATATGAAGACAATCCAGTGTTTAGTTCTTGAGATATCGCGGCAACAAACAGGTGGGATGTACGGACGGTCGTGTATACTATATCCCCCGCTCTGCGCTTTCGCGCGGCGGGGGACAATTAATTAAAAAAAACTTTTACAACAAGCATAGTTGCCTCTTACAACAAGTATGGTTGCCTCTTACGACAAGTATGTTTGCCTCTTACGACAAGCATAGTCGCCTCTTACAACAAGCATGGTTGCCTCTTACGACAAGCATGGTTGCCTCTTACGACAAGCATGGTTGCCTCTTACGACAAGCAGTCGCCTTTTACGACAGGCATAGTCGCCTCTTACGACAAGCATGGTTGCCTTTTACAACAAGCATAGTCACCTTTTACAACAAGCATAGTCGCCTTTTACGACAAGCATGGGTCACTGAAGACCTATTCAAAAGAGGAACTTCACGAGTGTCAAATAGCAGTAGCCTTTTGTGGCAAACATGAGATACGGAGGACCTAATCTACCCCTGGACTCCCCATGGGGTGCGATGACAGATCCCTAGGGGAAAACAATGGGAAATACCATCCCCCTGAGCTCAAAATTCTATTCTAGTCTAAACGCAATAACATTAATACCCAGGACAAACAATAAATTACATGAAATTTTCAGAAATTAAGGATCTTGTTTCTTACATTTCCCGATGCTGTAGAAGACTGCCTGTAGTATGTTGTCCACTGGGGTGTCTTCAGGGTAGACTGTGGGGTGGATCCATTGGTCCTGATCTTGACCTGGTCGACAGTTCACAAGTCAGTGAGTCCAGCTTGTCAAGGTGACGTTAGGGGCCGACTATTTTATATTTTATGGTGTGAAAAATCTTAGGCAAAATTTGTTTCTTGTATTTTCTGTTCTGTTTTATTAAAAAAAAAATACCCAGGGTCCTCTCAGAGAAGTCTGCTGGTCGGCAACAAGCAAATTAAAGGAAGGACCAGTGACATGTCCTTGTGGACAACTTTGACCATGAGCTAAATAGTAACTCTGTAGCAGATCGGGGCGGTTGAGTAGCCCAGTGGTTAAAGCGTTCCCTCGTCACGCCGAAGACCAAGGTTCGATTCCCGACATGGGTACAATGTGTGAAGCCCATTTCTGGTGTCCCCCGCTGTGATATTGCTGGAATATTGCCATAAGCGGCGTAAAACCACTCACTGTAGCAGATCATTTATGTGGACTAATGAAAACTGAAATGTAATCAAATCTAAGCATCATGTCAGTAGAAAACATATCCAAACTACTCAACTTCTATTTAAATATACACTTGACATACTGTGAGGAACACTTTTGATCTGATTCGGAAGACAAAAATATCCCTGTGGATTATTACCGTGTTCGACGCAATAAGCATCCCGCTCTAATAAGCGCCCACGGCAATATTTGCTAATATATTGGCAAGTGAACAATCCCAATTAGCACCCCTTCCGATTGATCAATGTATACAAGACTTATTTATTCAGCAAAATTATATTCTAATAAGAGACCCCCATTTCTAATTTTGAGAGCGCCCTAGGAGCTTATTACGTCAAACACAGTATGTATACAACATAAAATAAGTTGTGCATAGAAGTAGAAATTACAAGTAGCAGGTAGCCAAAATACCTTTCAACATACAAACTACATGGCACAGTATTTCTGTAATTGACTGTCAAAGTACTCGCAAAAAAATGTGTAACCCTGCTGTGCCACACCTTACTACGCCATGTATTATACCTGAGAGTTTAGGCAGCATTTCCAGGATTAGAGTCTGTATGAGCAGGAGAGGCAGGTGGTGGTCTTCTGGAACATCTGCAGACAGGGAACAGTTCGTCAGCACATAAACATCAAATGTACATGAAAATAATGTGTCTTATATTTCAAGTCAGTTATTGTTAACACAGCAACATAAACCCACCTGTTCCGTGAAGATTCCGGGGTAGAATAGGTCTTCAGCAACCCATGCTTGCCGTAAAAGGTGACTATGCTTGTTGTAAAAGGCAACTAACGGGATCGGGTGGTCAGGCTCCCTGACTTGGTTGGTGCATGTCATCGTATCGTAATTGCGTGGATCGATGCTCATGATCACTGGATTGTCTGGTCCAGACGCGATTATTTACAGACCGCCGTTGTATAGCTGGATTATTGCTGAGTGCGGCGTAAAACAACATACCAACCAACCAATAAACCCACCTGTGTTGCGTCTTGTGACACACTGGCGAAAGTGTCTGTTGCCAGTGAGGCTAGACAGCAAGGGATCTACGGCAACGCTGATCTGAGAGCGGATCTGATCCAGGTGAGTGAGCTGAAGCTTGGGAGCAGACAGACTAGGAGGCAGCAACCTGACCAGACAGGATGTCAGAGGTACACATGACAGAGAAACGATCAATGACTTCATTATACCGGTCTGCAGAAAGTGCCTCACAAGAACTACACTTTTTAGAATATATTCTTCATTGACTTATTCTGAAGCATATCAACTACACCAGGGTAAGGCCACTACCCTATCACTACCTCCCGACACAGGTGCCTTATCACGCGACACACATCCAGCTAAACCTGCAGGAGGTGCTTGTATTGGCTGCTTATTCTGAAGCATATCAACTACACCAGGGTTAGGCCACTATCCTATCACCACCTCCCGACACAGGTGCCTTATCACGCGACACACATCCAGCTAAACCTGCAGGAGGTGCTTGTATTGGCTGCTTATTCTGAACCAGGGTAAGACCACTATCCTATTAGTATATTTATTTCGCTTAACACCCACTTAGGTTAGATAAACCACGGTTTAATAAATTCAGCAAATTAAAGTCCAGGTATTAACACATACTGAAAATATGCCAACGACAAATTTGTGTTAATAGACTAAGTCTTATTCATAGACTGTAGAGATGCCACCCCTAAAACTAAATTTGCTTCCTGGGTAATTGTGCTTACCACAATGTTAACTTAATCTATTTATTCTAACAATACATTTTAGTATAAAGGATGTATTTGCTATTGCAGAAGATGAACCTGAACTGATTTCCTTATCCCTGCTATGAGGCATGGTCAGTGGCGGCCATGAAGAATGAAACACAGTTCACAGAAAAGCCCAAATGGCATACAAGTACACCAAATATTAATACATCCTTGGCAACCATCACAATAACTACCTGTGTATGTTGAGGATGAGCTCGAACACCTCCTTCTCACACTGACCCAGATAATCCCGGAAGTCCTTTATAAGGATTACCAGGATCTTCACCTGGAATCCCAGGATCTTCAGAGATTTGACAAATGCCTTCTCATCCCCTTGGGATTGTACCTGAAACACAGCCACTTTACACTCAAGAAACACACAGCCACTTAACACTCAAGAAACACACAGCCACTTTACACTCAAGAAACACACAGCCACTTTACACTGAAGGAACATACAGCCACTTTACACTCAAGAAACACAGCCACTTAACACTCAAGAAACACACAGCCACTTTACACTCAAGAAACACACAGCCACTTAACACTCAAGAAACACACAGCCACTTAACACTCAAGAAACACACAGCCACTTTACACTCAAGAAACACACAGCCACTTTACACTGAAGGAACACACAGCCACTTTACACTCAAGAAACATACAGCCACTTAACACTCAAGAAACACACAGCCACTTAACACTCAAGAAACACACAGCCACTTTACACTCAAGAAACACACAGCCACTTTACACTGAAGGAACATACAGCCACTTTACACTGAAGGCACATTCAGCCTGTTTACACTGAATGCACATTCAGCCACTTTACACCGCAGACACTTTACACTCAAGAAACATACAGCCACTTAACACTCAAGAAACTTACAGCCACTTTACACTCAAGAAACACACAGCCACTTTACACTGAAGGAACATACAGCCACTTTACACTGAAGGCACATTCAGCCACTTTACACAAGGAACACACAGCCACTTTACACTGAAGGCACATTCAGACACTTTACACTGAAGGCACATACAGCCACTTTACACTGAAGGCACATTCAGACACTTTACACTGAAGGAACATACAGCCACTTTACACTGAATGCACATACAGCCACTTTACACTGCAGACACTTTACACTGAATGCACATTCAGCCACTTTACACTGAAGGCACATTCAGCCTGTTTACACTGAATGCACATTCAGCCACTTTACACAGAAGGCACATTCAGCCACTTTACACTGAAGGCACATTCAGCCACTTTACACTGCAGACACTTTACACTGAAGGCACATTCAGCCACTTTACACTGAAGGCACATACAGCCACTTTACACTGCAGACACTTTACACTGAAGGCACATTCAGCCACTTTACACTGAAGGCACATTCAGCCACTTTACACTGAATGCACATTCAGCCACTTTACACTGAATGCACATTCAGCCACCTTAAACTGCAGACACTTTACACTGAAGAAACACACAGCCACTTTACACTGAAGGCACATACAGCCACTTTACACTGCAGACACTTTACACTGAAGGCACATTCAGCCACTTTACACTGCAGACACTATACACTGAAGGCACATTCAGCCACTTTACACTGCAGCCACTTTACACTGAAAGGCACATTCAGCCACTTTACACCGCAGACACTTTACACTGAAGGCACATTCAGCCACTTTACACTGAAGGCACATTCAGCCACTTTACGGTCAAGAAACACACAGCCACTTTACACTGAAGGAAAATACAGCCACTTTACACTGAAGGCACATTCAGCCACTTTACACTGAAGGCACATACAGCCACTTTACACTGAAGGCACATACAGCCACTTTACACTGCAGACACTTTACACTGAATGCACATTCAGCCACTTTACACTGAAGGCACATTCAGCCTGTTTACACTGAATGCACATTCAGCCACTTTACACCGCAGACACTTTACACTCAAGAAACATACAGCCACTTAACACTCAAGAAACTTACAGCCACTTTACACTCAAGAAACACACAGCCACTTTACACTGAAGGAACATACAGCCACTTTACACTGAAGGCACATTCAGCCACTTTACACAAGGAACACACAGCCACTTTACACTGAAGGCACATTCAGACACTTTACACTGAAGGCACATACAGCCACTTTACACTGAAGGCACATTCAGACACTTTACACTGAAGGAACATACAGCCACTTTACACTGAAGGAACATACAGCCACTTTACACTGAAGGCACATACAGACACTTTACACTGCAGACACTTTACACTGAATGCACATTCAGCCACTTTACACTGAAGGCACATTCAGCCTGTTTACACTGAATGCACATTCAGCCACTTTACACAGAAGGCACATTCAGCCACTTTACACTGAAGGCACATTCAGCCACTTTACACTGCAGACACTTTACACTGAAGGCACATTCAGCCACTTTACACTGAAGGCACATACAGCCTGTTTACACTGAATGCACATTCAGCCACTTTACACTGAAGGAACATACAGCCACTTTACACTGAAGGAACATACAGCCACTTTACACTGAAGGAACATACAGCCACTTTACACTGAAGGCACATACAGCCTGTTTACACTGAATGCACATTCAGCCACTTTACACTGAAGGCACATTCAGCCTGTTTACACTGAATGCACATTCAGCCACTTTACACCGCAGACACTTTACACTCAAGAAACATACAGCCACTTAACACTCAAGAAACTTACAGCCACTTTACACTCAAGAAACACACAGCCACTTTACACTGAAGGAACATACAGCCACTTTACACTGAAGGCACATTCAGCCACTTTACACAAGGAACACACAGCCACTTTACACTGAAGGCACATTCAGACACTTTACACTGAAGGCACATACAGCCACTTTACACTGAAGGCACATTCAGACACTTTACACTGAAGGAACATACAGCCACTTTACACTGAAGGAACATACAGCCACTTTACACTGAAGGCACATACAGACACTTTACACTGCAGACACTTTACACTGAATGCACATTCAGCCACTTTACACTGAAGGCACATTCAGCCTGTTTACACTGAATGCACATTCAGCCACTTTACACAGAAGGCACATTCAGCCACTTTACACTGAAGGCACATTCAACCACTTTACACTGCAGACACTTTACACTGAAGGCACATTCAGCCACTTTACACTGAAGGCACATTCAGCCTGTTTACACTGAATGCACATTCAGCCACTTTACACTGAAGGAACATTCAGACACTTTACACTGAAGGAACATACAGCCACTTTACACCGAAGGAACATACAGCCACTTTACACTGAAGGCACATACAGACACTTTACACTGAATGCACATTCAGCCACTTTACACTGAAGGCACATTCAGCCTGTTTACACTGAATGCACATTCAGCCACTTTACACAGAAGGCACATTCAGCCACTTTACACTGAAGGCACATTCAGCCACTTTACACTGAATGCACATTCAGCCACTTTACACCGAAGGCACATTCAGCCACTTTACACTGAAGGCACATTCAGCCACTTTACACTGCAGACACTTTACACTGAAGGCACATTCAGCCACTTTACACTGAAGGCACATTCAGCCACTTTACACTGAATGCACTTTCAGCCACTTTACACTGAATGCACATTCAGCCACCTTAAACTGCAGACACTTTACACTGAAGAAACACACAGCCACTTTACACTGAATGCACATACAGCCACTTTACACTGCAGACACTTTACACTGAAGGCACATTCAGCCACTTTACACTGCAGACACTATACACTGAAGGCACATTCAGCCACTTTACACTGCAGCCACTTTACACTGAAGGCACATTCAGCCACTTTACACCGCAGACACTTTACACTGAAGGCACATTCAGCCACTTTACACTGAAGGCACATTCAGACACTTTACGGTCAAGAAACACACAGCCACTTTACACTGAAGGAACATACAGCCACTTTACACTGAAGGAACATACAGCCACTTTACACTGAAGGCACATTCAGACACTTTACACTGAAGGCACATACAGCCACTTTACACTGAAGGCACATACAGCCACTTTACACTGCAGACACTTTACACTGAAGGCACATTCAGCCACTTTACACTGAAGGCACATTCAGCCTGTTTACACTGAATGCACATTCAGCCACTTTACACCGCAGACACTTTACACTGAAGGCACATTCAGCCACTTTACACTGAAGGCACATTCAGCCACTTTACGGTCAAGAAACATACAGCCACTTTACACTAAAGGAACATACAGCCACTTTACACTGAAGGCACATACAGCCACTTTACACTGAAGGCACATTCAGCCACTTTACACTGAAGGCACATTCAGCCACTTTACACTGCAGACACTTTACACTGAAGGCACATTCAGCCACTTTACACTGCAGACACTTTACACTGAAGGCACATTCAGACACTTTACACTGCAGACACTTTACACTGAATGCACATTCAGCCACTTTACACTGCAGACACTTTACACTGAAGGCACATTCAGCCACTGTACACTGAAGGCACATTCAGCCACTTTACACTGAATGCACATTCAGCCACTTTACACTGAAGGCACATTCAGCCACTTTACACTGCAGACACTTTACACTGAAGGCACATTCAGCCACTTTACACTGAAGGCACATTCAGCCACTTTACACAAGGAACACAGAGCCACTTTACACAAGAAACACACAGTTACTTTACACTGAATGCACATTCAGCCACTTTACATTGAATGCACATTCAGCCACTTTACACTGAAGGCACATTCAGCCACTTTACACTGAAGGCACATTCAGCCACTTTACACTGAAGGCACATTCAGCCACTTTACACAAGGAACACAGCCACTTTACACTCAAGAGAAACACAGCCACTTTAAACTCAAGAAACACACAGCCACTTTACACAAGGAACACACAGCCACTTTACACAAGAAACACACAGCCAGTTTACACTCAAGAACCAAACAGACACTTTACACAAGAAACACACAGCCAGTTTACACTCAAGAAACACACAACTTCTTTACACTTGGAAAACATACAGCCACTTAACATTCAAGAAACTTACAGCCACTTTACATTCAAGAAACTTACAGCCACTTTACATTCAAGAAACATACAACCACTTAACACTCAAGAAACACACAGCTACTTTACACTCAAGAAACATAAAACAAACACCACATCACTGGATGCACTGAAAAATTAGCAAAACCTTACAACTAAAACAATAATTTTCAGCAAACTCTCAAAAAGTTGTAATTTTAGTAATCAGTTATAGCTTAAAAAGAAAATGATATTGCTATGAGAGACTGTCTACAGGGGTGGAACACACCATTGTGATAATGTTTAATGTTATATATATATTTAATTCAGACACCTAGCACATTTTATCACATAATAGAGGAGTATGTCCATCCATACCAATTTGTTTAACTTTCACTGTCTGAATATCATTTCTTGTATTGTATATATGTTGTTTAACACCGCACTCAGCAATATTCCAGCTATATGACAACTGCCTGTAAATAATCAAGTGAGGACCAGACAATGGGGTAATTGTGTCAACTTGTTCCACTAAGTTGTTACCATGCCGTCTTCATCCACCCTTGGCAGCAGTTGGAACAGGTACTGGTAGCCCGTCACTACCTCCCGACACAGGTGCCTTATCATGCGACACATGTCCAGCTGACCCTGCAGCAGGTGCTTGTATTGGCTGCTTATTCTGAAGCATATCAACAACACAAGGGTTAGACCACTATCCTATCACTCCCTCACGACACAGGTGCCTTATCATGCGACACATGTCCAGCTGACCCTGCAGCAGGTGCTTGTATTGGCTGCTTATTCTGAAGCATATCAACAACACAAGGTTAGACCACAATCCTATCACTCCCTCACGACACAGGTGCCTTATCATGCGACACATGTCCAGCTCACCCTGCAGCAGGTGCTTGTATTGGCTGCTTATTCTGAAGCATATCAACAACACAAGGTTAGACCACTATCCTATCACTCCCTCCCGACACAGGTGCCTTATCATGCAACACATGTCCAGCTGATCCTGCAGCAGGTGCTTGTATTGGCTGCTTATTCTGAAGCATATCAACAACACAAGGTTAGACCACAATCCTATCACTCCCTCACGACACAGGTGCCTTATCATGCGACACATGTCCAGCTCACCCTGCAGCAGGTGCTTGTATTGGCTGCTTATTCTGAAGCATATCAACAACACAAGGTTAGACCACAATCCTATCACTCCCTCACGACACAGGTGCCTTATCATGCGACACATGTCCAGCTCACCCTGCAACAGGTGCTTGTATTGGCTGCTTATTCTGAAGCATATCAACAACACAAGGTTAGACCACAATCCTATCACTCCCTCACGACACAGGTGCCTTATCATGCGACACATGTCCAGCTCACCCTGCAGCAGGTGCTTGTATTGGCTGCTTATTCTGAAGCATATCAACAACACAAGGTTAGACCACTATCCTATCACTACCTCCCGACGCAGATGCCTTATCATGCAACACATGTTCAGCTGACCCTGCAGCAGGTGCTTGTACTGGCTGCTTATTCTGAAGCATATCAACAACACAAGGTTAGACCACTATCCTATCACTACCTCCCGACACAGGTGCCTTATCATGCCACACACATCCAGCTGACCCTGCAGCAGGTGCTTGTATTGGCTGCTTATTCTGAAGCATATCAACAACACCAGGGTTATACCACTATCCTATCACTACCTCCCGACACAGGTGCCTTATCATGCAACACATGTCCAGCTGACCCTGCAGCAGGTGCTTGTATTGGCTGCTTATTCTGAAGCATATCAACAACACCAGGGTTATACCACTATCCTATCACTACCTCCCGACACAGGTGCCTTATCATGCAACACATGTCCAGCTGACCCTGCAGCAGGTGCTTGTATTGGCTGCTTATTCTGAAGCATATCAACAACACCAGGGACAGACCACTATGTCTACTTATCTAGCATAACATCTGCTCAGGTTACATGAACTACAGTCTGTAAGCAAATAAAAGTCCAAATACTAACACTAAAATTTAACTGAAAATTATGCCAAAAGACAAATTTGGGCAAGTAGGTATTTTACTCATAGACTGTATAGATGGCTCACCTAAATGGGGGTCATAGCTCTAGGGACATAACTGTCAAAGAATCAAATGACATCCTGAACACAAAGATGTGTACTCAGTGTGTGAAATATTTTTAAAACCCAACAAGACAGTCAAGCAGGTGACTCATAATTATTGCCTGCCCATCTTCAAAGTTACCTGCCCACATTCTGACATTATAGATATTGAAAAAGCACACAAAAAAGAGACAAATTGCGTCTTGAGTCAGTTGAAATAATGCAAACAATTACTTTACAATCTACAAGGAGTTATAATAAAACTGAATATGTAGGTAGGCTAAAAACTATCTGCGAGACAGTCGGGCAGGTGGTGGATATTTCCTGAAGCCTGACAGTAAAGTTACCTGCCACCGGCAGGCAGGAGTTTTTTTTACACTGTGTGTACGACAGTATTGTGTTACATGTCATTATTGCCTATCTATGCTGCTTATTTCAAAATAAAATATCCCAAGAATATCCTTTAAGTTATTTTTAAGGAGTGAGTGAGTGAGTGAGTGAGTGAGTGAGTGAGTGAGTGAGTGAGTGAGCGAGCAAGCAAGTTTAACTTAAAGTGGGATGAAAGCTTGAAGTGATGCAGATTTTAGACTTTTGCCACTTTGTTGAAACCCATGAGCGCTGATACGATGGTGACAAACCTAGAAACATAATCAGAGTGAATCTGGGATTTGAACCCTGGTTTGTGGAGACAGATGTGTTCTATTTTGCATTATTCAGCAAACTTTCACTCACTTGGACACGGCCTTCCAGAGGCTGACCACCACCTTCATGTCTAGAGCCGTGACAATCTGACACACCTCGAACAAGCCGTCGCAAACTGAAACACAGCACCATAGGACACACCTTGAACTAGCTGTCGTTCCAAGAAGACCGAAGATACACCAAGATCAGAACAAAATTTATTTTAAAATATAAACATTCACTGGCATAAGTTTGTAAATGATTTGTTTGTTTGTTGTTTAACGCCGCACTCAGCAATAGTTCAGCTACATGATGGTGGTCTGTAAATAATCGCGTCAGGACCAAACAATCCAGTGATTGACATGAGCATCGATCTAAGCAACTGGGAATGAGTGAGTGAGTGAATTTGGTATAACGCCGCTTTTAACAGTATTCCAGTTCTATCACGGCGTGTCAGTTTAATGTGGGAGGAAAGGCCGAAGTGATGCAGGTCTCAGACAACTGGGAAACAAAGACGTGCATCAACCAAGTCAGCGAGCCTGACCACCTTATCCTGTTTATCGCCTCTTACGACAAGCATAGTCATTACATACAGCAAACATGGGTTGCTGAAGACCTATTCTCTACCCCCATCTTCACGGGTCTTTTGTAAATTATATCATATTTCCAAATCATGATTTGAAACAATAGCAACCTATTGCTGCAATATCAGGTCATAAACAGTACTCCGTGTACAGTAGCCATTTGGAAATTAAATCCAGGTGATGTACAGGTAAATCACCCCCTACCACTACCATCTCATCAGATTTCATGTTTTGAGATTTCCCAGGATTCAGGCTGCTGTGGGTACTCACTGCCTAACATGAGGTAGAATTGCAGTAAAATGTGGCTGGGGTAAATAACATATCATCTTCCTGAGGCAAGAGAGTTAACTGACTATAAAAGTCCAGTTTCCACCCTTGCCGAACTAGGCTGGTATTATGGAGTTACATTTTGGCTGGACTAACGAGTCTATGCAAAGTCCAATCAAAATCGCGCAGCAGAATCGAAATCCGGTTCGTAAACTGCCGTGCCGATTTCGGTTGATTGCAGGATTTGCAAAGCATGTGCAATGCCAAGTCGTTGTCAACAGATATTTTCCAAACCTTTTCATGTTTTTAATCAGGGGTGCTTGCGCAATATAGATCTTAATTATTGATCAGATCGTCTTGACTGGGCGCCGCCACTTTGTTTGAAACAAATGCAAGTGATGGAATCGGATTGGTCCATAGGAAAGGCTTAGAAGGGACGTAACTTATGATAACCACTCGTGGCGCTATGATCGAGCCCAGGAATTCCAGCCAAGTTCGGCAAGGGTGGAAACTGGACTTTTAAAGTCAGTTAACTCTCTTGCCTCGGGGAGATGATAACATATGTGACCTGGCTCATTGTGTGTCATCGTACACCAATGTTATGGAATAGTGTTCTGTCAACCACTAGTTGAACACCCAATGTTTTTCATATGACTATACTTAATCTGTCATGCCATGACACATTAACTATAGACATATAAAAAAAAGGGTGTACTCTAACTTCTTTTGAGTAGTATAGCTTGATTATTGCTAACTGCAATCTAAAACAGCAATGAGAAAGATTATTTACGTTTCTACTGTGTGACAGACATACCCTGACATAGATCCTGTACATCTTGGTCCGAGGCTTCTCCAGCGATGGTTGTTCGGTCAAACATGTTCAGGAACGCCTGCAACACAGCAATTACTGGTAGTAGACACACCAGAAAACTAGGGGTGACTATTGGTCTGGAAATCACTATTGCGATAACTATTGATATTGAAAGAAACTATTGCGATAACTATTGATATTGCAAGCAACTGTTGCAATAAATATCAATAGTTTTCAGTGTGTCATTTCAGATGGATGTTAGAGGTGAATTAAACCTTGGAACTGAAGTTTCCTTTGAATGTGATAACCATAACAACAAATAAAATGTAAAAAGTTTGAGATATGACTGATTTGTTTTTTCTTTACCCTAATGATTTAAGAAATAGAAACTTCCACATTACCATGTGTAAATTACTACCACTCATGATCAAAAGAAAAACAAATTTGAACAGCATTGCATGCATTTTATTGATATGGTAAATACAATCGAAGCTATCAATATTCCTGAAATCAATACTGTTGATCGGAAACTGATTTGACAATCGATTTAATTACTTGCTTACCAATAGCAATATATCGATATTTTGATTTATCGTGACACCCCTAGCAGATACAACATTGTTTTCACCGCATATTGCTATAGTCCAAGCCATGAACAAAACAATCAGTGAATACAACAAAATCAAAAGCCTGGAACACAAGAAGAAGTAAACATCTTGGCACGAACATTTATCAGATTATATTAACAAGGGTTTGAAAAATGCCAGACTCTAAATTAACTTAAGTTTTATGATTACTGCTTAAGTTATACCATGTCCCATCAAAGAATATATAGTAAGCCATGTTATTGTCTGGCATGTCTGCAGTCTCACGTACGGCTATTTCCGTCACACCTGGACAAAACCACCGTCAGCAACCTCTGACCGTACATCTTCCATTAGAATCCTTTAGATTATAATAGGAAGTCCAGCGGACACCCAGTTTAACAACAAGGGTACAACCCTGCAATATAGTGATCCCTATATTATTGGGTTTACAAAACTGACTGAATAGATAAAAAATGCTTGACTACCTACACTGAAACAATCTGCTCACCAACTAATTAAAATTTAAAAGGCCAGTAAGATCTTATGTGGCCATCTGTATGTGTTAAACTGACAGAATAGATAAAAAATGCTTGACTACCTACACTGAAACAATCTGCTAACTAACTAATTAAAATTTAAAAGGCCAGTAAGATCTTATGTGGCCATCTGTATGTGTTTACCATCTGAAGACTGTGGGCTTTACGGAAGAGGGATGAGAGAGGTTCAGACAACAGTCCCAACAGGTCTTTGTACAGGTCACCGCTGTCCTGCATGGGAAGAAGAAGAAGAAGCAGGTGTCATCAGAGTCAGTGAGTATTGTTTTACGCCGCTTTTAGCAATATTCCAGCAATATCACGGCGGGGGACACCAGAAATGGGCTTCACACATTGTACCCATGTCGGGAATCGAACCCAGGTCTTCGGCGAGGTGTCACCAGAAGTCGGCTCTGGCATTTCATGGTGAAGTATTGAAAGTTGGGATATTTCAAAGGAACATGTTTCAAACTCCAGGGAAGGTCCTTTAATCTTTTGTTTGTTGTTTAACGCTCCACTCAGCAATATTATATCTCTATGACGGTGGCCTGTAAATAATCAAGTCTGGACCAGACAAACTTGTCTTCATATTATGAGCAATGACATACTCTATCAAGGTTCGATGACATGCACTCAACCAAGTCACTAAGTCTGACAATCCATCTCTTGAGCCATCTCTTTCAACGAGCATAGGTCACTAGGGCCTATTCTAACCCAGGATCCCCTTGGAGGCCTATTCTATAACCTGGAATCCCCTTGGAGGCCTATTCTAACCTGGAATCCCCTTGGAGGCCTATTCTAACCCAGAATCCTCTTTGGGGCCTATTCTAACCTAGAATCCCCTTGAAGCCTATTCTAACCCAGAATCCCCTTGGAGGCCTATTCTAACCCAGAATCCCCTTGGAGGCCTATTCGAACCCAGAATCTCCTTGGAGGCCTATTCCAACCCAGAATCCCCTTGGAGGCCTATTCTTAACCAGAATCCCCTTGGGGGCCTATTCTAACTCAGAATCCCCTTGGGGGCCTATTCTAACTCAGAATCCCCTTGAGGGCCTATTCTAAACCAGAATCCACTTGGGGGCCTATTCTAACCCAGAATCCCCTTGGGGGCCTATTCTAACCCGGAATCCCCACAGGGAGCCTATTCTAACCCAGAATCCCCTTGGGGGCCTATTCTAACCCAGAATCCCCTTGGGGGCCTATTGTAAACCAGAATCCCCTTGGAGGCCTCTTCTAACCCCGAATCCCCTTCGGAGCCTATTCTAACCCAGAATCCCCTTGGGGGCCTATTCTAACCCAGAATCCCCTTGAGGGCCTATTCTAAACCAGAATCCACTTGGGGGCCTATTCTAACCCAGAATCCCCTTGGGGGCCTATTCTAACCCGGAATCCCCACAGGGAGCCTATTCTAACCCAGAATCCCCTTGGGGGCCTATTCTAACCCAGAATCCCCTTGGGGGCCTATTGTAAACCAGAATCCCCTTGCAGGCCTCTTCTAACCCAGAATCCCCTTCGGGGCCTATTCTAACCCAGAATCCCCTTGGGGGCCTATTCTAACCCAGAATCCCCTTGGGGGCCTATTCTAACCCCGAATCCCCTTGGGGGCCTATTCTAACCCAGAATCCCCTTGGGGGCCTATTCTAACCCAGAATCCCCTTGAGGGCCTATTCTAAACCAGAATCCACTTGGGGGCCTATTCTAACCCGGAATCCCCTTGAGGGCCTATTCTAACCCAGAATCCACTTGGGGCCCTATTCTAACCCAGAATCCACTTGGGGGCCTATTCTAACCCGGAATCCCCACAGGGGGTTGCAACGGGGGTAGCTTTCCGACCTTGCAATGAGTGTAGGAGCCCGCCAGTATGTGCACTGTACAGCCAGGGAGAGAGTGCACATGCTCCACTTCCAGCTGACTGCTGGACACACCCCTCACACAGCTCTCTACACAATCCACCACCTCCACAGCCATCTGCAAAATAATAATAATAATAATAATAATAATAATAATAATAAAAAGAAAGAAAAAACAAAGTAGTAGTAGACTACTACTGCTGCTGCTGCTACTGCTACAACTACTACTTCTATAAAACACATAACTCCATGAGCAATGTATGCTTGATGCACTGCATTATTATTACCTTGGTCTATGGATCAGTGTGCCCTCGATTTTTCATGCTCAAATCTCTTGGGAGTATACAACCCAAGCTACCTGTGAGGTGCCCGAAGGTTAACAGTCACATGATCATCTCATTCTACTGGGTACCCATTCATTGCTTATTGCTCAAAGGCATGTTTCAAACAGTCACTTGCCTAAGGAGACACCATATGTGTTACACAGGGGTCCGCAAAATTTAAAATCCCAATCGGAATGCATTTAGGCCACGCCCCCTTCAAATAGCGTATTTTAGTACGACTTTTCACACACATTACAAGTTTACGTATTCATAATATGATGAATTATGAATTGTTTCAATTTAAATTGTTTAATTCCCCGGACAATTAATAACAAATAATATCATTTTAGATTTACATGGAAAACATACGTTTGTTTCTGTTATAATAACGATCTATTATCTTTGGTCCTGCCCCACACTGAAGCTCATGTAACACTGTTACATGAGCTTCAGTGTGGGGCAGGACCAAAGCTCTAGAAACTCTCAGGAGCTGAGCTGCCGAACACAGTCACCTATCCAAGGACTCTTTGCGACCAACGTTGCTTAACTTTGCCTGACATATTAATTGCTACCAATGTCAGTCACTGGATTGTCTGGTCCAGACTCGATTATTTACAGACCGATGTCATGTGGCTGGAATATCGCTGAGTGTGGCGTTAAACAAAAAAACAACAACAAACAAACAAACATGTTACCACATGTAGATGAGCGAGTGACAGAGATTACATATACATGCTTTGAAAATAAACCACAGGTACAGACGCTTACCTTAACTGAGATCTATAAATGTAGTCGCAAGGATATACTTAATCAACTATTTAATCTTAAAACCATACTACCGGTACCTAAAGTTTTTATCAATATATTTCATGTTTTCTGAAATTTTTAAAGCAGTGATGTTTTCATTTATTGCAGCCTTCAATCCTTCTACATAATAATTTCAGTTTCTACAATTTTAAGTACATAATACTCACATTTGTTCTTATATTTTAGGTTTGAAGCATTTCCAAGTTTGCTCAGTTTTCAAACATGATAACTGCTTTTGCATTGTGGTGACCTTGACCTTGGACTAACATTGACGTCAAGGTGGACTATGTTGTTTTTATGTTATGCAATATTATTGAAGATGCTTACGACGCACAACACCCTTGACTTTCAGTCAGGTGAGCTAAAAAACAGCAGTTTCCTCCTTCAAAAATCGGGGGCACAGGTGGCCTAGTCGTCTAAGGCGCCGCGATTCGCTGTGCAGAGTTGCGTCCCTTGGGCACGCCAGAAACCTATGATGGTGGGTTCGAATCCCGGTTCGCCCCGATTATGTTTCTAGGTTTGTCAGCACCATACCCGTGCTCGTGGGTTTCACCAAAGTGGTAAATGTCTGTGACCTGCATCACTTTGGGCTTTCCTCCCACATTAAGCTGACACGCTGCGATATAACTGGAATACTGTTAAAAGCGACGTTAAACCCAACTCACTCACTCCTTCAAAAATCGTCAGTTCTGAGGAATTGGAATTATTTTATGATAAGTTGCTGCAGACTTGTGGCCAAAAATCAGCTTTTGAACAAGTCTAGATAAGTCCCGGTTATTGCTTGAATTGTCAAGTAAAAAAATATGTGGTTTGCCGTAAGAGTGAGGCAAATGTAAAATCACCTCAAGGGACTGTGTTATTTCTCCCGCGGCGCGACATGTCCCTTGATGGATCCCACTTCGAATGCCGTCCAGAATCTTGTCAAAATTCTTGCAAGTCTTCAATAAGCCGTCAAATAGAAAAAGATAACATTAGCATGTTACACAAGTATTCATAACATTCGGCAAGACTTTTTTATGTCTTAAAAGTCAGTAAAAACTGTTGCCTCGGGAAGATGTAAAAGTCCAGTTTCCCCCTTGCCGAACAAGGCTGGAATTTCCACACTCGATCATGCGACCCCAGTGGTTATGCCCCTTCTTTATCCTCCCTATTGACCAATCAGATTTCACCTCTCATATACCTTGCATTTGCTTCAAATAAAATGGCAGCCTCCAGTCATGATGATCTGGTCAATAATCAAGATCTATATTGTACGGTAATAAAAAACGGACTAGTGGCAGTGTCTGTCTTTGAGGTTAAATAAACACACACTGAACTTTGTTTCAGTTTTGTTGATAGCTAGGTCATTCTTTTTACCTTGTCGGCAATCTTGCTAAAGATTTTCTTTTCAGCTTCATGTTGTTTCACGCAGGGAAGGAAAGAGTGGCAGATTATCTTCAATATACCTGAAATAAACTTTGACAAATATTATCTGTCAAGAACAACTCAATCTCATTAAAATCAGATCCTAGTTCTCCCTACCACTAAACAAAGATCTGAAGACATCCCATTACACGTCAGAACGACCCTTCATCCGACCAATCAGTGCATCGCTAACCAGATTATGAAAGTGACTGTCGGAATGTGATTTCTAATCATGCAATCTTGAAAACTTAAACATGGGGTATCTGAACGATAGTCCTTAATTCTGAATCCTTACATTCTAGACCATCTATTAGTCATTCCAGAATGTTTTTTTGTTCAGGTTTCAAATTTGTAATTGAGAATTTGTCAAAATATGTTTCGAAGCGAAGTCGCCAATTTGAAATTTGTGCCGTAAAGCACGAGAAAGCTGGTTTCTGATTGGTCATTCCATTGGTCTGTCAAAGTTCGCGCAGGGTCGGTCTGACGTGACCCGTAATGGGATGTCCTCAGATCTTTGATTAGCGGTAGCGGGAACTAAGGTCTGATTTTAATGTGATTGAGAACAACTGAACTCTTACAAAATCACAATCAAAAACTGGTAAATAAGCAGCTTTCAAAACAGCTGCCTGTCCCTTATCCTGTGTCTGTTAATATTCTACTTGGAGGACTGAAATATTTCCTGTGGTGGTTCCAAGTAAGAATCGGTCCCCACAATTCCGGCTGACAGGCGATTGAGTGTATCAGGTAGTCAGGCTCACTGAGTTGGTCACTGTCAATGTACCGGGGTTGTTGTGCACAATCACAGGATTGTCTGGTCCAGAATCAATTATTCACAGGTGCTGTCATGATATAGCTGGAATATTGCTGCATTAGGCATTAAACAACAAACACACACACATACACAGAGTAGGAAAAGAAACAATGGATACTATTAAACATACTGAACAAAAAAGTTCTACAATGTTGAATTTGGATGATTTGCATTTTATTACAAAATTTCACTGCAAATCTGTAAAGAATAATAACACATTTTTCATAAAACTCACCAATTTCTTCCTCAATATCATTTACTTGATGTAAGAATGTCTGAGATAGTTAAGGTGATCCAATAACATCTTACCATCATTTGCAAAGTAACTCGGACCAACTACATTTCTTCATAATGCTAAAAAAAACAATAGTCTTGGAAATCAGGCACCGCCCGCATCATCATAAATTAAGCCGCACCTTTCGTTTTTATTTCCATTTTTAAAAAAAATATTCAAATCCTAATACTTAAAAACAATGCGATCCAATATAGCACCCAGTTACTTCCTTTACATGCACACTGCTTTGATGCACATCTCTTGTTATGGTCATGGCAACAATAGGAGTTTGTATGCTTGTTTCTGTAGGGCGGCCCTTTCCCAGGTCGATGGTTCACAACTGATTATTTGGTTACATACTAGTTTACTTCTTTATTTACTGTAAAGGCAACGTTTTGGTACATAAGGATCTATACCGAAACGCAAATAAAGAAGTTGATATCCATAATTGTGTCTACTTTGTCATCCGGCAACTTCTAACTAATACCTATCAAACAACTTAGTTTGAACAAGGCCCTCCAAAAAAACCACTGCCTGCCCGCACTATATTTTCAAAAGTCATTGCCTGAAAACCTATTCTTTTATGTTGTTTAGCCTAATAATATATACCGTATTTGATGTAATAATCGCCCCGTTCTAATAAGCTCCCACGGCGATATTTGCTAATAAATTGGCTAGTGAACAATCCCAATTAGCACCCTTCCGATTGATCAATGCACACAAGACCTATTCATTCTTGTATAATACGCACTCGTGTGTTATATGGACCCTTAATTATGGGCAATTAAATTCTGGAAAAATATATCTGTCATATATAAACATTTCAGGCTGTCAGCATAAACCACGAAATTTATCTTTCAACTCTGTTTTTTTTCTCCACCAAAATAATATTCTAATAAGAGCCCCCTCTTTCTAATTTTGAGAGCGCCCTGGGCTCTTATCACGTCGAATACGGTATGTGAATTACATAGAAGGAATATATCAAATGTAATGTGTTAGTCTATGGGATGGTTCATCTAGCAGTGACTTGTTACAGGAGCTATCATCTCTACCTCTTCAGGTGTTTCTCTGAACAGGTAATTGCCAGTACTTTCCTGGTTAAATAAGCCATGTAAAAGGAAAATTTAACCTTATCAGTCCACTGGACCAGCAGTAAACATGAGTCTGACATTATTATCTTGAAATACAAATCTTGACCAAATCTCCATTTACATTTATAAATCAATGCTGTTAAAAATACGACTAATGTCTTAGCGTGTTTGTTATTGCAAGAGGCTGGGAGGTTCCTTCTCTATATTTAGCCAAGCTTATCCATTGGTTGATATGAATCACATGATAGCTAATTGATAGGACCAGGAAAATATTGAATGTACCAGTACTTTTAAGTGCGGCCAGTCCAGCGAACCGGTCTTCATATTGTCCTAAGCACTGTACAAAGAGTATGAAACCTGGGTTAGTTTTAGATGTCAGATAACTTAATCTTTATAAAAATGTATCAGGAATGGTTCTGAAGAAGCATTTTTGGTGTCCATTGTTATTAAAGACTCTAAGTATATTCAGGCAGGATACAACGAGTTTGGGCAGAGCTTCGTCAAGGTTCTCCAAACATTTCTTCTCATCCCAGCTCACCACATCTTCCAGGAAGGCTGCCTGTGACATCTCTGTCAGAACCTAGAAATATGTCACAAATTCATTAGGAGGATATTGAAGTTAGAGGAATGTGAGTAATGATTTGATGCCTCCCAATTCTTAAAACCTGTGCTTGCTTCGGGTTTCAAATCCACTATATAAGGTATGAAATCAATCAAAAAATGTTAAAAATAGTGACCATGGCACTGTAGCTCACCTGGATATGTGGTCAACAGTTTAATACGCCAACAAAGACGACCACTTAATAAAATTGCAGTCATCATTCCTATTCATACAAAATGTTAAGTTCACCTGCACTGTCCCTTGTTATTGATGTCATAATCAAAGTAGCTGTTGCATGATGTCACAATCAGTGTAACTTCATTCTCCCTAATGTTTGTTTATTTGTTGTTTAACACCACACTCAACAATATCAAAGCTATATGACGGCCGTCTGTAAATAATCAAGTCTCAACCAGACAATCCAGTGATTGATAACATGAGCATCGATCCACACAATTGGGATACAATAACATGCGTCAACCAAGTCAGCAAGCCTGACCACCCGATCCCATTAGTCACCTCTTACGACAAGCATAGTCACCTTTTATGGCAAGCATAGGTTGCTGAAGACCTATTCTACCCCAGAATCTTCACGGGTCACATGTTGCATGTGTTGTAACAGACTTTTTTAGGGAGCTGTACTGCAATGGCCAGCTGTTTCTCCAGAGACCAGAACATGTCTCTATAGAACATGTCTGGGATGAGATGGAACAATGCCTAAGGAAAAGATCAGAACCAACCGTTACCACTAACTCAGTTGAGCCAATCTTTGGTTGACAATTGGAACAACATCCCCCAGGCTGTTTTCAATCATCTGGTGTCTTCAATGCAGTGCCGCAGCCTGGCCTGTATCAACGCAAATGGTGGCCAATCCTGATATTGATATTGTTAATTGTCTTGTGACACCACCCTTCATTTAGGGCATGTTGTTCGGTCTCCTGTTACCAGGTATAGGTTTTGTCAATGAATTATGATCAAACATTGATCAGACCAAGGACAATATTACATTATTTTCAATAACATAACATTTACACCACTTCAAATGAAGCACAGTTAATTTCCTCCCATATATATACATAAACTGAATCAATCCATTTACTGTTGAGTAATTCAGCTCAAACAAGCTTCCTCAGGCCATACTGGAAAATGTGTTGTCATGACACCCATATTAACATTACAGAAATTTGTCAAATAACTTACACTACTAATAATAATAACTTAACAAGGGAAATAATTACAGTTCATTATCTAAAATTAATCTTCATCAAAAACAGTGTAATGAACTTGTTTTTCCTTATCTTCCGACATATTTTTTCGTCGTCCAAATGTGTACACTGGGGAAAACTGAATGGGTGTGAAAATGTTGGGTGAGGACATCTTGTGACAATATTGAATTCTTGTGAATATATATGACTGAATCTCATTGTTTGTTTTCATCAATGACCTGGGTCTCATATTGGGTGTTTAGGGGCTGAATCAGTGAACATGTGAAAACAGACTTCAGTTAATTGTAAGCGAAGTGACATGCCTCTGCAATCGGACCTTGGCATGCATACTATTCAGTTTCTGGATGGTTAAAGGGACATTTGACTTGTGTTCAATCTTTGAAACCTTGCTACGCATTGTCCTCACGAAAATAGGGGACACATTCATGTTTCATCTGCACTAAAGAAAGTAACTTCTCTAATCCCCAATCGACAATGAATAATTTACAAGTTTGAGAAATAACTGAACGCCTTTGATATATCGGTCTTCGAAAGAGAAGATATAATCAACAAACCTATGTTACATTCAAGATATAATAAGTTGAATTTGCCGCCTTCGTCTGCTACGCCATACTTGTTGTTGACAAGTGTTGATAGATTCCGGTTTATTCCATTTTCTTCAGTGAAGGGTACCGAAGAAATTAGAAAGGATTTTAAGTTATTATTTCTCAGCGATCAAGATATTCACTTCGTCACGTTCACCCTAACTCAAATAAAAAAATAACTCCTAATCCACTTCATGACATTATTAATTGGGATATGCAGTAAATACAGCAAGCCATGAACCGGAAATGACCTTTTAGATGATCCCATTGCAAATATTTTGCGGGAACGTGGTGGCGCGAAAGATTGTGTCACACACTGAGAAGAAGACGAGAAAAATGCCGGGTAGAACAGTGCAACCTCCCCAGCTGTCCGACAGCATCAAGAGAAAGTGAGTTGATAGCCCTTGCCAAATTATCATGAATTACACCTAATGTAGAAAAAAGGTGATATCTGTACAGATTATTTCCGCCAACTACTGAACTGAAGTTGGTCTGGTGGGTAGTCTTGCCTATTTGTTCCTGACACCATGAGATGAAGGAATATTTCTTGAACACTAAAACTGATTACAATAACCATAATTCATACGATGTCTAATAATCTGAAAATGTCACGGCATGTTTTCAGCGGGTTGCGATAATTTCGTACCCAAGCAAACAGTAACCCTATTTCGTCTATAGACCTATATAAGACAATAAAATTATTATCTTTGGATAATAGGTTTCCAAAAATACTTTTTAAACGGCATTGTTTATATCGCGATGTCTCTCTCTCTCAACCCATGAAGAACATGGTTAGAATAGGTCTTCAGCAACCCATGCTTGCCGTAAAAGGCGACTATGCTTGTAAGAGGCGACTCACTGGATCGGGTTGTCAGGCACACTGACTTGTTGATGCATGTCATCGTATCTCAATTGCGTGGATCGATGCTCATGATATCAATCACTGGATTACCTGGTCCAGACTTGATTATTTACAAACTGCTGTCATACAGCTGTAATAATACTGAGTGCGTCGTTAAACAACAAACAAACAATAACAAGTTGTGTGATGTCACACTATAGGAGCCAATTCCTTGCATAGGAATAGAGGAGAAAGGAGACATGGTTGAGGTTTCATAAACAAATTTATCACCACGCAGTCGTTGTATTCACCATGTTCACATTTATCATGTTTATGAATCAACCATTCATTCTCTATAACATTCACGACATGCATAACAAACATCAACACACAATCAAACACATCACATTAAAACAACAACCAATATCCCAATATCAGTCACTGCATAGTTGGGGGCAGATGTTAATTGTTAATTAAAAATCTCCAGTCTCCATTTTAATTACTATTGGGATCAAGAAGCCCATAAGTAATTGTCAACTGAAACAGTGTTTTCTTAAAGATTAGCTTCTGTCAACAGATAAACCTCATATGTTATTCATTTACATAAAATGTTGTTTGGATCGACATCTAAGTTAATAATATATATTGCATAGTGTTATGAAATTACTTTCGATTGGGGGTAAGATATTTCTCATTTATCAGTAGAGGACGTAACGTGTACGCGAGACGGCTCTCCCGTCTCGCGTACAAGTGACCACCTGAGAGGGGGTCACTCGTATGCGTGACGGCCTGTCAGTGGACCATGGATTTCTGCATGTTGCACAAAAATATGTCTACAAGCGTTATTTGTGAAAATAATAAAACAAAATTAAGTACAGTTATTGATCATTCTACTAGTTATCGAATGACATAAAAAAAATGTCATAAGAAAAATAATAAACGGTCAAATTGGGAGAAAAATGTGCAAAAATCGAGCAAAATGAGCTGTTTTTGACAGCGATTTTCTCCTATGTACATATTTTTCAGAAACTAACACGTAGTATTTTCTAAAAGCTTATTCATCGTAGAGTTACAAAATATATAAATTATTTCACGCACACCAACGCACACCCATTTTCCATCGCGTTGAAACATGTTTACTTTCTTCGAAACTGCGCGAACCGTCTCGCGTACAAGTGACTGGTCGACAAGCCGATAAAGGGAGGTAACCGATGCCTGACTAAAATGTTCAATCGGAACATCCGTCTTGTTACACTAAATGTGTCTGAATCAGAATGATATTTATTTAGCGCGTAGTTTCGTGGTTAGAACAAGGAGGAAATGTATTTTCATCACGTATTAGGAAAACAATTTTGCAGTGGGTATATATTTTTAGGTGGAAGTAAAATTGTTGGAAAACAAAGTATTTCTGTGAAATAATGAGTAATGCTTGGTATCGAACGACATAAAATATTGAAAAGTAAATTAAAAGAGTCAAATTTGGGGATTTTGGACAGCGATTTTCTCCTATGTGCATATTTTTCAGTAACATAATTTCAGTATTTTCTTAAAGCTTATTCGTCGTAGTGTAACAACATATATATACTTTTTTGGGCACACGAACGCACACCTATGTGCCCGGGCCTTGAAACATATCTACTTTCCTGAAACTGCTCGCAACTGGTAAACACGTCGTCCCACAGCCCCGTTAAGCGTACGAGAGACGGCTCTCCGAACAAGCAGTGAAAGACGGCCTGAGAGAGTCACTTGTAGGCGTGACTGCCTGTCGATGGATTACAGATGTCTGCATGTGACACCAAAAAACCCGTCTCTACACACTTCCTATGTATTATATAAACAAATATACGTAGTTGACTGTTAGATGCTTGTTATCGAACGATATAAAAAGTAGAAAAATAAATTAAAAGAGTCAAATTTGGAGAGAAATGTACGAAATTGGAGCCAAATTTGCCGATTTTCGACAGCTATTTTCTCGTATGTGCATTTTTTTCAGAAACATAATTTCAGTATTTTCTTAAAGCTTATTCGTCGTAGTGTAACAACATATATATACTTTTTCGGGCACACGAACGCACACCTATGTGCCAGCGCGTTGAAACATATCTATACTTTCCTCAAACTGCTCGCAACTGGTAAACACGTCGTCCCACAGCCCTGTTACGCGTACGAGAGACGGCTCTCCGAACAAGCAGTGAAAGACGGCCTGAGAGAGAGTCACTTGTAGGCGTGACTGCCTGTCGATGGATTACAGATGTCTGCATGTGACACCAAAAAACCCGTCTCTACACACTTCCTATGTATTATATAAACAAATATACGTAGTTGACTGTTAGATGCTTGTTATCGAACGATATAAAAAGTAGAAAAATAAATTAAAAGAGTCAAATTTGGAGAGAAATGTACGAAATTGGAGCCAAATTTGCCGATTTTCGACAGCTATTTTCTCGTATGTGCATTTTTTTCAGAAACATAATTTCAGTATTTTCTTAAAGCTTATTCGTCGTAGTGTAACAACATATATATACTTTTTCGGGCACACGAACGCACACCTATGTGCCAGCGCGTTGAAACATATCTATACTTTCCTCAAACTGCTCGCAACTGGTAAACACGTCGTCCCACAGCCCTGTTACGCGTACGAGAGACGGCTCTCCGAACAAGCAGTGAAAGACGGCCTGAGAGAGAGTCACTTGTAGGCGTGACTGCCTGTCGATGGATTACAGATGTCTGCAAGTGACACCAAAAAACCCGTCTCTACACACTTCCTATGTGATTATATAAACAAATATACGTAGTTGACTGTTAGATGCTTGTTATCGAACGATATAAAAAGTAGAAAAATAAATCAATTAAACCAAAGCCATGGGACCTTGCCCGTATATAGATATATAATACCTCAATTGATGTAGCAGCTTCATGTCCATGGTTAGTAGTGTTGGGTAAAGAAATTAGGTCAGTGAAACACCTTGCAAGTTGAATGAATTTGTGATGTTTTCAGGCTTGGAGAGTTGGATGAAGAACTCAGTGAAGGGGATATCACGCAGAAGGTACATGTCAGACTTTTCTTAATTCAAACTTATCGAGTACAAAGTGAACTAGATGCTTCTACCTAGGCTACATCATGTTCTATCACATTAATTGAAAAAATGTCCTGCAATTGCATCTTACTCTTCTTAGAATACATGTATAGGATTCCCTTGTCCTTTCATGATGCTTGTTTGAAATTTTCGGCATCCTTCCATTGATGAACACTGACATAATTGACATTAAATACAAATTAAATCATAAGCCTGATGATTAGAAGCAAAGTTCAGATAAAACAGTTAGGAAAGAATGTCAATTAGCTGTGATTAGATATATTTCCATGATCAATCAGGATTTTGGTTATTGATTGAAATGTAACCATGGTAACATGATTTTATTTCATTTTCATTTCTAGATATATCTTACTCATTATATATTCAGGGCTTGAAATTAGAAAAAGAATCTGGTGTGCCCAACGCACAGACCTGTTTTTCAGGTGTTCCATTTCAATTTAGGCATGCCTTCTCAATATTACTAAATTATTGTACCCACTTCTGTTTGAAACACAAGACCTTCGTAAAATAGATGATATTCCATCAAAATAAGGACAGACATAAATACATTCAAACAGAAATCACCCAAGAAGGCCGATTGCTTTTCCAACAGAAAGTCGTTTGATGATTGTGGAATATGCAACAAATGGGGAAAACTCTTTCATTTCACAGTTTAATTTTGTTAAAACATGAAATCAAAATTAGCGTACATACTTTTAATGAAAGTGACTGTACACACAAGGCACTGTACATTAAATTCAAGCATGCCATTTCCTATTTAATGGGGATGGTCAGGTAGCCTAGTGGTTAAAGCCTTCGCTCGTCACGCCGAAGACCCGGGTTCGATTCCCAACATGGGTACAATATGTAAAGCCCATTTCTGGTGTCCCCCGCCATGATATTGCTGGAATATTGCTAAAAGCGGCGTAAAACCATACTCACTCACTCCTATTTTAAGTGTGCCATGGGCATGACAGCACTCGTAATTTCGAGCCTTGTATATGCTATTGCTAATCATGGTAATAGAATAGACAGAATGCTTAAAACTGATATGTTTTGTGGTTAACAGTTCTTGCACTAACTTCTTTATCATGTTTATGCAGGGCTACCTAAAGAAGAAACACAGATTGTTTGAGCCATTATACACGGATGACATCCGACAAAAGGTCCAGGAGTTGGACGAGGAGTTGAAAGATGAAAGTGTCACAGAGGTAAGTACAGCTTTTCGGTAAACCTACACTGGATCCATTCCCGTCGTTCAAGCGATCTTAAATTACCCGTGAAGATCAAGGTTGAGAAAAGGTCTTCAGCAACCCTTGCTGGCTGTAAGAGGTGACTAAGCTTGTCGTAAGAGGCGACTAACGGGATCGGGTGTTAATGTATCCTCCAGTGTGAACTTACAGACACAGGTTATCATACCAGGGCTAGACATGAGTTTTCATCCAATTAATCGTCTTGGACCAATTATGAACGAGCAAGAAGTCCTTCCCGACTTTCACTGTCCTCCGGACAGCCACTTGATGGCACTTGTCCCAAGTCATGTTGATGTTTTTGATGCTTGATTACAGAAAGGATACTTCAAGAAACTGGAGAAGCTTCTGGACAGTTTTATGACTGCTACACCGGAAGAAGTAGGAAAACTGAAAAATGTTGAAGAGGAACAAGAAAATGGCAGTTCAAATGGCACTGAATCCTCTGCGAATGGCAGTACAGCAAGTGCGAACGGCAGTACAGCAAGTGCGAACGGCAGTACAGCAAGTGCGAATGGCAGTACAGCAAGTGCGAACGGAAGTACAGCAAGTGCCAATGGCAGTACATCAAGTGCTAACGGAAGTTCCAGCTCGGCAAGTGCTAACGGAAGTTCCAGCTCTGCAAGTGCTAACGGAAGTTCAAGCTCCACAAGTGCTAATGGTAGCTCCACAGCACCCAATGGCAGCTCTGCATCCGATTCAACTGAAATGACAGAAGATTCAACCGATGATAAGGTTACAATGTTTTTCTTTCTTGTACTTGAAGTAATTTTTTCAGACATGTAAAGCTTTAAAATACACACAGCACCGATTCCTCTTCTCTCTACGCCCTTGTGTGGATTTGTCTGGATAATTCCCAGCAGGCTATGCTAGTGTGTGAGGGGACTAAATTGATCGAAGACTCTGACTTGATTGATTGGTTGTGTGTGGGAGGTTGCATAATATCAATCATTGTTTTGCATGATCCAGACTCGATTATTTGTAGGATATATAGCTAGAATATTTCTGCATACTGCATTAAACAACGAACCATAATCTTCCCAATGCAAGTGCTATTGGAATGGCAGGAAATGCTCACCTCGGCCCAATTCACACACAGATTGTGGTGCTGCAGTTCCCCTCCCCCTCCCTCTCCCTCCATCCCTTCATTCTTCCTGCCCCCTCTCTCTCTCTCCCCCTCTCTCTCTCTCTCTCTATCTCTCTTCCCCCCTCTCTCTCTCTCTCCTTCTCTCTCTCTCTCCTTCTCTCTCTCTCTCTCTCTCCCCCCCCCCCCCCCCCCCCAGCTAAACTTGGTCCATGTATATTATAATTAACCAGGGGCTGAAGTGGTACCTTTTGCCTTTTGTGGCTGGGGGGATTTATGATCTTCTGATGTTATTTAATTTTTAAGGGTACATATTGGTTTCTAGACTTCTGTCATAAAACAAATATTTATCTTCTTATTTCTTTTGCCTAATGAGGAAACCAAATTTGATTAAAGGTTGATGGCGTTGAAGTGATGGAGGTCGAGGCGGACGATGCAGAGGAGCACATCAGGAAGAAGGGAGGAGAGAGTGACAAGGAGAATGTTAGAAGTAGGTCCATTGCATCCCATTTTAGGGCAGAATAAGTATGAAGTACCCCACACTATTTCTCCCATGAGGATTCTAGGGTATTTTAAAATTTGTTTATTTACATTACATTTAATAGTGTAAAACTAATCTTTAAAGCCTCTTCTCCTTTACTGGTCCTGATGTTGGTGAAATACTAGTCAAAACTAGCCTAGTGGTTCACTCATCACTCTGAAGACACAGGTTCAATTCCCGACATGGGTACTTTGTGTTGAGCCCATTTCTGGTGTTGTCTGCCGTGATATTGCTGGAATATTGCTAAAAGCGGCGTAAAACCATACTCACTCACTCAAAATTTTTCATATAGCTATATTAACATGAATAGGAATTCAAATTTCTGCTGACATTTGCTGCAGACTTGTGTCCGTAAACAGGCCTAGATAAGCCCCTGAGTACCCACTGCTAGTCTTCCCAAGGGAGTTCCCCATCTTGCCATAGGGTAGTATAGGATCGCTGCACCCCTTGCTTGACTTTCTGTGGAGGTATAGGGGTAGAATACATGTCGAGTACCCCTGCTTGTCTCCTCGGGCAGAATAGGCCCCCAGTACTTTTGTCTCAAGAGACAGGCTGATTTTGTCATACCCACATGACAACTTTCACTGTCTCATTTGTTCTGGTTTTTTTCTTCAGAAACTGTGGTATGAATTTTTTAGATGGAATGTGTTTATTTTGAGACTGCTTGTAGACATGTTTTGTTTGAATATTTTGCAGATACACCTTCACGAAAAGGCCGATCAAAGAAAGGCAGGAAGTCTCAGGGTGACGGTCAGCCCTCGATAACCTCCATGTTTGGCAAAGGACAAGGGTAGGTGTTCTGTAAAGCAGGGGTATCACCTTGACATGGTGGCCGTCAACAGTGGTTGATGCATGTCATCGTATCCCAATTGCGTGGATCGATGCTCATGATGTCAGTCACTGGATTGTCTGGTCCAGACTCGATTATTTACAGACCACCGTCATATAGCTGGAATATTGCTGAATGCGGCATTAACAACAAACAAACAGTGAAGCCACTAGTTGCTGATGTGACCTGATGTTTGGTTTGAGGACTTAGCTTATCGTCTGTCAGCAACAGGGATGGAAATTTACACTTGCCCATTGAAATTGCTTATTGTAGCAAAGGAAATTTGTTGTTGGAAATTTTGAATACTGCACATTGTTACGAAGTGATTTCCTAATTGAAATGCAAAGGTTGACAAGTTCTCACAGCAACAATTTGTGAAATCAGTAAGTGAACCACACAAGATCAATGCATGATCAACATATTATGTTTAAACATACAGCAGGAAATCATCTCAAATAAACAAGTCTGCCAACAACAACCAGGGGCAGATAACTCCAGTCACTTGCTGCCACTGATAGTTACTACAAATATGTTAATAACAGTTTCTACAGCATCTGATATTACCTACACGACATGATTGGGTTTTATGTGACTTCACAGGTCAAAGAGGAAGTCCACAGTGGAAGAAGAAAAGACTGAAGTGAAATCTGAGGAAGAGACGGACCAAAAACGTATCCGAGTCGATGGCGAGGAACAAATGGAGGATGATAGGTGAGAGAAATGCAGGGCAGGGTGGTATTGAAGTGTCTTCCAATTGAACTGCCAGATGTTTGTTCAGGTTCTTAAAACTTGATTTAAGTGAGTATTTCCCTGGTTAAAGTGAGTTGATTCAGTCCACAGGGGGAATTTTCATTTCACAGAGTCGACAATGAAACTGGAAATGTGGGCTCAAATGTCACTAAACAATCTGAAGCAAATGCAATTTTAGATTGACTGGAGCAGGCGGTAATGACACCACAACCAATAGATATACATTTGTTGATTGTGATGCTGCAGACAGTTCGCTGCAGCCTAGGGTGTGTGGTATTATGGTACACTGGTATTGTGCTGCAAATCTTCAGTAATACATATTGCGATACGTTTGTAAATGTAGCAATATATTGGGGCAAATATAGATAATTATATTTATGTGTTCCTAATCAATACGGAGATGGAAAATAGTATCTTTCTGATACAACTTGCGTCTGACGATATTTTTATCAATTTAGCGCGTACACATCGCGACTATCAAGCTCCTCACAGCTGGGAAGGAGCTTTCGTTTCCCTGTGACCGTATTATCTCCCTTGATCGTTGCTGGGATACGAAATGTAATTTGGCAATTTATTGCAAGGTTAAAGCATGGCAATATATTGCAATACAAAATCCAGGTCAATACACAGCCCTAGGGCAGACAGTTCCAACTCCAGTCACATCAGGCCAAATACTACCGGGAAAACTGTACCAAAACTTTTTATGATCAATCGATATGAGCGTAAAGCCAAGTGGTTACATTTCACCAAGCAAGAGAGGATACAGGCAAGTACTGTGAAGTTTTCAGACCAGAATATGAGGACACTTTGGAACACACCCCTCACAAAACCTGGATACACAAGAATTAGCAAGCGACACTGCCTTGCGTAAGAATGGTACACTGTATTCACAACTCACAGAGGGTCTGTTGTTGATGCTACAGGAGCTTCTCATCACAGGCTTTGGAAAACTGGCATACAACACTGTACAAGATATATATCTGTGAAAATATTTCAGACTTGTGGAAATCAAAGAAGATAGAAGAATTGATCTGTGAACTTCACCAATGTTCTGCATTGTAATGGCTGCCATTCACAATCTGGTCATGTGTATGGTTGAGCTGGACAAGTCGAGGCGACATCATGATTCCATCTTGAACTTGAAATAGTCGTGTACTTATGGACTACAGTTGTGTGATTAAAATATTGGTTAATTGTGAACGTCAGCTCCAAGAAGTGATGTAATGCTTATGGTTGTTTTGTTTTCAAGTTTTGAAGTTGTGAATCATGTGATGTATTTAGACTTGAATGTCACTGAGGACTATGTTTGTGAAACAGGACCAATAAAAGAAATTGGATCTTCAAGACTTCGTTTTTAATCCTTGCATTGTTTGAAGCACAATGTTGCATGATACTGAAATACGAAAATAAGTAATAATTTCTTATCCTGTCACAACCCACAATTTTCTTCTTCACTTTGATCCTAAACCATAGAACCCAAAACTTGCGTCTCCTACCTCCAGGGTGCCCCTTGCTCCTGGTTACCAATCGGGTGTTACCTGTTCTTGATCCCTCACTTTCCCTCGTATTACATGGGGATACGTTGCTTGATATTATGTAATTATATCCTTGTTGTTGTGTTTGTTTGACATTATTCAAGAGTGATTCTTCTACAGATACCTTTATTGGCGATCACTACATTATATTGGATGAGACCTTTCCATTTACCATGATACCATAGGAAATAAGTTCTTTACACAAATTCCAACTCTAGAACAAAATGATCTCAATTTGCCTGCCATGGGCCTAATCTAAGTGGAAAATCCTAGCATCATTTTCAGTTGACTTGAGTGTTACTACATAGATTATTAGCTGTACCAGGCTGAACAGAAGTTTACCAGGCTTGGGCTTCAGACTAGTGGCTAAAGTCAGGTTTTTACCATGACACAAATTTGGAGGCCAGGTGACCCCCCAATAATTCATTTTAAGGGATTCTGTAAAGTGATAAAATGACATTATTTACCATGTTTACTGTACTTTTTCATATTTACCTGGGGGGCATAGGTGTCGTCTAAGGCGCTGCAATTCGCTGTGCAGAGTTGCGTCCCTTGGGCATGCCAGAACCATATGATTGTGGGTTCGAATCCCGGTTCGCCCTGATTATGTTTCTAGGTTTGTCAGCACCATACCCATGCTCGTTGGTTTCACCGAAGTGGTAAACATTTGAGACCTGCATCACTTCGGGCTTTCCTCCCACATTAAGCTGACACGCCGTGTCAAACTGGAATAATGTTAAAAGCAGCGTTAAACCCAACTCACTCACTCACTCACTCACTCATAATTACCTTAAGACCTATTTTGTACTCGTGGAATTTGAATTCTGAACTATTGTTAACTGATCAATGCTGATATTCTGTTGCAATAAAGCTGCATTGGTTCTTTCAGGGAGGTTGTTGAGGTGAAGGAGGAGACTAAGCCAGTGACCCCCCGGGCGGTGATTCCCATCAAATGTCGGGAGTGCAAACAGCTGCTGGACGACCCTGATCTCCGACTGTTTCCTGGGGACCCAGATGAGGCGGTGAGTTGTTGTTAGCTGAACTGGAGGGATGTGAGGTTGTCATTGTCATGGCGACCACTTAGATCCATGATACGTATGATGTTCTGAGGTTGCATGGATTATTCAAGCAGTGGCATCTCTCGTTACATTGCTCACAGTTTCCTGATCTGAGTTACCGTATTCGATGTAATAAGCGCCCCACTCTAGTAAGGACCCACGGCGATATTTGCCAATATGTTGGCTAGTGAACAAACCCAATTAGCACCCTTCTGATTGATCAATGTACACGAGACATATTTATTTGTGTATAATACGTACTCGTGTGTTATATGCAGCCTTAATTATGGGCAATTAAATTCTGGAAAAATATATCTGTCGTGTATACATGGTATATTACGCACAGACGTTTCTTTTATGCCATAAAATTTACGATCTTTCGACTTTTTCACCCAAATTATATTCTAATAAGAGCCCCCTATTTCTAATTTTGAGAGCGCCCTGGACGCTTATTGCGTAGAATGCGGTATTCGTGATCTGCAGTGCCCTTGTGGACCTGGTGTAGAATGTGTCCCCAGCACCCACTGCCAGGCTTATAAGGCGGAGGTGAGGTGAAATGGGGTTTAACGTCACGTCCAAGATTATTGCACTTCATAAAGCGATGTGCATGCACGTGTGTGTGTATGGCTGCTTGTACTAGTCCGGACTGATGCCGATTTATAGTGCTAGCCCACTGAGATACCATGCCGCAGTTGAACATGAATACCCCATGCAGACACAGTATACTGACTCCAAGCCGAACAGTCCTTGTTTTAGCCCCTTTATGCCGAGCGCCAGACAGGGTAACAACAAGTACCATCTTTTAACGTCTTTTGGTATGACGCGTCCGGGGATCGAACCCCGGACCTTCCTCTCTCCGGGCGGACGCTCTACCACTAGACCACGGAGGCGGTCCTTATAAGGCGGAGAAATTAGACCTCGTTGGCAGTCTGGATTAGCATCGGTTTTCGATAACATTTGTTGGTCGTAAGAGGCAATTTAATGGCTTGGGTGACCAGACTCAATGACTTGCATCAGTTAATGGAGAAAAATTTAAATCTCCCTCAAACGTCTTTTGCTGTCTTGGCTTACATTTGGCTCATTTTATTTTATGAGCTAATGAAGATGTACGCATTACAAAACAGCGGCCAGTTGTCATTCTACCGAAATGATATAGATCTTTCTTTGAGTTAGCCATGCACACGATCTCATTCCCTCTAAAAAAAATCTCATGAAAATTACGTGGTTCACGAGTATTGTCCTATTAAAAAAAAATAAACATACATGGAGAGGGGTGATTTTGACTAGCCAGACAGGCCATCAACTTTACATTTCAGAATGCCATTTGTAATTTGAACTGGCAATGGGCCAGCAGTTAAATCGATGCCTGATCATTGTCCCCAAGCTTAGGGAGGCTCGTGCAAACGGTAAGAACTAAACTACGAGTGTCTGACTGACTGTTGTCCCTGCAGGTGGAGGAGTGTGTGGGGCTGTTTGACCCCAAGCTGTCCCTGTTTACTGGGGACGAGATGGTGGCGGAGAGTGACGAGAGGCCAACTCACAAGATCACAGACTTCAGGTATGTTGGCCAGTGCTCAAACTGTGACAAATCGTGTGTTTGTCTCAAGTAGTTTCATGTAGATACACGCCGGGTATGAGTTCCCAGTAGCCTATACTGGTAGTGAGAGGTAGCTCAGTCACTCTGGTGGTCAGGTTCAGTGACTTGGTAGATAGTGTGCTCTTGTTTGTGTTGGCGTGACTTGACTATGTAGTAGCCACTGTAATATAGACTACAGCGTTAAGGAAAGGAAAAACAAACTTGGTTGTGAGGTGACCCATTTCCTGTGAAATGATGGGCAGTGTATTGGAAGAATGAGACTAACGGGACATAGCACTAGAAAATCTGTGTCATTTGTTTTGAACCCCCACAAAGATCCAGGTTAGAATTGGTCTTCAGCAACCCATGCTTGCCGTTGGAGGCATCTAACGGGATCTGGTTGTCAGGCTCACTGACTTGGTCATCGTATCCGAATTACGTAGATAGATGCTCATGTCATTCACTGTATCATGCTGTGTTGTCTGGTCCAGACTTGAAAGTTTACAGACTGCCATTATATAGCTGGAATATTGCTGAGTGCAGCGTTAAACAACAAACAAACAAAACAAGAAATTAAATATATTTTAGACCATGCTGGCCATACTTGATTATTTACAGGCAGCCATCATATCTGGAATATTATAAAGAGAGCAGCATTATGCGACACACTCGGGTGGGGGTCAAAGCGGTTGTTCTGAGTCTTTTGACTTTCATCCTGAAAACTTTACAAGTTGTGCAGATCACGAAACTTGGAAATGTTGAAGTAATAGTATGGGAATTAACATTGATTAATAGAGATTAAATAACATAACCCAGGAAAACATACACATCAACTATGATCAAGAAAATCATCCATCTTGGCCAATTCGCTCTTTCAGTATTTACGACAAGAACACCCATCTCTGCCCTTTCGACTCCGGCCTGATCGAGAAGAACGTCATGCTGTACTTCAGTGGGGTGATCAAGCCCATCTACGACGAGAGTGTCACCCCGGAAGGTGAGGGAAAGACAGAGTTGTGGGCCACAAACATGCCTTACATGCCCTAGTTCTTAAACACATTTATTGAATAAAAAATTGGCCTTGAGTGTGAGTTCTTGCACTGAACAGTCGTCACTGACGTTTGCAATGCAGTGTTTGATGTAAAGGTGGTCCTTGTCTTCTGCTGTATTTGGAACCCTCGAAATTCCTTTACCATTAGGTATGCACCCCTTACTTTCATGCTCAAATTTGAAAACGTAAATGCAGGACCTACCAAATTCTCGGAGGTCAATTCGTCAAATAATCAACAAGAAACCGAAGACAGATATTGGTGATAAGAATAAAGTGCTGCCGACTGTCATGCATCCTTTTGTCCGGGTTCCATTCCCCACATGGGTACAATGTGTGAAGCCCATTTCCGGTGTCCCCTGCCGTGATATTGCTAAAAGAGGCGTAAAACCATGCTCACTCACTCACCCATGTGATAAGAGTGACCTTCTGGAATGTCATGATTGACCAATGCAATGATGCATTGCAAAGTTACACTCCGCGACACGGTGCATGATACGCCTTCCCATGCATAGATTATGTCTTAATTCTGTATCAAATTTCAAAAAGTAGTATTACTGAAGTTTTATGATAGCTTAGACATGTTAGACCGATCTACTCGTACAAGGGCTACATCAGTTTACTGCCTATCAAGAAACATAAGAATTAATTTGATTGCAAAGAACGATCCTAAACATGCTAAAGTGACCAATTATCGACCTATCGTCAGCCAGGCTGCACTGGATATGTGGACTTTCACTCAAAACAACACAAATTATTGTCGGATCGTAGGTTTTCGGACATCATACATTTTCAGACGGCCATGTTTATCTCGATTATTAGCGCTATAACAACTAGTCGAGTCACACAGACATTGTAAATACTTAGATGATGACCTGTTTTTTAGACAAAGTGTGTGAGATGTTTGACAGTTGTTCTTGTGATTACCGAGAAAATTTTACGAATGTTTCTTAAGCCTCCGTAAACCCATAACACAGGGATAATCAGTGACAGAATTATTCGATCATCTCGTCTAAAAAAAGGTCAGACATTATTTGAGGATGGGGGGGCCTGACAAATTGTTAAAGGTTTTAAACAACTCCACTTGTCATAACACAGGGTTAAGTAATGTACTTATCATCTTGACGTTAGTATGAGCAACTATATCATTGTCACTTCATGTTTGAGGAGGGGCGGTCGGGTAGCCTAGTGGTTAAAGCATTTGCTCGTCACGCCGAAGACCCGGGTTCGATTCCCGGCATGGGTACAATGTGTGAAGCCCATTTCTGGTGTCCCCCGCCGTCATATTGCTGGAATATTGCTTAAAGCGGCGTAAAACCGTACTCACTCACTAATGTTTGAGGACCCCAAGAGACGAAGCATGTGTAAAATTTACTAGTTTGAGTTGAACACTGTTGTGTAGGTAGTGTTATAATTTGGACCAAATCAACACTGTCTGGATGCTGCAGGTGGCGTGAGGTGCCGCAATATGGGCCCCATCAACGAATGGTGGACAACTGGTTTTGACGGTGGTGAGAACGCCCTGGTTGGGTTCAGCACGGCGTACGCGGACTACTTCCTGATGGCCCCGAGCGAGGTTTATGCTCCCTTCATTGACACCATGAAGGAGAAGGTCCACATGTCGAAGGTCGTCATCGAGTTCATGCAGAACAATCAAGATGCCAATTATGAAGATCTGTTGAACAAGATTGAGGTTAGACATTTTTCACCAGATGGTTGTATTTATAGGCATGCAAATATGGCAATACTTTAGTCCATTTCAGCAAGATCAAACTTAGACATTGCCACAAGATGGTGGAATGTAGGTTTGTGCAAATATGGCAAAACTGTGGTCCATTATCAAGTCATCAACTTTAAGAGTTGTATATACAGTGATACGGAATGATATATTTGATATGCTGAAATACTTGTTCTTTGTCTGAATATTTTAGATAAGATCTGAAGTAACTGACTGGGTCCTGAAAATTGTCCCAGTTTTTTACCTGATTTATTAAATGAGCAGTGGTAAAAGAAGTAATTGAAGTCTAAAGTCTAAAGTGTTCGTATCATTTTATTTAGATTTTGAATTTGTTCATTTCAACACTTGCATGGAAAATTTTGGTTGTGTTGGAAAGGCTGATTTATTCAGTTTCAGGAAGCATAATGACGTTAAATAAGTGTTTGACTGGGCTGGTTTTCTCATGAGATGTAGGTAGAAGCAGTACAAACACTGGGTGAAGATTCATCTTGGTCTTATTTTTAAATCATTATGTCCATAATCATGATAATTCTGTACAAAAGTTCCAAACGTGCAAGTAATAGAAATGATAGAAAAAAGTCAGCCATTAGAACATTGGAACAATGTTTCCATGTTTTCTGCAACTTTTTATTTGACATAACCAGTTGGCCACAAAGGTGCCTTATCACACCCTAATTCTTTTTTGAGTCCATGTTCAGTGTTTTGGTTTGGTTAACCATGTGTACCTGTGTTCATAGACAACTGTTCCGCCGACTGGTCTGACCAAGTTCACGGAGGACGAGCTGCTGAGGCACGCCCAGTTCGTAGTGGATCAGGTTGGTGTTTAACTAGCTTGTGCAGTTGCATTATCAACTACCCGTTGCAATATCTATAACTGTGATTGCATATAGTTATTTAATTCTTCACAATAAAATATAAGATTTTCATTCAAACTTTTCCAAATTCTATTGTTGATTTTATGGTGAAACGTACTTCTGAACTCCTTACTGTGTGTCCAGGTACAGAGTTACGATGAGGCTGCAGACGAAGATGAAGGCTTCCTGATCACCACACCCTGCATGAGAGCTCTAATCAAGCTTGCTGGTGTCACTTTGGGGAAGAGGTAAACTTGTCATAAGCATTACGCCAACATAATCGACTTAGGTCAGACATAGTCAGAGATAGCTTTGACACATCGCCATGAAGTCCTCTTGCAACAGGGGACACGGGTGGCCGAGTTGTCTAAGGAGCCGTGATTCGCTGTGCAGAGTTGCGTCCTTTGGGCATGCCAGAAACCTATGATGGTGGGTTCGAATCCTTGTTCGTCCCGATCATGTTTCTAGGTTTGTCAGCATACCCGTGCTCGTGGGTTTCACCGAAGTGGTAAACGTCTGAGACCTGCATCACTTTGGGCTTTCCGCCCACATTAAGCTGACACGCCACAATATAACTGGAATACTGTTAAAAGGGGCGTTAAACCCAACCCACTCACTCACTCCTCTTGCAACAAGTTCAATTAGGCATGTTTGGTCTTCAACTTAGGGTTGGGGCAGGGGTGTAGCCTTGTTGTTGAAGTGTTCATCACTCCAGACCTGGGTTCAGTTCCCCACATGGGTACCATTTGTAAAATGCATTTCTGGTGTCTCCTGCGATGATATTGCAGGAATAATGCTGAAAGTGGCATAAAACAATGCTCGTTCAACTGTGAGCCAGGAGAAGCCCCAGATGTGACTTGGCACCATCATGCTGGTCTGAGTCATTTTGCTTAATGTTAAAGGCTAATAGAGATGTTGCCACTATTTGAGTGGAAGTGAAATTAAGGAGCAAGAAACTTCTAAGGATGAGAGGGCCAGTTGTCTAATGCACCACAATTTGCTGTGTAGAGTTGTGTCCCTTAGGCGCACCAGAAACCTATGATTTGGGTTGGAATCCTGGTTCGCTCATGCTGTCAAACACTGATTGTCCTGTCCCAGATTCCATCCTTCAAATGTTGTTGTAATAAAGCTGGAAATTATCACCCAAAACTCCCTCACTTATCAAGGGCTACGAAATATATCCGATATGTAATAAAACACAAAATTATTTTTGGATACTTAACCTCAAGAAAAACATCTCGCTTTTCTCAGAACTCAGCCCAAAAATGATAACATTTACAAATGAGAACTTTCCACTCGCCGATGGGATGTAGGATTCCTCTCCATAGGATTTGGCGAGTGGCTTGTATTTTCCCAGTAAAACATGCTGTTCTGTTTAAAGGCGAGCGATGCAAAAACAAATGCGAGAGCCCAGAGTGAAGAAAGAAAAGCCCAAACACACCATGGCAACGACCACACCGCTTGTGCGCAAAATCTTCGACAGCATGTTCATGGAGCAGATCGAGGAGAAGGGAAACATGGAGGCACGGAAGCGGCGGTGTGGGATCTGCGAGATCTGCCAACAGCCGGACTGCGGGGACTGCACCGCATGCAAGAATATGATCAAGTTCGGAGGATCTGGCCGCTCAAAGCAGGCTTGTGTGAAGAGGAGGTGAGTGTTGATGATGTTTTGACATCATTTTTGGCTCTGAGTTGTCTTGTTTTCAGAGTGTCTGCATGATATGACAACATTTCATTGCCCAATGTACATGTACAGTAATATTTGCATAACTGGTATCCAATCCAGTCTGCGACTTTTGCCACCTGTCCGAAGCCTAAGCCTGGTACAGTTCTGTTCAGAGAAGTAAGCTTGGTTCTGAATAGTCCATGTTATAACACTAAATCCACTGAAAATGATGCCAGTCAGTGAATTACACAAGTCCAAAAACCCATTCCATAAAGAATTCTGTTCAGTCTTGTAAGCTCAGCTAACAATAGTAAATACAATGATGCTATCATCTACTGAAAATGACACCAGTCTGCAAATTTACTTAGTAATCCAAAACCCCAGGCTTTTAGAATTCGGTTCAGTCTTGTAAGTTCAGCTAACAATGGTAAATATAGTAACGCTATCAGTTACTGGAAATGATGCAAGGAGACAAGTTTAGTTAAGTTGACTCTGGTTTGGTCACACTGTCCACTGTGGTTCAGAGGTCTTGCACTAATATACCAACAAGAAAGTTTCTTGACTTTTGAAGTGTAACTATCGATGAATTGGAACTGTATGTCCTACGATTGTACTATATTGATAGGAATTTAAAAATGCCAATGGTATTGTCGATAGTATGCATAACTATCGATAGTTGCAATAGTGGAAATTAGTTATAAAGAAAACCCATTATGAATCGGAAAAAACTTTTTTCACTGTCGAATTTCAAGCCTGTGTGTTGATTACCAACTTCTGATTAGAGTTACTTCCCTTTGGTTTGAGTAGCGACAAGGAGGGAAAGAGCCATCTTTGACATCATCATCAATACTTTTTTCTTTTCAATGACATTGATTAATATAGCTATGAACCCTTAAAGTTGGTTTAAAACCATCGTAATACTCATCTTCTCAAGGCAAGGGAGTTTACTGACTTTGAAAGTCCAGCTTCCACCCTTGCCGAACTAGGCTGCAATTCTGGAGTCCCTAACTCAACATCTGGTTTGTAAACAACTTGGATTTCAATGTGCATATTTCTATCGACAACATATGTTGGCTATCTCCTTTTCATGGGAACGTACTTGGAAGTCGATTTCGATTTCTTTATTTCCGTACTGAGGAGGCCACCGGCCTGTAGTACATTTCTAATTTGTACATTCATAGCAGTAGAGTCTATAGAGTCTCTAACATAATATTATTCCTATGTCTCATTGCATGATAGATGTACATAGATAAATTTTGTAAAAGTAAGTACTTAGAGTTGTTTAACAGAGATGTGAATTTAAAGAAAGCCAAGACTCCGACATCAGTTGTTTCCTCAAGGGAGAGAACACAGTGACAAATTTGATACTAGAATAGTATTTGTCTGAGATAAACACACACACCCCACCCCACCCCACCCCAATAAAACATATTTCCCTATTTACCAACCCATGTAGATGTATCGCGAGACGCATCGTTGAAGGTTTGTATCATGGTGTACCGGTAGTGCCGTCTAAAGGCTACCATTCTGTTCAGTTAAAGTTAACTATTATAGACCAGTGTAGACATGGTGTCTGTATGTTATCATTATTGGGCTGAATCCTGAGAAAGGCAGTGGTTTCCCTGTTTCAAGCTACATGGTGAACTGATGGAAGCAATTCTCTTAAGAGTCTCTGCATTAATCCTTTGAAAAAGGTAATGCACCCTGATTGAAAGTCAAGTATGATTAAGACATGGAGCGTCCTATGACCATCCCTCGTTAACTTTTACATTTTTGACAGAATTCTGATTTGTCTTTAAACATGTCCGCCATTCAGCCTTTGTGGCTCTATTTTTTTGCAATGATGGGTATGTAGAATAACCTACTCCAAAATCACCACAAGGAAATACAACTTGACTCACTCACTGTGAAATATCTGCTGTAGAGTTGCTGTCTGCCTTATCGTAAAAGTGGCGGACCACAAGGAAATACAACTTGACTCAATCACTGAAATATCTGCTGCACAGTTGCCGTCTGCCTAATGGTAAAAGTGGCAGACCACAAGGAAATACAACTTGACTCACTGTGAAATATCTGCTGTACAGTTGCCGTCCGCCTAATGGTAAAAGTGGCGGACCACAAGGAAATACAACTTGACTCACTCACTGTGAAATATCTGCTGTACAGTTGCCGTCTGCCTAATGGTAAAAGTGGCAGACCACAAGGAAATACAACTTGACTCACTCACTGAAATATCTGCTGTACAGTTGTCGTCTGCCTAATGGTAAAAGTGGCAGACCACAAGGAAATACAACTTGACTCACTCACTGAAATATCTGCTGTACAGTTGCCGTCTGCCTAATGGTAAAAGTGGCAGACCCCAAGGAAATACAACTTGACTCACTCACTGAAATATCTGCTGTACAGTTGCCGTCTGCCTTATAGTAAAAGTGGCAGACCACAAGGAAATACAACTTGACTCACTGTGAAATATCTTTTGTAGGGTTGTGTCTGCAACTTTTGCTGCGCAGAGTTGCGTTTCTTCGGTATGCCAGAAACTTATGAATGTGGGTTCTAATCGCATTTCGCCCCGATTATCATGATTATGTTTCTAGGTTGGTCAGCACCATACCTCTGCTCATGGGTTTTGGTAAGCGTCTGAGACCAGCATCACTTATATCTGGAATAAGCCGTGTTATAACCCAACTCACTCACTCATTTGAACCCTTATACATTGAAATGTGTCTTTAGATGCCCCAACATGGCGGTGCGTGAAGCCGATGATGATGATGCGGAGGATGGTGACGATGTGAAGCAGGTAAATAAGGATTGACAGTCAATACGTGTTACTATGACATTAAAGAAACAAACTAAAGCAGCATTAAAAATAAAGGCAGTCATATTTATCTGTAACAAATGTGTTTTATTTTACCAGTGTATAAACATGATTAGAGGTCATATTTAAATAACAACACAAACTCCATTTCCAGTTTGGGTGAAAACCTGAAATATTAAACTTTTGATGAAATTAACTCTGAAATAAGGATTAATAAGTTTGGAAGTAGTGAAGGGAATAATACAAAACATAAATGCTGTTTAATCCATGACAAACTGGTTTTATATATTTTTATTGCAGGAAGCCATCGAAGTTCCCCCAAGTCCAGCTAAAAGGCACAAGACTGCTTCATCCAAAACAAAGGTAACTTGTTAATGCATTTGTTTGTATGCATTTAATCAGGGTCTTTTCGGGGGCACAGGTGGCCCAGTCGTCTAAGGCACTGCAATTTGCTGCGCAGAGTTGCGTCTGGTATGCCAGAAACCCATTATTGTGGGTTCGAATCCCGGTTCACCCTGATTATGTTTCTAGGTTTGTCAGCACCATACCCGTGCTCGTGGGTTTCACCGAAGTGGTAAACGTCTGAGACCTGCATCGCTTCAAGCTTTCCTCCCACATTAAGCTGACACACTTTGATATAACTGGAATAATGTTAAAAGCGGTGTAAAACCGAACTCAATCAATCCAGGTTTTTTTTTCCTCAGACCAAATTCATGACACTGCCGTAGGTAATATATGTAGACATTGTAGTTCTTGTAATCATGTATTCTGCAGCCAAAGGGGTGGTCAGGTAGCCTAGTGGTTAAAGCGTTCGCTCGTCACACTGAAGATTTGGGTTCGATTCCCGACATGGGTACAATGTGTAAAGCCTATATCTGGTGTCCCCTGCCGTGATATTGCTTAAATATTGCTAAAAGCGGCGTAAAACCAAACTCACTCACTTCTGCAGCCAAATGAAATGTGATGAGAATGTGTGCAAGCTGTGAAACACGGTGATGTGTATATCATATGTACAAACATGATACCTTGCGTCAAAGTATACCTTGGTATTAACAGGGAGAGATACTCAGGCATTTCATATTTTTTTTAAACCCAGAGGACAACAGCTTTAAGCATTGTTTACTAATGTTCATTTTAACTTGAAATATTCCAACATGCACAGCTTCAATGGGAAGGTCGACGAATATTTTCATGACAACTTATCCAAGCACTTGGTCTCATTCAGCACCAAGCTTGACATTTGGTTGGTTGGTTTGTTGTTTAACGCTGCACTCAGCTAAGTTCCAGCTATATGACGGCAGTCTGTAAATAATCAAGTCTGGACCAGACATTCCAGTGATGGATATCATGAGCATCGATCCACGCAATTGGGATCGATGACATGCATCAACGAAGTCAGCGGGCCTGCCCACCTGATCCCATTAGTCGCCTCTTACGACAAGCATAGTCGCCTCTTACGACAAGCATAGTCGCCTTTGACATTTAGAATAACCCCCTTGAAGAGTTGTGTAATACATTACATGAAGTATAAAGAAACCAACCAATAACTGATCAGGAATTGTATTTCAGACTCAAATAAGATGGATTGGAAATTGCATCAAGGAGACGGCATCCAAGAAGTTCTTTTCAGGATTCCTGTTGAATGGAGAAGAGGTCAGATATTTTTCAGAGCGTTACTTAAACACAACTCCATTTGAAGTTCAGTAATTACAGAATAACCAACGATTTACAAGGAATTATAGACTCTGCCCCGAGTGAAGAAATGGTGCAAGTCCTGAGCCTTTAGTGGGAACTTGCAGCATTCATTCACGAGGGACAGATGCTCCATCTTTCTGATTATCTTGTGTGTTATACCATATATTACAGTCCTCGACATTTTAAGAGAGAAAATGAACAAAAATGTCTGACATGTGAACCCTAGACATACATTTCACTGAAGTCAGCGTAATTTTATGGATCATGTCATTAATGTTTGACGTCATGAACAATAGATAACATTATATCGTATTTTTCTCGACATGCTAATTGTGGCTTCAACTGACCCATCATCATTGACAACCGCTATAATGCACATGTGTGAACATTGAAATGTTTTTACGCATGATCATTCCTTCCTTAGGGAAATATATCAGGGTTCGAAAGTCTCTGTGTTCAACTCATTATGGCACAGCTAAAATAGGTTTCTGGTGCTTCAAGAGTATACTTGAAATATGTCTTTTCTAACAAAAAATACCTTTTGACAATGTTTCTTATTAGAAGCCAGTGATAAATGTACTCCTACACAAATAAACCGGAGAAACGTATGGTAAATTAGTACATGGAAATGTCTAATATGCATTATGATTCATTGACCTTTCCCTTGCCCACATTATCATGATTATACAATTACTTGCCAGGAATTTATCACTTTGTTTCCCGTCTTCCTATCTTGTGAGGAGTTGGTGGAATAGCCTCGTGGATGAAGGTCGGGCTTGACGCGCTAAGGACCCAGGATATTTGCCCAACTGCTCACTCAGCCCCATGTTATGACTATGACACATAAAGCGTGCCTGAGTGTGATGTAGGTTTACTGGGTCTTCAGTGAAATTGTCTGCTTATACCATGACATGAACAGAACATGTACAAAAATTGATAATTTTCTCCTCTGCCCCCAGGTGAGAGCTGGTGACTATGTGTCGGTGAAGCCAGATGACCCCACCACACCCTTGTACATCTCCCAGGTGCAGTACATGTGGGAGACATCCTCGGGGGACATGAAATACCACGCCCACTGGTTCATGTGAGTACCACGCCCACACTGTTCATGTTAGTGCCACACCCACTTTCGTATGATGATACCCGTGAAGATCCGGGGTAGAATAGGCCTTCAGCAACCCATGCTTGCCGTAAAAGGCGACTAACGGGATCGGGTGGTCAGGCTCACTGACTTGGTTGATGCATGTCATCGTATCCCAATTGCGTGGATCGATGCTCATGATGTCAATCACTGGATTGTCTGGTCCAGACTCGATTATTTACAGACCACCATCATTTAGCTGGAATATTGCTGAGTGCGGTGTTAAACAACAAATAAACAAAAAAAATCATATGATGATACCACACTCACTAGTTCATGTTAGTGGTTCATGTGTTAGGTACCACACCAACTAGTTCCTTTTAGTTGTTGATTTGTTAGATACCACGCCCACAAGAATTAAAAGAAGGGAGTAATTGTAAAACACAGATATTATACATTACTATAATACTTAGATATATAAAAACTACTTGTGTGCCTGCAGGCGGGGCAGTGAGACGATGCTGGGGGAGGCAGCAGAACCCAGGGAGCTGTTTGTTGTAGACGAGTGTGACGATTCTGACCTGGATGTGATTGTTACCAAGGTCAAGGTGAGGTCATGGCTCAGAATGTGAGGTCAAATGATATATACACCAAAGTCATCAAACAATAAGACAGTACTGGCATTTTTGCATCTTTGCATTTTGACAAGGGACAACAGCTTATTTTCTTGCCAAGCCAACAGCTTGTTTTTAAGTTGAATAACTATTTTGTTTTAAGACAGCACCAATATGTGATCAGATTGTAGAACTCATTTCATTGGTTCAATTCATATGTCGATCAGTACCTGTTTTTAACCACTGTCATATAGCTGGAATATTGCTGTGTGCGGCGTTTAACAACAAATGAACAAAAACCAAACTGTTTTTAACCTGTCTGGACAGGTATTTGCTGGATGCAAAATATTGCATTCTCGTCATTAGATCCAACATGATGTTGATTGGGATAAGTGGGTTTTGTGACTTTGCCGATAATGAACACAAACGGCCTACTACATTGCTCACGATGTCCAGCACAGGTTTACAGGTCACTGATATCGGCGGAATGTCGCTAACTGCGGTGTAAAACCACTCACTATGTCTGTGCAGGTCGTGCACCAGGAAGCTCCATCAGACTGGGCAATGCTGGGGGGAGAGGAGGTCACGAACACCATGGACGAGGACGCATACTTCTACCAGAAGTGGTAGGACAAACTTTGTATTTTCGTCCCCTTGGTACATGGGTTAGTAGTGGATTTAAACAAAAATTAAATGTGTTTTATCAATTTTTGAGGGGGAAATGGTGGCTTTAACTTCAGAATTTCCATCCCCGGCCACGTCATTCAAAAATATGTTTAAACATGGTACTTGTTGTTACCTTGCCTGGTGCTTGGCATTAATGGGATGAAACAAGGAGTGGTTGACTCGGAGCCTGAATACCAAGGTATACTGTGTCTGAGAGGGGTATTGATGTTATACTGCATAGATCTCAGTGGGCTAGCACTAAAAAATCGTCATTAGTATGGACTAGCACGAGCAGACACACACATTTAATTCAAAGTTCTTAAATAACTTGCCTTCGATTCAACTTGTTTGTATAATGTTTTGATGTAAGTAGTGGTTCTATATACACATGGACCTGGTTTGTTGAAGGTATGACCCTATCCTGGGTAGATTTGAGGATCCCCCAACCTACGAGAGAACTGAGGAGTTGTTCAAGTACTGCAGAAGCTGCAAGCGTCTCGACGAACAGCGAAAGGTACTAATGCTTCCTACCTGCAGACCAGTCCATTGCTTAGTTCAGGGGTTCAAAGCCTGCCCAGAGGCCATCACTATAAATTGACCAAATGGAATAAAAACATTTCCTATTCACGTTAACAAGGGGGCACGGGTGGCCCAGTCATCTAAGGTGCTGCAATTCTCTGTGCAGAGTTGCATCCCTTGGGCATACCCATGCTCGTGGGTTTCACTGAAGTGGTAAACGTCTGAGACCTGCATCCCTTCGAGCTTTCCTCCCACATTAAGCTGACAACCTGTGATATAACTCGAATACTGTTAAAAGCGGTGTTAAACACAACTCACTCACGTTATTCACTGATTAGAAGACCAATAAACTCAAAGAGGAACATGTCCAGATACAATATATAGTAGTAGGCAGAGAAAGTGAAGATCCGGGTTAGAATAGGTCTTCAGCAACTCAGTCATGCCGTAAAAGGCGACAATGCTTGTCACAAGAGGCGACTCTGCTTGTCGTAGAGGCAACTGATGGGATCGGGTGGTCAGGCTCACTGACTTGGTTGAAGCATGTCATCGTTTCCCAACTGTATGGATCGATGCTTATGATGTCAGTCACTGGATTGTCTGACTCGATTATTTATTGCTGAGTGCAGCGTTAAACAAACAAACAAACAAACAAAACATGGTTTAATTGGACAGCAGTCGTTATCAGTGCATTTTTCTTGAGGAGCTCAAAAGGATTAAGAAATAATTGGTAATGTAGAAATTATTACACCAGCATGTGTCATTCTGATTTTACGAAACTTGTGTAAGCATGGTAAGAATTCGCTCGCTCTCACTTTGGAAATACAAGAATTCTGACATGTTTCCTAAAATCAGTATGACATGCTCAGATAATAATCTCCCTACATATTTTTTGTTTGTTTACATCTGACCTCATTTGTACCTATAATTAAGTCGGTGACTTGTTTCCTTCAGAGAATATCTACATCAGTTGGCGATGTGATTGAGTCAGTAGACAAGAATGTCAACCGCCTCTACTACGAGAGTGTGAAGAAGAACGACACTGAGTACAAGATTGGAGACTCTTGTTACATTCTTCCTGATGCGTTTGACTTCACCGTCAAACACGCACCTGTCAAGAAACCAAAGTCGGAAGGCAAGGTAGGAGGACTCCATCTGGTTCCATTACACATCCAATTTGTGACTGGTTGCAGGGGTTTAACTAGACCTGATCAGAGCAAATCTAGAGCAAATGTCACTAAAAATCCCCCTGCGTTCTATTGCTTGTTCTACGAGGCGAATCACTTTGATCTGGACGTCAAGGGGTCAGGTAGTCTAGTGGTTAAAGCAATCGCTCATCATGCCAAAGACCTGGGTTGGTATGCCGACATGGGAGCCCATTTCTGGTGGGTGTCCCCCGCCGTGATATTGCAGGAATATCGCTAAAAGTGTGTAAAACCATGCTCGCTTGCTTGCTTACTTGGGGCCTAGCGGTTAAAGTGTTCGCTTGTCACGCCGAAGACCCGGGTTCCATTCCCGATATGGGTACAATGTGTGAAGCCCATTGTTGGGTTCCCCAGCAATGATATTGCTGGAATATTGCTAAAAGCGGCGCAAAACCATACTCACTCACTCACTCACTTGCTAGCTCTCCTCACTGATAACTGTTCTGTCTTGCTTCAGGTCGATGAGGAGTTGTACCCAGAGGCCTACAGGAAGTCGTCGTACATCAACATCAAGGGCTCCAATGAACAGTGCCCTGAGCCGTATCGTATTGGCCGCATCACACAGATCTTCTGCAAGAAAGCAGGTGGCAGCAAGCTGGTCAATCTATCCGAAATCAAGATCAGAGTCGCAAAGATGTACAGGTGGGGACCAATATGGCAACATTTTCAGGAGGAATTACCTCACATAGACTATGAGAAAGGGTATTTGGTTGTAAAAAGAGTGACCCAGTTTATGTACCATACTCCTCAACGTAGATCTTTGAGCAAAGAAAAATAGTGACCCAGTTTTCAAAACATACTCCTCAATGTGTACACATCTTTGAGCAAAGAAAAATAGTGACCCAGTTTTCCTACCATACTCCTCAACGTACATCTTTGAGCAAAGAAACAAAAAGATGCTGTCAAGAAATATATGAATGATCAAGATCAGCCTTTTGTCAAGTATATTAGCATCCATATACAGAAGACAAGGCCTCGTCCATGAAGCAGTCTTAACACCCTAAGTACAAGTGTGTGTTAATAAAGTTGGAGCAACAGATCACCTTGTTGAAGGGCACACCAATTCTCAAATCGAATCTGGAACTTAAATTAGCCTACTAACATGACAAGGTATCGTAAACTTGATTTCTTGAGATTTGAGACAACACTTTTTAGTTATGTCTGTATTTAAATCATGTCTTGAAAGATTCAAACACTTGAGAAATTTCCTTTGAAACAGATTGTAACTATTTATGTATGATGTTATTTGAAATTATCCATGTACCTTATAGTGTCTGTTTGAGATGGTTATGCTGTGATGTTTATGATTTGATCAGACCAGAAAACACCCACAAAGGACTGCAGGCAACATACCACTGTGACCTGAACATGCTGTACTACACCGAGGAAGGTAGGAAATAGAGAATCATAGTCACCCTTGTGTCGTTTGATATCAAATATATCAACACTCTTTGATAAACGTGGAAAAACTCTGATGCTTGCCGAGGAGTTTTACCACTTTTATCGATGAGTGTTGATATATTGGTTATCAAAAGACACGACGGTGAGATTTAATTTATCATCCAACATCATTCTTCCAACTTTTTCAGTTTGTAGACAGTAACAAGCACTGTCTTAAGTGTAAAAAGCACTGCTAACAGCTTCAGTGGCAGAGCCGTTAGTGATGTCATTTGATTGTGACATCATGGTAACCAATGATGTTACAATGGTCTGAAAAGCATTGCTGTGCAATTTCATTGCAGCAATATCTACAATGTAGATAATGTAGACCAAAGCGATATCTCCTGTCGGAGCCAGTTTTGGATGATAAAACACTGATACAGTCCCTTCGTACCCCCAGTTAGGACCCTTGTTCATCACGCACTCTTCCATATATAATTACCTAACACATGAAGATCCGCGCAGAGAATAGGTTTTCAGCAATCCATGCTTGCCGTAAGAGGCGACTAACGGAATTGGGTGGTCGGTTTGGCCGACTTGGTTGATGCATGTCATCGTATCCCAAATGGGTGGATCAATGCTCATGATGTCAGTCACTGGATTGTTTGGCCCAGATTCGATTATTAACAGACCGCAGTCCTATAGCTGGAATATTTCTGAGTGCGGCGAATAAACACTCGCTGCACCTGTGAGGCCACCCTGAGGATGTTGTGGCAGTGGTGCTGTTGCATGGACTTCGTATTGATGGTGTGTGTTGTTACAGAGGAAGTTGTCGACTTCAAGCTGGTTGAGGGGAAATGCCAGGTTGTGTATGGAGGCAACATCACCACTTCCCTTGACGACTACTTCGAGAGTGGACCAGATCGATTCTACTTTAATGAGGTAAAAATTGAAATTGTGAAATGTCATGAAATATTCAATATAATGATTAATTAAGTTTAAGTCTTGAAAGATACTTTACAATTAACAACAGATAGAGAGATCACTTTGTCCCTGTTACCTTTTGTCAGTAATGTGGATTGACCTTTGATATTTTTCATCGGTCAACTCTTCCCCCTCATCAGTGTAACCTGTAATGATGGCGGCATGTCACTAAACCCGACGGCATGCATCATTGATCATAATATTAATCACTGGGTTGTCTGATTCAATCTTGATTTATTTATTTTTTACATACAGCTGTCACATAGCTGGAATATTGTTGAGTGTGGCGTTACACAATATATGCATGCGCACCACGCACACCACTAGGTCACATCATTATGAGATGTATAGTTCAGTGGTGCCCCATGCTTACTTTTGAGCTGATTTTGCAAGTGGTCACAATGGATGACCTGGCTGATGGTTATCTCACACCGATGATCAACCGCTGTTTACTGATATACCCGTGAAGATCCGGGGTAGAATAGGTCTTCAGCAACCCATGCTTGCCCTAATAGGCGACCATGCTTGTCGTAGAAGGCGATTAACGGGATCGGGTGGTCAGGCTCGCTGACTTGGTTGATGCATGTCATCGTATTCCAAATGCATGGATCTATGCTCGTGATGTCAATCACTGATTGTCTGGTCCAGACTCGATTATTTACAGACCGCTGTCATATAGCTGGAATATTGCTGAGTGCAGCCTTATACAACAAACAAAGACAAAAGAAGTTACTAATATACCTTTACCAGAGGGAAACGTTGAAATGGCCACAAGTTTCTTGGAAGTATGTTGTGGAAAGCTTGTGTGATTGTGAAGCGGTTGTGGGTCAGAAGGTGTGAATTAATCATGCAGTCTGCCACTGCTTCTTGCGGTCCATTTCAACTCATGAAGATCCAGGTAGAATAGGTCTTCAGCAACCCATACTTACAATAAAAGGCGACTAACGGGACTGGGCGGGCTGACTTGGTTGATGCATATCATCGTATTCCAATTGTGTGGATCAATGCTCATGTCAATCACTAGATTGTCTGGTCCAAACTCGATTATTTACAGACTGTCGCCATATAGCTGGAATATTGCTGAGTGCGGCATTAGACAAACAAAACAAACGCGTTCCATTTACCAGAATGGTCCAGTGAAAGTGTTGCAGAAAACTAAATGATTCTTATTGTGTTCATTATTCAGTCCTACAACAGTGAGAGTAAGACATTTGAGGAGCCACCATCAAAAGCTAAACTCATGGGAGGCAAGGGAAAGGTAGGTGCACATATTACTCCTTCAAAAACTTCATCTTTTAAAAAGCTGCGGCAGAATTATTCAACCCAACGTCATCTAAGAGAATAGTCGTGCCCTTAAGGAGTTGCCGTGAAATTGATTTGTTTGGTCATGGTTGATTGATAATCAGATTTTCATGAGCCAGATAGCTCTTTGTACTCGTAATGAAAATTTCATGGCTGGTGTAGTTAACTTGACGGACCCAGACTTACCACATCGAATGAAGTTCATGACAGACGGGACATTATTTACAGGCCGTCTTTATATTGCTGTCGGGGCAGTGATGTGGCCTTGTGGTTAAAATGTTCGCTCGTCACACTGAAGACCCAGGTTCAATTCCCCGCATGGGTACAATGTGTGAAACCCATTTCTGGTGTCCCCTGTCGTGATATTGCTTAAATATTGCTAAAAGCGGTGTAAAACCACACTCACTCACTCACTGCTCATATTGCTGGAAACCGGGTTTTACCGAAGCGGTAAACGTCTGAGACCAGCATTACTTAGGCTTTCCTCCCACATTAAGCTGACACTCCGAGATGTACCGAATATCGCTGTGTATAAGGCAACTTTTTCATACCTAGAATTAGGGGGCTGTCGGGGGTCGTCTTATACACAGGGTTAAAGAGTTTTGATGTTTCTTACCCAACACAAAGACAGTACTATGAGCATGTAACACCAGAAAAACCTTGTCGACAAATCTGTTCTGAATTTCTGTTCAAATCAGCATTAAGCCTAACTCACTCATTCGCTAATATTGCTGAGTGCGAAATAAGCAATAAACAGACATCATCAGTGTCTGCATCTGTTCCAGGGGAAAGGCAAGGGAAAGGGGAAAGGAAAGGGAAAGTCTGCCGCAGAAGACTCAGATCAAAAGGAGGCAGAAAATGTTCAGGTCCACCGCCTCCGAACCCTTGACGTGTTTGCTGGCTGTGGAGGTAGGTCTATTCCTTGATTTGAAAGGTTATGTTAAACATTGTTGCCAGGTATGGTATAATTCAAAATATATTGAATATCCAATACTATTAACACCCAATGCGAATGATAACATTTCAGTAAGTACTCAAAATGAAAATGTCTGAAGCCCAGATACTGTTCAAAGGAGCATTAATCCGAATGTGTTTCGCAGGACTCTCTGAGGGCTTTCACCAGGCAGGTATGGCGGAGTCACGATGGGCCATAGAGAAGGAGGAGCCAGCCGCTCAGGCGTTCCGCCTCAACAACCCCGGCTGTACGGTGTTCACGGAGGACTGCAACTTGCTGCTCAAGTGGGTCATGGAGGTAGGCGATCCTTGTCCAATCGCAGTGCCGCATTGTAAACGTGGGCTGGGGTAATTGAGAAGTGGGACGTAGGGGCCAGGGTCATTGAGAAGTGGGACGTAGGGGCTAGGGTCATTGAGAAGTGGGACGTAGGACGTAGGGGCTGGGGTAATTGAGAAGTGGGACGTAGGGGCTAGGGTCATTGAGAAGTGGGAGGTAGGACGTAGGGGCTGGGGTAATTGAGAAGTGGGACGTACGGGCTTGGGTAATTGAGAAGTGGGACGTACGGGCTAGGGTAATTGAGAAGTGGGACGTAGGGGCTGGGGTAATTGAGAAGTAGGACGTAGGGGCTGGGGTAATTGAGAAGTGGGACGTACGGGCTGGGGTCATTGAGAAGTGGGAGGTAGGGGCTAGGGTCATTGAGAAGTGGGACATAGGACGTAGGGGCTGGGGTAATTGAGAAGTGGGACGTAGGACGTAGGGGCTGGGGTAATTGAGAAGTGGGACGTATGGGCTGGGGTCATTGAGAAGTGGGACGTACGGGCTGGGGTAATTGAGAAGTGGGACGTAGGGGCTGGGGTAATTGAGAAGTGGGACCAAGGGGCTGGGGTAATTGAGAAGTGGGACGTAGGGGCTGGGGTCATTGAGAAGTGGGACGTAGGGGCTGGGGTAATTGAGAAGTGGGACCAAGGGGCTGGGGTAATTGAGAAGTGGGAGGTAGGGGCTGGGGTCATTGAGAAGTGGGACGGAGGGGCTGGGGTCATTGAGAACTGGGACGTAGGGGCTGGGGTAATTGAAAACTTGGAGGTAGGGGCTGGGGTCATTGAGAAGTGGGACGTAGGAGCTGGGGTAATTGGGACGTCGGGGCTTGGGTAATTGAGAAGTGGGAGGTAGGGGCTGGGGTCATTGGGACGTCGGGGCTGGGGTAATTGAGAAGTGGGAGGTAGGGGCTGGGGTAATTGAGAAGTGGGAGGTAGGGGCTTGGGTCATTGAGAAGTGGGAGGTAGGGGCTGGGGTAATTGAGAAGTGGAAGGTAGGGGCTTGGGTCATTGAGAAGTGGGAGGTAGGGGCTGGGGTAATTGAGAAGTGGGAGGTAGGGGCTTGGGTCATTGAGAAGTCGGAGGTAGGGGCTGGGGTAATTGAGAAGTGGGAGGTAGGGGCTGGGGTCATTGAGAAGTGGGAGGTAGGGGCTTGGGTAATTGAGAAGTGGGAGGTAGGGGCTGGGGTCATTGAGAAGTGGGAGGTAGGGGCTGGGGTAATTGGGACGTTAGGGCTGGGATAATTGAGAAGTGTGTTGCAGGGTGTCATTTCCATGTTGTTGTTTCAGGGTGAGAAGTGTGACACTCATGGCCAGCGGCTGCCCCAGAAGGGGGAAGTAGAGCTGCTGTGTGGGGGACCCCCATGTCAGGGCTTCAGCGGCATGAACAGATTCAACTCCCGGGAATATTCCAAGTTCAAGGTACGATGCTGCCGCTCAGACATGGACTTGTTCTAGCAGTCATGCCTTGAACATTCCTTCACCATATTCCTTCAGGAGATAACATGTATCATTTTGATGTTTCTGATCTGAATTATAAGTGTTCAGAGTAACCCCCCTTTGATACCAGGATCTGCTGGTGTTAGGATGAATTATAATGTCTGATTATAATGTTGACAGTCCACTTGCACATGAAATCCTGGTGTTAATGATTGCATCTCCGAAACTGTTTCATAACTTAGATAGTCATGGTGCACTTAACAACTGGTCATGATCTATTTGAACAAAAAATGCTCATTTGTTTTGCCCCATCTTTATAACACCTACGCAACTCCTCACTTAAGCATCCTCCCACATTAATCCAATTGATCCCTCTTTCAAAGTCATTCAAAACAATTAAAAATAAATTCATTACTGTTTTGCCTTTATTCATTTTCTGAAGTATTCCCCTGTATTTTTTCATTAAAAATGTCTTGTCTTTCAGAACTCCCTGATCTCCTCATACCTGAGCTACTGTGACTATTATCGTCCACGGTTCTTCCTCCTGGAGAATGTTCGTAACTTTGTCAGCTTTAAACGCAGCATGGTACTGAAACTAGCGCTGCGCTGTCTTGTCCGCATGGGGTACCAGTGCACGTTCGGCGTGCTGCAGGCGGGATGCTACGGCGTGTCACAGACCAGACGCAGGTTGGTTCACAAACAGGGGTAGCCTAGTGCTTAAAGCATTGGTTCATGATGGTGAAGGGGGCACGGGTGGCCCAGTCGTCTAAGGCGCCGCGATTCGCTGTGCAGAGTTGCGTCCCTTGGGCATGCCAGAAACCTATGATTGTTCGAATTCCGGTTCGCCCCAATTATGTTTCTAGGTTTGTCAGCACCATACCCGTGCTCGTTGGTTTCACCAAAAGTGGTAAATGTCTTAGACCTGCATCACTTCGGGCTTTCCTCCCACATTAAGCTGCCACGCCTTGATATAACTGGAATTATGTTAAGAGCGGCGTTAAACCCAAATCACTCACTCACTCACTCATGATGGTGAGGGTGAGGTGAAATGGGGTTAAGCCGCCTATGTGTCGGTTGCCTGCCTGCTTGCTTGCTTGCTTGCTTGCTTGCTTGCTTGCTTGCTTGCTTGCTTGCTTGCTTGCTTGCTTGCTTGTATTAGTGTGATGCTGGTTTTATAGTGCTTCTGTGAGATATCATGCTGCAGTTAAACTTGGATACCCCAATCAGACACAGTATACGGACAGAGCAGACCAGGCCTTGTCTTACCCCTTAATGCAGAGCGCCAGGCGACTGCCTCTGTGGTCTATTAGGAGAGTGGAAGGTCTGGGGTTCAATCCCCTGCCATGTCATACCAAAAGATGTTAAAATATAGTACTTATTGTTACCCTGTCTGGTGCTCGGCATTAAGGGGCTAAAACAAGGACTAGTCGGCTCACAGTCAGTACACTGTGTCTGAGTGGGGTATTCATGTTAAACTGCGGCATGGTATCTCAGTGGGCTAGCACTATAGTAAAAACGTACACGCGTGCGCCTGCATGCACGTAACTATATAAATGCAATAATCTTGAACGTTTCGTTAAACCACATTTCACCTCACCACATACCCAAGCACCAGGCAGGGTAACGACAAGATCTATGTTTTAACGTCTTTGGTTATGACGCAGCTGGTGATTGAACCACTAGCCATAGATGCTCTATCCACTAGACCATGGAAGCTGCCCATGTTGAAAGGCCAGCCGCACAGTGTAATTTGTGAAGCCCATTTCTGGTGTTCATGCTGTTTGGACCGCCTCCGTGGTCTTGTGGTAGAGCGTCCGCCCGGAGAGCGGAAGGTCCAGGGTTCGATCCCGGGCCGCGTCATACAAAAAGACGTTAAAAGATTGTACTTGTTGTTACCCTGTCTGGCGCTCGGCATTAAGGGGCTAAAACAAGGACTGGTCGGCTCGGAGTCAGTATACTGTGTCTGAGTGGGGTATTCATGTTAAACTGCGGCATGGTATCTCAGTGAGCTAGCACTATAAATCGGCATCAGTCCGGACTAGTACAAGCAGCCACACACACACACACACACGTGCATGCACGTCGCTATATAAGTGCAATAATCTTGGACGCGACGTTAAACCCAATTTCACCTCACCTCACCTCATGCTGTTTGATTTGTCTTTAAATATTGGTTGATAAGTTAAGTATGTAGCCTTGACAACTCTATGTCGATTAAGTCCTCTGGAACAGCCGATTCTGGAGATGAATAGGCCCCCTAGTACCTTATGCCTGGTGTGTCCGTGGTAATTGAGGTTAAGAATTTGTTTCCAGCAACCTATGCTGGTCAATTTGATCGTTTGGGCAGGCTCGGTGACTTTGTTTATAACGTGTCAGCGAGCTTTGACAATGGTAGAAATTGGCACTAGTCCTGTAGTCCTTGCCAAATTGCCCAACAGTTAAGGTATCATAAGGACTAGTAGATATTTGCCATTTTTAAGGTCCTTGCTATATGTTATCATGATAAGGACTAGTGGACTAAAAATGATAATTTTGATTGCTGCCTGACAAGGTGGATCGTTGCTCATAATATCAATCACTGGGTTGTCGGGACCAGACTCCATTATTTACAGGCCACATCATTCAGGTGGAATATGCTGAGTCAGGCTTTGAACAACAAACGCACTTAATGCCTACGAAAGAGGATCAGTTTGATCATACTGATTGCGTGTCATTGTGCACAAGATTCCGGGGTAGAATACCCATGCTTGCCGTAAAAGGTGACCATGCTTGTCGTAAAAGGCGACTAACGGGATCGGGTGGTCAGACTCGCTGACTTGGTTGATGCATGTCATCGATCCCAATTGCGTGGATTGATGCTCATGATATGAATCACTGGATTGTCTGGTCCAGACTAGATTATTTACAGACCGCCGTCATATAGCAACAAACCAACCAAATCATTGTGCACAAATAACATGGATTGGTGATCATGCTATCAGTCACTAGTTTGTCTTGCTCAGTCTTGATTATGTACAGACAACCCAGACATTACTGGAATATTGCTGACTACAGCGTTTAACAAAGTACCCTTGTCACTTAGTCGACACTGTTGAATTGCCTCTGCAGTGATCACTGGAGGATTGATAGGGCCAACTTCAGTTCAGTAGGGAAGCACCTGAGCCCTGTAATGGCATCAATGATCATAATAATGGGGGGCGGTCGGGTAGCCTAGTGGTTAAAGCGTTCGCTCGTCACGCCGAAGACCCAGGTTCGATTCCCGACATGGGTACAATGTGTGAAGCCCATTTCTGGTGTCCCCCGCCGTGATATTGCTGGAATATTGCTAAAAGCGGCGTAAAACCATACTCACTCACTCACTCATAATAAAGGTGCTGAATGTTTAAATATTGAGATGATACAAAGATTTAAGAATATGTGTTTGCCTTCACAGAGCCATCATCCTGGCCGCGGCCCCCGGGGAGAAACTACCCTTCTACCCCGAGCCTCTCCACACCTTCACCCGAAGAGCCATGCAGTTGTCCGTCGCTGTAGACGACAAAAAGGTAGCAATACTACATCTACTTCAGATCAAAAGTCACCATCACAGGGATTTATCTAGACTTGTTTTGAGGACATATTTGAGCCCCACCCCTGCAACAATTGATAGTTTCTATTTCATGTAAACATAGTTACAACATGACCCCAAATCATGAAAATGAAGAAGAGGTCTAATTTTAAATCGTTGTATTGAGTGCAGTGTTACAATGCAATGTTAAAATACCTCTGCAAGTAATAACGTCTTACTTTTCCCAATTTGCCTGCCAAAGGCTCTTAGTGAGTGAGTTGGGTTTAACGCCGCTTTGAACAGTATTCCAGTTATATCATGGCGTGTCAGCTTAATGTGGGAGGAAAGCCTGAAGTGATGCAGGTTTACCACTTCGTTGAGACCCACGAGCACGGGTATGGTGCTGACAAACCTAGAAGAATAACTGGTTTGAACTGGGATTCGAACACACAATCATAGGTTTCTGGCGTGCCGAAGGGACGCAACTCTGCACAGCGAATTGCATCGCTTTAGACGACTAGGCCACCCGTGCTCCTCAAAGGCTCTTAAATTGGCTTCTCAGATAAATCCCTGCATCAGCGCAAGTGCAGTGATGGTGAGCAAGCAATAATTTTAGCAGCATTTGTAGATGGGGATTCCAGGTTAGAACACGTCCCCAGCAACCTATGCGTGTCATACAAGGGGACTAAGTGGATCGGGTAGTCTGATTCGGTGACGAGGTTGACTGTGTCTTACCCCCCAACGACTTGTGACATTCGAACAGTCACGATTTTTATTCATTTGCAGGCTGCTATCAAATAGTTGAAATTCTGCTATCATATAGTTGGATTGTCTTGTTAAGCAAAACACAGATGTGTAGATGGCCATTGTTTGGAACTTGTCAAATTAGCATGACACAACTCATGACCTTGATTTTATTGTGTGTTGCAGTTTAACTCCAACATCACCCGAGTAACATCAACACCATTCCGCACAATCACCGTGAAGGACACCATGTCCGACCTCCCAGAGATCCGCAACGGAGCCAAGGCCGAGGAGATCAGCTACAAAGGCGACCCACAAACACACTTCCAGAAAATGGTACTTGTGAATTAGTAACAGGGAATCGAACCCGGGTCTTCGGCATGACGAGCGAACACTTTAACCACTAGGCTACCCGACCGCCCCGGATAAGAGATGAGGAAGCACTATAATACAAACATCATCCTTGTGATACTCTTGTAATGTGATCAGATGATAATGTTTAGGTCTTAGACATACCCAAGGATAACTTACTTATCTACTATTCCTCCGTTTTTGTTTACCCCACTTCCCTGATGAGAAAGTCATCACTACAACGTGAAGGTGTTGTGTATATTGTTGACTGCAGTCACTCAACGTTGACACTAATATCTGTAAACTCTTCGCTGTAGTCACTCATCATTGCCTGTAATACCTGAACTCTTCGTTGTACACTCAACATTGCCTGTAATACCTGAACACTCATCGCTGTAGTCACTCATCGTTGCCAGTATTACCTGAACACCCTTTACTGAAGTCATTCAACGTTGCCAGTATTACCTGAATACCCTTTACTGTAGTCATTCAAAGTTGCCAGTATTACCCGAACACACTTTGCTGTAGTCACTCATCATTGCCAGTAATACCTGAACACTCTTCACAATAGTCACCGACCCCTATTAAGACCTGAACACTGTTTTGTGTTTTAGATCCGTGGCAAGCAGCACCAGCCAATTCTGCGAGACCATGTGTGTAAGGAGATGAGTGCACTAGTCCACGCCCGCATGCAGCACATCCCCCTGGCCCCAGGGTCCGACTGGCGGGATCTGCCCAACTTGGAAGTCAGGCTGTCAGATGGAAACAAGACAAAGAAACTGTAAGCTGGATTCAAGAGATTCAGACTCAGATATTTGACAGTGGTCAATCGTCTGTCCATTTTCTGTCACGATGTAACAACACTTGAAATTGCATTACGATTACGGTCTCATCAAAACCTACTCAGTCAAAGTTTCCTAGATCACTGGTCCTGTGGAAACCTGGGTGAGAATACGTCCCATTTTCCCCATGCTCATAAGAGCCAACTCAAATGGACGTTCAGTTGATCAGGCTGTGGAACTTTTAAAATTGTGGTTCAAACTACCTTTGTGTGGATCATTGTTCATTATTTCCGTCACTGGGTTGCTTTGTGCATTCTTTTGTACAGGCTGATCTAGCTAGAATGTGCTGACTGGCATTAAACAACATTCACTCACTCGTCCTCATATGTTAGTTGCAAATTATCAGGTCCTAGTCTGAAGAACCAGTCTTTCATGTCCGCAAGCTCACTCCTTTTGAGAACATCAGTTGTGATAGGTTTGTAAATCCGCCTGGGGTCCATGCAGGTAGCAAAGGTACTTAAGTCCCCGTGGACCCTAGCATGGCGATCTACCTTCAGCTGCTGACGATCTATAGCCCTTTTTTTTATGTATTGTTACATACAGTGGTATCTTTTTATTTTTGTATGCTAGTTTTAAATATTAATCTGTGATAATCTAGTTATTTTAATGTCCATCAAGGACAGGTTTTTATTTAATCTAAATATATATGTATTGTTAATGTATTACTTCTCGTCACGATATGGCCGAAATATTGCTGATGTGGCATTAAATATTAACTCACTCACTCACCCAGATCTAGCAGGACTAGGGGATTTGCAGGTATCCGGCCAACTCACTGTAACAGTCAATTAATGACAGGTGGCACAGGGTCCCCTGATTGTGAGTTCATTGGCATCATACCCATCTACTATGGGGCTTTCCCTCAACATCAAACTTTCTTGCTGTATATGAAGTACAAAAATAATAATGAACCGATTTGCAGAATATAGAGCCACCATGATCGACACTGTGCTTTCTCTCAAAATTAAACATCACTTTCTCAATATATATGAAGTACAACAACAAAAACCACATGCACTTATTTGCAGATTGTACAGCCACATGACAGACAATGGGCTTTCCTTCCACATTAAACATCTCTAACTCGCTCGCTTGCTCTATAAGAAGTACAATAAAATATGATCTTATTTGCAGATTGTACAGCAACCATGACTTTCCTTCCACATTAAACATCTCTAACTCGCTCGCTTGCTATAAGGGAATTCTATACAATAAGATATGATCTTATTTTCAGATTGTACAGCCACAATGATAAGCGCAACGGCAAGGGGCCGAAGGGAATGTTGAGGGGTGTGTGCACCTGCGCGGAAGGGAAGCAGCCGTGCGACTCAATGGACAGGCAGTTCAACACTCTCATCCCCTGGTGTTTGCCCCACACTGGCAACCGACACAACAACTGGTCCGGACTGTACGGCCGCCTGGAGTGGGATGGATTCTTCAGCACAACAGTCACCAACCCAGAGCCTATGGGCAAACAGGCGAGTTCATGTTCATGTACACACAATGACTGACTTAAGCAGTGTCCAGGGGTCATTGAGGTTTGCTGCTGTTGTATTGAATCAAGGGATACCTAAATGTTTGACTTTTAACCTAAGGGCTGCAACAAGGGCCTGTAATCTTTCAGTTCAACACTGTTTAGGTGTAAGTTGGAGTAGATACATAGGGATTGCTGAAGTAAGTTAGTCATAAAGGCATTTATCTCGGATTTTATCAAGAAAAGAAATTTACAGGGTAAATTGATCAGCCAAAATAATTGTGCTGGAGCAATTAATCCAATAATCAGTCAATAAATTGAATTTTATGTTCTGTGATTATCAATCTGATCATACATAATCAACAAAACAAAATCTTTAAGACATTGAAAATATTAATATGACAGTAATTGATTATTGATCTATGATCGTACTTAATCGACAGAACAAATGCTTTAGGAACTGAAAATATTTGCAACATATATACCTTTGTAACATTATTTCAACAAGCACTGCAATGGTTGTTTCTTTAGGAAATGGACGTTCATGTTATTGGATGCATACTCCATTTAAGTAATCTGGGCCCTGCTATAGATCTGATAAATGTTCATAAAACGCAATGTATGTCATGCCTGATGGTTTGATTTTGGGGGACGTTACGTACGTATCAATGAAAGTATTCATGCCCTGTAAAAAGACCACCCGATATCCTGGCTTCGAATCTCGTTTAACATTTTTAAAACCAAATAAAAACATTTCCCATGTGTTGGATGTTATGCATTCCCTCCTGGCTGGCTGTTGTTTCTTGGTTGCTTACATTCCTGTTTCAATGGGGGGGGGGGGCACGGGTGGCCCAGTCGTCTAAGGCGCCGTGATTCGCTGTGCAGAGTTGCGTCCCTTGGGCACGCCAGAAACCTATGATTGTGGGTTCGAATCCTGGTTCGCCCCGATTATGTTTCTAGGTTTGTCAGCACCATAACCGTGCCTGGGGTTTCACCGAAGTGGTAAACATCCGAGACTCACATCACTTCGGGCCTTCCTCCCACATTAAGCTGACACCCCGTGATATAACTGTAATACTGTTAAAAGCGGCGTTAAACCCAACTCACTCACTCATTCCTGTTTCAATGATGATCTTTGTTATCCCAGGGCCGAGTGCTCCACCCTGAGCAGCATCGCGTGGTGAGCGTGCGGGAGTGTGCCAGGTCACAAGGCTTCCCCGACACATACAGATTCTTCGGCACAATCCTGGACAAGCATAGACAAGTAAGCACAGCGAAAAATATATTTGACATGTTATAGAAATAATAGGCACTGGTGTTTCATTGTGTACCGTTCAACTTACTGTGGGACCCGTGAAGATCCGGGGTAGAATCGGTCTTCAGCAACCCATGCTTGTAAAAGGCGACTATGGTTGTTGTAAGAGGTGACTAACGTGATCGGGTGGTCAGACTAGCTGACCTCGTTAACTCTTTCAACACCGTAGGCCGGTTATCCGGCCAAGAAGCATCGAGTCCCCAGACACCGCAGGCCGGTTATCCGGCCAAGCCGTAGTCACGTCAAAATTGTACTATATTTTTATGGACCTACCTGTAATATCATTCATTTATTAAATCTATCAAATTTCACAATGTCTGAAATACATATTCCATTTCAATTTAACATTTTTTATCGTTAAATTAAAAAATTATTCACTATTTCCCGCGATGTTATTGAAAATAAAATTCTCGGACACATTTCGACAACGGGTCCACATCGAACACGTCAAAGAGGAAAATAAAGACGTTTTAAACAAATCTTTAAATATATTATACAAAGTAATATATAAAATCAACAAAAAATATATCTAAAAGTAATCAAACTTACATCTAAGTTATTATTTTCATCTTTTCGTGCGATCGCGTGTAATGTAAGTCAAATGACATCACGGCTTTCGTCGCCTTGAATTCTCGGCTCGGACACGATGTTTAATGCAAAAATATATGCATGAAAAATCTTTGTCACAGCTCGTAACCTAGCACGATACATTCACGAAGTTCCATATTTATAATATATATCGTGATTTCCTGCTCAAAACGTTCAGAATAACACGATTTAACAAAATTCTTTCGCGAACTTCTGTAATTTATCGAACACGAGCTTGGTATCACAGCTGTAATTTGATTGGCTGCCTTAGGTCACGTGCTCAAAATTGACCAATCACGAAACTTGTAGCAGATTTCAGCAAGAAAGCGTCATTAGAAACCAATTTTAATCCAATGAAATCGCTTGTTATAACTACGGGGAAAAACAAGTCGATGTTACGAGCGTGTAGTTGAAGGAATAAGCTTTCCAGCGATGTGTCATATGCCATTCTTCGACGAACGTGTTATTCATACGAAACCTCGAAAACGGGGGTATTTCTTCATTTTACTGAGCGGACAGTCGCTGTTATCGGGAAATGGGTGATGACAGAGACTATTTATAATTCTTTTTAAAATGATTTTCCAATAACGTAAACAATGAAAATAAAATAGAAATAGGTACGTGGATATTATGAAATCATATATTTGCCGAAAATCGTCAAGTTTTCTCTTCCCTTTGTCCTTAAACTGGATGTTAACAACGTGTTAGCGTACATTTTTTATTTACAACGAATTTAATTAAGTTGTAGTGCATTATTTTAAATAATGTGAAAAACATAACTTTCATATTTATAAACCATAGGATCAGACCTTTCAAATGGTGTATAACATGTAGTAGCAAATATATTTTACAAGCAGGTATTTTCTTTGATAAATGTTGGCTTCATCTATCACACAAGAGCCTCTGGGAACTCGGTGTCCCAGCAGTAAACACTTCTGGTTGACTGGTGTTGAAAGAGTTAATGCATGTCATCATATCCCAATTGCAATACTCATGAAGTCAATCACTGGATTGTCAGGTCCAGACTCGATTATTTACAGACCGCTGTCGTAAGCTGGAATATTGCTGAATGCAGCGTTAAACAACAAATACAACCAAACAAAACACTCATTCGACTACCTCCATGGCACTTATTGTTACCTTGCCTGATGCCTAGCAGTCAGTGTAATGTGTCTTGAGTGAAGTATCAATGTTAAACTCAGTGGGCCCGGACTAGTACACACATGCACGCAGGTAAATAGTCTGGAAAGGGGTGTTAACCCAATATTACATTACATGACATAACCTCACTCACACACGTTTCAGGTTGGTAATGCAGTGCCGCCTCCCATGGCCAGGGAAATCGGTCGTGAAATCAAGAAATGTCTTGTATGGAAAACGCAGCAGGAGAAAAGCCAGAGTAAGGTGGAAGACATCGAGATGGAGGAGAAACCGGAAACAGCAGCAGAAGTTCCCAAAGTAGAATCCCCTATTAAAGCCGGGTCTTCGAGATGCTAGTCAGAAACAAGAAGTACATTTGACTGAACATATCCCACTGTGACGCATTGGTCAGTTTAATTTGGCACTGATCTCTGGTGCCGTCAGGGCACATAGCTTTGTGGAAGTGGATGCCAGCTCGCATGCTGATGACGAGAAAATCTTATTGGCCATGTTAAGTGCTCTGTGTGCTTGTGTAATTGAGTTGGTACACAATTCAAATTAATAAGACAATGATGTGACCAGGGCCCCGTTCCACAAAGCGATCTTAGCGCAACAATGATCGTAAGCCTATGTTAAAGTATGGGACTTAGTGCTAAGATCGCTTTGAGGAACGGGGCCCTGAACCTCGGGAGGACAATCAATCCTGGGCATTATGGGAAAGGAACAGTCAGTAACAAGCATGACAAATAGGATGAACAGCAAAATTCTGTTTCAAATGACAGGGATTATCAATATTCTCGAAGCTGTTTTGATGCGGAGTTGGTTCCCGTCAGCTGTTTTGGTCCACGAATAAAGGGCTCTAATCACAGAAACACCCTCGTGATCATTGGTCTGATCAACGTCTATGACCTGTATCTATAGGGCTGACACTCGACATCAAATACTGTCCTTAAACACAGCTTGGGATCTGATATGGTATTTAAAAATAATTTGTGATAATGAAGGCTTTGAAAGTAATTGAGTTTAATTGTGCAGAATGTCTTTTCTCTTTTACAAGGAACATTGCATTAGCTCATCGAGACTGAGACATTCTATTCATCACGTTGTCCTCACATGCGAGGTGTTTGCAAAAATTTGTTTTTATCGAACTTGACTATATCGTGTAAGTGTTGACTGTGTATCATAGCGAAAAAAGTTTGACAGCTACAGCATTATTCACTCGGCATGCTCAGTTGTTAACCTACTATGTTGGATCTACCTCTTGTGTTACACCATGAATGCATCTGTATGTACAGCTCATCTTATGTCATTTTCATATCTTTTTTTATATACATTAGCAGTCTCTGAGGGGTGACACATTGATCTCATTTGCTGCTAGTTGTAGTCCAGAGTTGCCTCCCTTAGCTTTGCCAGGATATGCTAGTTCAGATCCCATATTTGTCATGATCGTGATAATCAGTCTGTCGGCTAATACATTTTCTGGGTTTCACATAAATGGTTAAAGTCTACGACTTACATCACTTTAGACTTCTTCCTAAATTTCTTAATCCTTCAGCTGAATTCAGTTGGTATCAGTATTCAAAAAGAATCTCTTTTATATTGAAGCAAGGTGAATTCCAGGGACCACACGGTATTCGCACTACATTTGCATGTATCTGACACGTGTGATGTACTTATGATACTGACAGAGATTAGTATATGCAGAGAAATGTGCCCTGGAAAAATGCAGTTGGGTTGAGGACACAAATTTAAGTTTGCTTCATTATTTAGTTGCTGCTAATTGCAACTGTTATGCATGACAGCAGCTTGCACCATTTGGATAATAATGGAATGAAACTAGCTACGACAGTGATTAAAGGCACTCTAACGGATAGCATGGAATCCTTCAGAGACTGGATTTTTACTCATCAACAAAATTAAAGATCTTTTTAGTATGTTTAAATCAATGAAAAAAAGTTATTTTTAAGACATAAATAAAAAAGGAAAAATATTTCAGATATTTAACTTTTAGCTATTTTATTGTAAATAGAACCCCTACACCATGATTTTTAAGTTTAGTGGCATCAACACTCATGGTCTTGTGTACTGTATAATAACATCAAGACTTGTCTAAAGAACAATTGTAAATAAGCTCAAATGTATTTGATGTTCATAGTGCTCTGTTGTTCTTCAGATTCTTCATTTTCAAATGATTTTATTTCTCGTGCATTTAAAATTCATTTCTGTCAAATTCTATACATATGTATATTTAAAGCATCTTGTTCATTTACCATGTTTAATTTTAGTACAAAAGTGATATATATATTTTTACAGTGTTTGAAATGCATTGGTTTCATACGTCAGCATGACAGTACCGATATGCAGAACAAAAATACATGTTTTCTAAACTTGCTGAAGACATATTGTTTGGTATCATTGGAAAGATTTGAATGTCTTGACATGAAATTATACTTGTACATTCTTATCTAACTTGTTCTGTAATAAACTACATACTCTTATTTCATCGACTGTTGATTTTCTTCCTACAGGAGTCAAACCAGCGTTAGAAATTGGCACTAGTCCTATAGTCCTTTCCAAATTGCCCAATAGTTAAGGTATCAGAAGGACTAGTAGAAATTTTCCCTTTTAAGGGTTTTGTTATATATTATCATTATAAGGACAAGTGGTCTAAACCTGTTAGGTTCTAACGCTGCAAACGTCTTGAACTCAAAGATAGAAGAGTCACTTCTTTGAACTGGTTAAAAGTAAACTTGTGTTGCCCAAATTGTTTTATTGCAAAATTTAAGTGTGAAAAATGGCATAGCATACCACTATTTTGCCGCCCTATCACTAAATATGTTTCTCTATAGCAGCACATGCCAGAACCTCAGCAGAATCTGTTCAGATTTGAGATTTCAAATATGCTGAATCGTTTCTGTGAATATTTCAAATCAATCACTCATTTCCGTGGGGTCGCCTATTGGATATAGTGTTTGACCTGTTCGATTCCCCACCTGGGTACAATGTGTGAAACATTTGTGGTTTTCCCTGTCTTGATATTGCTGGAATAGTGTAAAAAGTGGCATAAAACAATACTCACTCATTTCCTTGAATTGTGGAAAGACCCTGCACAAAGTTCTACAGGGTACAGCAGGCGTGAAGAAAACATTTTTTCATTTCATTGAGTGTGTCGTATCTCCATTCTATAACTATAAACACCCTGGACCTAGTCGCCACCATAAATCGTGACTGGAAACAAAGCTATGGTGTTTTTGGGTCCAGGATATTTAGCTTAACAGATTGGAGTTACAATACCCTGGGTGACTGATGACAGGAATCCTACTCCAGGTGACATCCTCACCCAGTTTGTTTACTCAGTTCACTTTTGGTTAAGTTTGTTTTGTTTGTTGTTTAACGCCACACTCAGCAATATTCCAGCTCTTTGAACCCATGATGGGAATCGAACATGGGTCTTCGGTGTGATGAACGAACACTTTAACCACTAGGCTACCCGACCAACCTGGGGTGGGTTAAAAGACTGGGCCACCTGTGTTTCCAAAGTAAGTTTGTTTATTTGTTGTGTAACGCTGCACTCAGCAATATTCAAGCTATATGACGGCGGTCTGTAAATAATCGAGTCAGGACCAGACAAACCAGTGATTGACATCATGAGCATCGATCCACACAATTGGGATCGATGACATGCATCAACCAAGTCAGCGAGCCTGACCAGCTGATCCTGTTAGTCCCCTTTTACGACAAGCATAGTTGGCTCTTACGACAAGCATAGTCACCTACTACGGCAAACATGGGTTGCTGAAGACCTATTCTGCCCCGGATCTTCACGGATCTTTGGTTAAGTGCAAATCTGACAATCTGGGATATACAGTGATACTTCAGTACTGTTACTGCATCCCTTAGGCGTGCCAGAAATCTATGCACATGGCTTCAAATCCCAGCTCTTCAGCACCGTCCCCATGCTCATTGATTAAACATGTTTTCTTTGTTTAATGCTGCAATATTCCGTCTATTTTACGGTGGTCTGTAAATAATCAAGTCTGGACCAGACAATCCAGTGATTGCTATCATGAGCATCGATCCACGAAATTGGCATACAGTGACATGCATCAACCAAGTCAGCGATTCTGACCACCCGAACCTGTTGGTCGCCTCTTACGAAAACCAAAGTCGCCTTTTACAACAAGCATGGGTTCCAGAAGACCTATTCCAACCCGGATCTTCATGAGTGTTCCACGCAAGCCACTAAGGGCTTCCACATCAAGCTGACACGCTAGGGTGTAACTGAAATGCAGGTTAAAGTGGGAGCTACCACGGTCGTCACGTCACGAGTAGCCAGGTCCTGGATATGCATGAAGTTACTATTATATCTTACAGTAAAGAAACGCAACACAAGCTTTCTAAGACTAAAACTGATTCTGTTGAAGGTACAGCAACATTGATTCGGAAATAAAGGATTGCTTTAAGTAGCAGGAACTTGGCCACTGTCGCCATTATTGTCCGACTGGTACAAGCAATCACACACACACTTGCAAATAATCCTGCTTCCACCTCCCCTATCCGGTGTAATCCTTTGGCAAAGACCCAGGATATCTACAGGGGATGATTCCATGCCATATACATACAGTTTTGGATGCCATTCAATTATTTATTTCCGTCACTTGTTTAATCTGTGGTTTAACATAGAATTGCTGCATGGTGTTGTTAAGATTTCAATGCAAGCAATACCAGAAATGTTTTGTAATGACCATGTACAAACTGAAAACAGGACTAGTTCCAACCTTGGATAGATAGAATCCGTTGGTGTTCCAAATGTCCCAAAGCTAATTGGTCTACATTGATATGTTACAAATATAAAATCAACAACTGACCAATCAACATTTTTAACAGCTTCAGATGAATGACCAGGCTGTTTCTAAAATAGTCCATCACATTATCAGTTGTTTTTGTTTCTAAGTAGATTCAAGATTCTTTATTCAGTATTTTGGGCCATGTGGCCTAGAGTACAATTACAATAATTGCTGCATCACGTGATGTCAGGAAAATAAATACTAGTAGTCTTATTTCACATTAAATACATGATTTAAGTATAAGGCCAAAGCCTTTACAATGTCAATATTTTTGGAGTTGAGTAGGTTACATAAACTGTGATTATCATGATGGACATTGGATAACCAAGGCAAATAGTGGTTTCTGACAGAAGAATATTTTGAACATATAAACAAAACATGAAATTCATCCTCTAATTGCCTCCCTTTACAGTGGGTACATAGATATAGACTCAGTGAGTGAGTGAGTATGGTTTTACGCCGCTTTTAGCAATATTCCAGCAATATCACGGCGGGGGACACCAGAAATGGGCTTCACACATTGTACCCATGTGGGGAATCGAACCCGTGCCTTCAGCGTGACGAGCGAACGCTTTAACCACAAGACTACCCCACCGCCCCAGATATAGACTCAAGTAAAATAAGTAAATATAGATTCTAAGTAACAGTTATGTGAAGCATTTCAACATGACAACAACATTTTTTTTCACAGCAGAAGGAAACAGGCTAACAAATTATAACGGACAGAACCATGTAAATATATGAACATTTAACTGCTGTACAGTACAGAAAAACAGGCTCATGAATAATATGGACACGGAACTATATAAACTATGATATGTATAAATGTAAAGGTTCTCATAAATATTTCAAACTGCATTAAAACTTCAGTCCACACAAAAAGGAAAACAAATAGAAAAACTGTTATTACAAGTATCAGTACTTCACGTAGTGCCTAATGTTAGCATTTAACTTCATGGACGGTCAAACGTATTTGAGAAACAAAATCACAATACAATTGTAACGCCTGAAGTGTCCAGAAAATGTATTTCCCAAACAGTGATAGTCACATGAACACTTCTATCTTAAATGATGCGTAGGCAACTGCGACCACCAGTTCACCCCTTGTCTGATGTGTATACCAAGTTTAATAAGGATATATACAACGATACATGTAATGCTGTGGAAAGGTAAGCTACATTCAGTATTTGACTGTACTATAGAAATACAATATACAAAAATATATTATAACATTAGAGATGACGCAATACATGTTTGTGACTGTCACCTGATGGTGAGACTAAGTAATCGAGTCTGGACCAGGCAATCCAGTGATTGAGATCATGAGCATCAATTCACGCAATTGGGATATGATGACATGCATCAACCAAGTCAGCGAGTCTGACAACACGCTGGGATGTAACTGAAATCAGGTTAAAGTGGGAGCTACCACGATCGTCACGTCTCGAGTAGCCAGATCCTGGATATGCATTAAATTACTATCTTACAGTAAAGAAACGCAACACAAGCTTTCTAAGACTTTAAAAATGATTCTGCAAATAATCCTGCTTCCACCTCCCCTATCCGGTGTAATCCTTTGACAAAGACCCAGAATATCTACAGGGGATGATTCCATGCCATATACATACAGTTTTGAACAGTCATGTGAAGCATATCAATATGAAAATGATATTTTTTACAGCAGAAAGTAACAGAGGCTCAGAAATCATAACGGACAAAACCACAGAACCATGTAAATATATGCACATTTAACTGCTGTACAGTACAGACAAACAGGCTCACAAATAATATGGACACAGAACTATATAAACTATGTCATGTATAAATGTAAAGGTTCTAATAAATATTTCAAACTGCAAACTTCATAGAATTGCTGCAGGGTGTTGTTAAGATTTCAATGCAAGCAATACCAGAAATGTTCTGTAATGTTCATGTACGAACTGAAAACAGGACTAGTTCCCACCTGGGATAGATAGGATCCGTTGGTGTTCCAAAAGTCAAGAAGCTAATTGGTCTATATAGACATGTTACAAATATAAAATCAACAACTGACCAATCAACATTTTTAACAGCTTCATTTGTTCAGATAAATGATGAGGCTGTTTCTAAAATAGTCCATCACATTTACAGTTGTGTTTGTTTCTAATTCCCAGTTATGTGAAGCATATAATAATAACAAAAATGAGTCCATTTGTATGGCGCCAAACTCCATACCAGCTCGTGTGCTCATGGCGCTCAACTCAATTTTCATTCTCAGCTCCCTGGGGAGTTTTTAACCCAAGGTGCCTTTGAGGCGCTAGAAGGTTAACAGTGGTTTCTGACAGAATATTTTACACATATAAACAAAACATGAAATTCATCCTCTAATTGCCTCCCTTTACAGTGGGTACATAGATATAGACTCAAGTAAAATAAGTAAATATAGATTCTAAGTAACAGTTATGTGAAGCATTACAACATGACAACAACATTTTTTACAGCAGAAGGAAACAGAGGTTAACAGACACATTACCGTCTCATCCTACCGGGTACCCACTCACTGCTGGGTGAACAGAGGCACATTTCGAACAAAGTCACTTGCGTAAGGAGACACCACATGTGGTACATGTGCTTCATGTGTTGTAGGACCGAAGCCCTAGAAACTCTCAGGAGTCAACCTGCTGGACGTGGTCACCCATCCAACTACTCTCCGAGACCGACGTTGCTTAAATTCACCTGATTTGTGATCTGTGCACAGGGCCATGTGCTACCACATATCAACATGAAAATAATATTTTTACAGCAGAAGGAAACAGAGGCTAACAAATCATAACGGACAAAACAGCAGAACTGTGTAAGTGTAGGAACATTTAACTGCTGTACAGTACAGACAAACAGGCTCACAAATAATATGGTCACAGAACTATATAAACTATGTCATGTATAAATGTAAAGGTTCTAATAAATATTTCAAACTGCATGAAAACTTCAGTCCACACATTAAGGAAAACAAATAGAAAAACTGTTATTACAAAATCAGTACTTCACGTAGTGCCTAATGTCAACAATTAACTTCATGGATGGTCAAACGTATTTGAGAAACAAAATCACAATACAATTGTAACGCCTGAAGTGTCCAGAAAATGTATTTCCCAAACAGTTAGTCACATGAACACTACACCCCTTGTCTGATGTGTATACCAAGTTTGATAAGGATATATACAACGATACATGTAATGCTGTGGAAAAGCAACCTACATTCAATATTTGACTGTACTATATAAATACAATATACAAAAATATATTATAACATTAGAGATGACGCAATACATATTTGTGACTGTCATATTCTGATGGAGCGAATACTGTATTTTTCACTCCATTTGTTGAAATCTATTTGCAAGAAAAGCTCCAATTTTGTAAGGATATTGTGTTCTGGTGTGTCATGTGACCAGCAACAGTTGCAATGGAAAAATGCTTGTGATGTAGATCAGTACAATCTCGAATGTCAAATCCACATCAGACGTAAAAGGGAAGGGAACGCTAACCTAATGTTACACAATAATGCATACTTCTCTCTCATCTTAATCCAATCCAACCTCAACATGTGACCATACAGTATCTAAATATACTACTCAAAAGAAGTTAAGGATCACCCGATTCTTTCATAATGGTAAAGTTAATTTGAGTAGTATAGAAAAACAAGCTGCTGAAACAATGGAAATAACACACCAAGTAGTGGCAGCTGTATGTGACAACCAGCTGCAGCTGTGCGGAGGATCCTAATACAGATTCTGACCATAAATGTTCCCCTTGTTTTGAGTTAGTGAGTGAGTATGATTTTAAGCAGCTTTTAGCAATATTCCAGCAATATCATGGTGGGGGACACCAGAAATGGGCTTCACACATTGTACCCATGTGGGAAATCAAACCCAGGCCTTCTGCCTGATGAATGAACGCTTTAACCACAAGCCTACCCGACCGCCCCCTTTCTTGTTTTGAAAGCCACCCCCACCCTCAGGTGTCGAATCTACATGAGATTTGGTTGTGACCGCATCCCTCAACAATATTTCATGTCCTGTTTTCCCCATGTAAACTTAATTTATGTATTTAGAAGATAAATCTGCCAAAACAGATTCCAATGGGCGCATAAGGTGAAAATAATATAAATGGATCACCCACAATCAGTGATGATGCCAGGTGTTTGAGAATATGTCCTGCTCTACTGGTATTCCCCGTCTCATACAGTCAGTGTTTGTTTGTTGCCACATGAATTTTAGGTGAGGTGAGGTGAAATTGGGTTTAACATCGCGTCCAAGATTATTGCACTTATATAGTGATGTGCATGTACGTGTGTGTGTTTGTGTGGCTGCTTGTACTAGTCCGGACTGATGCCGATTTATAGTGCTAGCTCACTGCGATACCATGCCGCAGTTTAACATGAATACCCAGTAGACACAGTATACTGACTCCGAGCCGACCAGTCCTTGTTTTAGCCCCTTAATGCCGAGCGCCAGACAGGGTAACAACAAGTACCATCTTTTAACATCTTTTGGTATGACGTGGTCGGGGATCAAACCCCGGACCTTCCGCTCTACCACTAGACCAGGGAGGCGGTATACATGAATATTAGAATTGCACAATTTCATTATTAGAACGTGTGACGTGACTTACAGTCGGGGTCAATTCAAATTAAATAAATCAAGTGGAAATTTGAACGTAGAAGGTATCACATTTTACAGTGTACTGTAGAAAAGTAGACATCATTCACTATTTTTAGGGGATCCGCCAGACTCTAAGATATAAACTACCCCAAAAATGTAATTATGCCCCTTGTTTTTGGCAACAAAACAAGCTATAACCTAGGGCACATAAGCCGTCAGTCATAAGTTAATCACAACCTTCTCACTTTGTAAAACATAACAATAACATGAGTGTTACAACAGTTTACAATATGTCCACGTAAAGGTGTCATCTGATATGAATGGGGCACGGGTGTCCCAGTTGTCTAAGGCAGATCGAGGTGAATATCTGCAAGATTGCTGATGCGGCGTTAAGCACTAATTACCTACTCATTGTAGAGGTCCATCCTTTAGATGTGCTAGAAACCTATGATTGTGGGTTCAAATCCAGGTCATGTGAGTGAGTGAGTGAGTGAGTGAGTTGGGTATAACGCCGCTTTTAACATTATTACAGTTATATCCCGACGTGTCTGCTCAATGTGGGAGGAAAGCCTGAAGTGATGAAGATCTCAAGACATTTACCACTTTGGTGAAACCCACGAGCACGGGTATGGTGCTGACAAACCTAGAAACATAAGTGGGTCAACCCCAGGATTCAAACCCATGATCACAGGTTTCTGGCCTGTCCAAGGGATGCAACTTTGCACAGCGAACTGTGGCACCATAGAAGATTGGGTCACCCGTGTTCCCATGACTCACTCTAGCAGAGCATGGTTTGGATACACGTTATATTAAAGCAGAGGGATGCACTAAGGTAGACATGTATGTAGACCTCTTTCCTCAAGTATGACTTGTATAGGAATCTTAAGTGTCAGCTGCAATGTGGCGTTTATGTTTTGTACACGATATACAACACCGGGAACAGTTTCTGGACGTCATGAATCTGCTACTGCTGCTACTACAGCTGCTACTGCTACTACTAACGGTCTGTAACAAGCTACAGATCTGGGGAGGATCGTAATACTTTTCCTGACCATGAATGATCCTCTATTCTGATAGGTCCTCCAAAGGGATTGAATCCACATTAGATCCATGTAGTGAAAACAAGAGGGTGTTTTCTCTACCAGAAGCCCTTCTTTAGAAACTGCCCATCTCGTGTACAGGATTTAGAACAAGTAAGAGTTTCTGTCCCTTATGAATCCACCAGGCTCTACTGCATGATTGTTCCAGCTCCACACATGTGTCATAGGCAGTGAGACCATCAGTGTTTGTTTCAGACAGATCAGCACCCATCTGTACAAGCAGCTTCACCATGTTGTATTGCTTTCTTCTCACAGCCATATGGAGAGGTGTGTCGCCTTTATCATCCCTAGCATTAACGTCACTGCTGTTTTCCAACAGAATCCTAGCGATCCTAGCATGACCAGATTGTGCACATCTGTGTAGAGGTGTCTTTCCATGTGCATCCTCTACATCCACATCGACACCAGCTTCTAAAAGCAACTCCAGTGAGCGCTGACAGTTCATGGAAGCTGCATGGTGAAGAGGGGCATTCTTTTTACTGTTCTGGATATCAGCATCAGCATTCCTGTCTAACAGTTCCATCACAAACTTCCAAACCTGGATTTCCCGTCTGTGGTGTGGTATGTAGTATGATGCTGTCCCCTGTTGACAATCGGCCACAAGTTCCAGTAACAGGTTCAAAGGCGTGTTTCCATTAGCATCGCTAACATTAGCGTCACATCCCCCGTTTAACAGGACACACAACAGTTCATAGTTGGATTGTCGAACAGCAACGTGGAGGGCAGCAAATCCATCACTGTCTGTTACGTCCCCATTAGCCTTATACTTCAGGAGCACTTCAACAGTGTCATTAAAACACCTTGTAATGTCAACTGTCCGTTTTTTTATCCTCAACGTCTGCCGCTGTTTTATATTTTCAAGTCCTTTGAAATTGCATATTTTTTCTTTTTGTTTGGATTCATATTTCTGTGGAGCCTGGCTCATTGAGCAGGCACTAAGGAGAGGAGTTTGACCTTTGTTGTTTGTGATGTTAGGGTCTGCCCCTTTTTGAAGCAATAGAGCAATTTTGCCTTGGCTTTTCTGTCTGTTTGCTAACAAATGCAATGCTGTGTTCCCCTGGTCATCCTGCATGTTGACATTAACATTGTGTTTCAGCAGGACCTCCAAACACCTCCATGATTCACACGAGATGTGGAGTGCTGTTCCAGTTCCCAAAAAACCTCTATCAAATCTGGAATTTACGTCAATACCTCCTTGATTGAGGAAAAAATCCAAAGTCTTCCAAAACTTTCTTTCAGAAATAGCACACATCATTTTGTCAGCATTGTCGGCAAAATTAAGTTTTCTTTCATTTTCAGTTAGCAATCTGATTATCTCAAAAGATATGGGAAATGTAAAAGCAAGTGGACTCCCGAATAACTTGGAATTTGTTTTATCCATTATCTTAAATGGAATTATGTGTCCTTGAGCAGATTTGATATTTGGGTCAGCACCCATTCCCAACAAACATTTAACCATCTTGGTATGACTTCCAATCATAGCTGCTTGGAGGGGCGTGAAGCCCAAGGATTCTGAAATATCACTATCTGAAATGCTTGAATTCCCCTCAAATGAGATTGACTCTGAACAGTCATAAAAACAATGTTGCCAGGTTCTTTCTAGGGATTGTTCAACTAGCAGGTTGATATTTGCACCACGCTCACAAAGATGAAAAACCAGCTTGTCATACCACTCATCTTGCCACTCAAGTTCTGATTCTGAAGGATATACAATAAATTCATCAATTACACCCATGTCTGATGTGGTAGGGAAATCCATTCGTGATAGCACCATTAGAAACTTTTGAGCAACGGTTGGTGTTGTACAAAATCCTGAAGCGGTCAGCAGTTTTACTTTGTTCAGATTTGGAGAAGCCATTAACGGATTCAGTTTGAGGTCATGTGTACTAAGTGGGTTCTGTGGACAGTACTTCAGAAGTAACTCGAGTGTTTCCACAGAGGCCATCCCAGCTGCTTCAAATAATGGCGTGACACCTACACTATTTTCCAACAGAATATCTGCACCTTTTTCCAGGAGCGTTCCCACACATGCCTTTGTGGATTTACTTGACAGCGCAAAATGTAGTGGTGTATTTCCTTCTTCATTTCTCTGGTTTACATCTGCACCTGATCCAATAAGTTTCTTAACAACCTCAATACTGTTGCCAACTGAGGCAAGGTGAAGAGCTGAGTTGCCTTTATTATTTGTGAGTTTGACGTCAGCTCCAGCTTGAATGAGAGCCTCCACCTTACCCCTCACATCAATTCCAGACAGAACAGCTTTATGGAGAGCTGTTGAACCAACAACGTCCTGGGCAATCAGGACATCCTGTCTGTTTGGCAGTTTTGAATACCATTCTAGAAGAGAGAGGAAACAATCTAGATTACCAAACTCACTTGCTTTGAGTAATGGTGATGAGGTTGACCCCAGGGTTGGTGATATGGTTGATAATATAATCTTCAGGCATTCAATGTCACTATACACAAGTTTGGAATGAAGAATGGTGTAGCCATGTATGTCTTTTGCATTCACATCTGCACCATGGGCAAGCAGTAGTTTCACGGACTCAATACTTCGACAAGAGGCTTCCAAAAGAGGAGTTCGCCCTTTTGTACCAATGATACAAGATTTAAAGCTTGACAAATGAAGTGTCCATGAACCCTCACCCTCCGTTAAAGTGTATTCTAAGCTGGAACTATGTCTTAGTAACAATTCCAGAGCATCTGAAGATTTGTGTTGAGATGCCATAAAGATCATCTTGCCGTCCTGATCCCGAGCTCCTTCATCTATCAGCAGTTGTATCAACTTTCGTGCTTCTGATATCTTGACATCACAAGTAACTTGAAGAGGCCTATAAACTTCTTCACAATAGTAACAATGAAACAACATTTGTTGAAGAAATTTGTCCAGTAAACCTGCATAATCACAAGGTAACTTTTTCAGCGTTTTCAGAAGCTCCCTCACATATGTCTCCTTGAAAACAGCAAGTGCTAGGCCTGCTAAGTATGCGATATGCCTTGAAGATTGTTGTTTGGTTTTTCTCCACCATGTTAGAAGCTTTTTGAATAGACGTACTTTAACTTTGTCGGAAACAATACATGTGGTCAGCATGTCATTCAGCTGTAATGGGGAAATGCTTGGATGTTCTCCTACAATATCATTGAGTCCCATGAAACATGCGCAGTGTAGCAGTCTCCGGTCAAAGCAACACGTAGACAGTGAAACAATTTGGTTTGCTAGCAATGGCAAATCCTGCATAATTATCAAGCAAATAAGAGACTTAAAGTTGAATAGCCATCTTTTTGTCTGTCCTAGTGAACTTAGAAATATCTCATGAGGTCCCTTAGACACTAAGGAAGAATATGCTAAGTTAAATGGCGCTTTTTGGTAAAACTGTAAGAAACCAATTTTCCTATAGCAGATACGCGTGCAACCCTCACATCCCAGGACTTGTTTTGTTAGAACATGTACAAACTGTTTATCCCTCAAAGCTTGGTGGTTGAGTATGGTGAAGAAATCCCCTTCTGTGAGCTCAGCAGCTATTCTTCTTGCCAAGCTCTTGAAATGTTCCCTCTGAACTTGACCTGCAAGGCTTCTCTCCGAAGGATTGCATGCAGGTATATACTGAACAAGAAATGTGGCTGGACATATGTCAATGACATCTTGCAAATGGTTGTCTGCAAAGCTGAGGAGCAGAGAATCATAATACAGTGTATTTAGGTACGTGTAAGACTGGTATCTCTTTGAGAAGGTCAAATATTCCCCAACCATGCTGTCTGTGGTACGTTGTAGCTTGTTCAAATCTATACCAACTCCACGAGGAACAAAATACTTGACCTTTTCCAAAACAAGGGCAATGTCCTTGATTTCACTGGACTGTCTGTCTGGATAGAAAAACCTCTTTGGTAGCCGCCCCTGCATCACGGCAAGGAGAACCAAAACAATGTACTGAACATCATTTTGTTCTTTCAATATCTTGAATCTCTTCACAATACATTCAACTGGGTTTTGAAAATACTGCAGGCCTCTTTCTTGTGCTTCTCTACAACTTGCAAACGTATGGCAAATTAGCGGAAATGCCACATTACTAAGTTTTGCCAGAGCCATTTCAATGTTAGTGTCACCTGTTATGGGGGTTCCTTTCTTCCTGTGGATTTGAACCATTTTTAACTTTTCTTCAGGCTTTAAATGATATTGTGGGTCTGATAGTGATAAGATGTGTGCCACTCTAAACAATGAGAATCTTGAGAGTTGTTTTTCACAAATGTTGTAAACATCGGTACTCAATAAAATAACAACACTTACGAGGCCGAGTTGAACCTGGGACGACATCATATCAAGTATGTGCAACCAGGCTTCTTTCCGATGGTAGTCAAGGTTGTCAAATCCAAATATATTGTCCACAAGAACGTTCATTCTTTCTCTTCTTGATTGTCGCAGAGGAAGTGTATACCAATCTTCAGGACTGGAGAGGATGACGGGTGTTCGTTTAAAGGATTTCAGTAGGTGCATGCCAATGGTTGTTTTACCACTCCCTCGTTGTCCAACTATCACCAAGCCTCCAAGGTCTTGTACACGATGTCGGGCCTCATGATAGGCTCCTGTCTCCACAAATCTTCTCTTGTCAAACGTCTTCAGATGTTGTCTCGTTACTCCTGTTATCACAAAAGTATACACATTTAATATTTTATATACAGTGTTATTCCACAAATCACAAAACGAACGTACCGTTATAAGCCACAGAAACATAATTTCTATCTTTTATATCCCATCAACTGTACAATAAAAAACAGTGATCTTTCCAACTTTCTGTATTTACTCCACAGCAGGCATTTAGAAATCAACCGATTAATATTAATACATGTAGACCTTCATGCATATGTGAGGTGAGGTGACATTGGTTTTAATGTCGCATCCAAGATTATTGCACTTATATAGCGACGTGCATGCACGTGTGTGTGTGTGTGTGTGTGTGTGTGTGTGTGTGCGTGCGTGCATGCGTGCGTGTGTGCGTGGCTGCTTGTACTAGTCCGGACTGATGCCGATTTATAGTGCTAGCCCACTGAGATACCATGCCGCAGTTTAACATGAATACCCCACTAAGACACAGTATACTGACTCCGAGCCGACCAGTTCTTGTTTTAGCCCCTTAATGCCGAGTGCCAGACAGGGTAACAACAAGTACCATCTTTTAACGTCTTTTGGTATGACGCGGCCGGGGATTGAACCCCGGACCTTCCGCTCTCCGGGTGGAGGCTCTACCACTAGACCACGGAGGTGGTCATGCATATGTAGTCTCGAGGTACAACTGTTGGATAGTTCTCCATACCTCCATACAACTGGGTGGGGGACGGTCGGCTAGCCTAGTGGTTAAAGCGTTCGCTCGAAAACCGTACTCACTCACTCACAACTGGGTGATTGTGATAACGTTCAATGAAGTGATCTTATGGCCCGGATTAATTCAAGCATTACTATGGGCCTGTATATTTGTTTGAAACATGTCAGCTTTAGACACATGCCCTTGGCAGGCAAATTGGGAAATAAAATATATATGTTGTTCAAAATTGGGATTTCTTGAATTGTACAATTGAGAAATCTTGTGAATATTGAAAGGGTTTTCTTGCTTTTATTTATAAGAACTTATTTTTCCGCATTCTAAGGTATTTTTTTAAGATTGCAATAATGTACCAGTAGAGTGAGTGAGTGGGTGGGTGGGTGGGTGGGTGGGTGGGTGAGTGAGTGAGTGAGTGAGTGAGTGAGTGAGTGAGTGAGTGAGTGAGTGAGTGAGTGAGTGAGTGAGTGAGTGAGTGAGTGAGTGAGTGAGTGAGTGAGTGAGTGAGTGAGTGAGTGAGTGAGTGAAGGATAAACTTCAGGATGCATTTAGTTTAAGACAGACAAATGTGTTGTTGGGGCTTTCAAGATAATTGCAGTGATACAGAGACGTTCACATGCGCTTGGAATTGCGATATCTATAAAAAATAAGGAACATATTTTTTGGAATGACCTCATCAAGAGTAATCATTTGTTTTGTTATGCCGAAAATCACTTTAAAGTTTATGAAGTCCGTCCTCTGTTATATCTTTAAATACACGAGGATTTACTTACCTACGATATTTTCAAAGCGGATGTCGTCCCTCCGTCCTGTAAGGAAAGATATATTGCACAGACATTAAAATATCTCAATATCTGACAGTCACGTATCGAAGGGTAAACTGGACGTAGTTAGAATTCAAGTAACAGTTATAAGATGTATTTTGAATAATACATAAAATCTGAAAAGAATGACGTGATGGTATACAAAATATGATAGTACCACCTTAAGTACATTGAAGAATTGTACAATGATACAATAGTTGGAGGTCAAAACTAGAGGTCAAAACAGTTTACCTGACGAACTGCCGCCTGGTGGCTGTACAGAAAAAGTACTGTTTATCGCATTTATGATTGTGCTAGGTGTTGGTTGTACTGGTACTGCGCTGTTGACTTCATTTATGCTTGTGCTAGGTCCGCCCTCTGGTCCCGGAACACCCTCCAGTGATCTAAAATTGACATATAGAGAAATGCATTGTTCAACCTACAGTATGCATTTAAAAAAACAACACATGTTCCAAAGTAGAACTAATATCCTTTTCAACATGTAATATCCCAAAACACACGACCTTGTATGTCTTTTTTTCAGTTTGAGGTATTTATAGTTGGTTGGTTGGTTGCACTCAGCAATATTCATGATATTGATTGATATCATGAGCATCGATCCACGCAATTGGGATCGATGACATGAATCAACCAAGTCAGCGAGCCTGACCACCCGATCCCGTTTGTCGCCTTTTATAGAAAGAAACACAATAACCCAAAGAATAAGTAAATCTATCCTGAAGGAGGCTGTGTCCACAGATGTCTCTATATCAAGATGTCACATATTTCTATATCTGAAAGACAAGAGTGAGTGAGAGTATGATTTTATGCCGCTTTTAGCAATATGCCAGCAACATCACGGCGGGGGACACCAGAAATGGGCTTCACACATTGTACCCATGTCGGGAATCGAACCCGGGTCTTCAGCGTGGCGAGGGAACGTTTTAACCACTACCCGACCGCCCCTATCAAGATGTGTTTTACAGTGATGGATTATTAAATTTAAAGAAGAATGTCAATAAACAAAACAGAGAATAAAATGGTTGTGTTCATTTTTGGGATTCATACATCAAATGGCTTTGATGTATATAACCATTTTCAAATTCTTGCTTTGTTGTTTTTTAAACTGTTGCTATGGTTACTGCAGAACCATTATATGAGAGCTTCGAAGTGCATATGATTTTCTTCATGTCTCTGATATGCATGTTCTCCATGTACAATGTATACAAATGTACTTGTATGTACTTATAAATGATAAGTAGGGCTGGGACGAGTCCAAATTTACTACCCCGGTACCCACTCCTCTATTACCCGACCCTACCCGGGTACCCACTGTAGGTCTCAAGAGATACAAAATGTCCGATTGGTAATTGTTTTTACCACAACACTTGCAAAACGTATTAAGATACATGTATTGAACGATCTGATCATGCATACACTGAAATTGACTTAAGTTAGATCTTTATTCAACCATATGAAAAGTCAGAAGGAATGAGTGCATAGTCAGAAATAAATGCATTAGTGACTTGTAGTGTAACCATAGAGTTCTAGACAATTTTTGTTATTAAACTATATATCACATGACTTACACTGGGTCCGGGTAGTCCTGTTGGTACCCGGGTCCTACTCAGTACCCACCTGACCCGGGTATCCGAGTTACCCGTCCCAGCCCTAATGATAAGATATATGTCCCCGTTTTCCTGGAGGTAAGAGAGTGAAACTGCAGAACCAGATATTTTTTTAATTAAAACACCTTGCAACAGTGTAATTTTTGTGGCACATAATTTCTCCTTTATCCCAAAGGTCTGAAGCATAATTATTTTTTAATGGGACAATATATTTTTTTCGCTAAATTTCCAGGCCCTCTCCCCCGGAATATCAAATGATCGGTCCCTTACCTTGGGTTTGTAGGCTGATGACTGTCCATTATACTGAGTTTGAAGTCCTGCCTACTCTTGTTCCTGCAAAGGATATTAATTTGTTGTATTACACATATCATCCCTGTCTTCAATTATGTAGTGCTGTCTTCACACTGAAAAACACTGAAAAACAACCCTCCCTTGCGTTTGCCAATGCACCTCAATGGTGTCTCATTTTTTAAACATCTCTCATTACATCATACATGTGTGAGGTCTTAAGAACATACCACATTCTTAAGATTTCTGAAACCTCAAATATTCAACGACTGACATGTCTCACTTGTCTCAGCAAGAATAATAAGGAATTACCTCAAAATGATGACAGCAAAACCCACTCCAGTAAGATATGGTTTGGTTATGTCACTGCTTGTAGGGAATTATATAAGGACATGAGTAGGGGTGACTGTTGAGCCAAAAAGACTATTGCGATATCAATAACTATTGCAAACAACTATTGCAATAACTATTGATATTGAGAGATGTTAACTATGTTGACAATAACTATTGGCAAACATTACTTCATCCTTTTAAGATAAAATATTTAAACAAACAATAAAACATTTGAAACTTTACCAGTTTGTTTTATTTCAAGTAGTAAACAATACCAACCATGCCAAAATGTGAAACAAAACTCTTTCATGGAGTCATGGTAGAATAAGATCTTATTTCACAGCTGATTTAACTTAACAAAACAATGTTAGCACGAGTTAGCACTATATCAATAATATCAAGTAATTGAGAAACTTCTCCATGTCTTATACTCAATAAACTCAATGTATTGTGTGTTTTTTGTATATCAAAACAATACCAAACAATTAGAATAGAAACTCACTGACACAGAGAATTTCTTTCAGTCAGTCTGTAACAATATATTTCTTTTCTTTGAAAACAGAAGCATTTATCACAAACAAAACTTGGGTTGCTAATAGACAGGAGGGGCAAATAACTCTAACCACCATACCAGTTTTCAAGCTTAGCACCTACGGTGAATGGTCAGATTGTTCTATACGTAAATAAATATCCTGCATACCACCTGTACCAAAGTGCTACGCTTATGGTTCTTATAATATAAAGTATGTATAGAAGTATAATAATGATTCAGACACAATTTCTTCCAACCATTGCATCAAAATTCTTTGAAGTCAAATCTTTAGGTACCTTTTAACTTAATCACCGGTAGATTGAGAGGAAACGTGTGCGCAGCTCATTGCTATTTCCGGCTTAGTTTATGAGAAAATACACACGGCAATCTTAATCTCTACATATAAAACTATGCCTTGGAGAACCGAAAATACAATTTATTGATCTTAAATGATAAATCATCATGTCTACTGTTGTTTTATATCAAATTTCATTCTTTTATTGACAAAGTTTGTTATACCTGTTTATTCATCTGAATTCGCTGAAGGGATACGAGTTGTATTGTGCGCTATTCAATCAGAATATGTTTTCAACACATAAAGACAACTCTAAAGTGCTACAAAATAAAACAAGTCCGTACACTATCGAAACTATCGATATTGGACACTTACATCGATACTATCGATTGCAAAACGTGACTCCCATCGATAAATTGATATCGGGGCACTCACTATTGCAATACATCGATAGTCCGATGTATTGTTACACCCCTAGACATGACCCTTTAGGCAGGGCTCTGCTATCAGAACCCATCCAAACTGACGTTCAATCCTTAAGTGGTTTCAGAGTTCAAGTGAAGCAGTACTGTTGTTATGTGCACTGCCATCCTTACCTTACCTTATCCATAAATATTTATTATATATTGTGTGTGAAAGACTGAGTGAGTGAGTGAGTTGGGTTTAACGCTGCTTTTAACAGTATTCCAGTTATATCACGGTGTGTCAGCTTAATGTGGGAGGAAAGCCCGAAGTGATGCAGGTCACCACTTCGGTGAAACCCACGATCATGGGTATGGAGCTGACAAACCTAGAAACATAATCGGGGCGAACCAGGATTCGTACCCCCAATCATAGGTTTCTGGCGTGCCAAAGGGATGCAACTCTGCAGACGACTGGGCCATATCTGCATGCCTAGTGCATGGGGTTTATTGCTTTGATCTTTGTCAGTCCTAATTATCTTGCTGGCTTCCATTTGTCCATTGTCATTTCCATTCTATAACCTATCAGTGCTAATTACACCCGTTTGCTCATTGTCCATTGCCTATTACCAATCAGTGATAAGTTAAGTGTAGGCTCCCTTTAGTCCATTGCTAATCTCCTAACAGCGCCAATTAACTGTTGGCTCCCCTTGTTTATTTTCCACCTTTGTTACTTATTACTTTTGTTGTTTTTACAGGCACATATAAATACACTGCCGCAAAGCATTTATTCACCCGATGAAGGAGTAAGTATATATATATACTCCGAAACGTTGTGTCCCTCATAATAAAGAAGTTGACATTATGTGTACCACTTCTATTAAAATGCCTATCAAAGACTTGATTATTATCCATATCATGGCCATTTTTTGTTGTTGTGGTCGTTATGACTTTTGGTTTGTGGCCGTTTTTCACTTTTAGTGTGTTTTGAGGCCGTTCTGACATGAGGCCGTTTTGACAACGACCCGACGTAGTCCCTTTAATCTCTGAAACGTCACCTTTGACCTTTAATGCGTGGGAGTTTAGGCCTATATCCCCTAAACATAAAGGTCTGGTATAACCACCAGTCGGTGTATAATAACCCGATTGGCGTGTATCCTATGCCCCGATTGACGCCTTTGACGACATATTCAGCGCAGAGCGACTAACGAACTAATTGAAAGTGGCCAAATCTACACATGTTTACTATATGTAATGTTTATGGTAAACATTAATAATTGACCTTACACGAGAGACAAATACACCTCCTGTCAGCTTACCTGCACACAATTGAGGCTCACTTCTTTTTCCACAGTTTCTGCACATACGCCTTTCAGTCGAACTTCGGTGACGTGGTTTTACGAACTTTGAACCGGAAGCAACAAGAGACTTCCTCCAGCAGAATGGCATCGGTCGAGTCAGTATACGTCCCTTTCCCAGACCAGGCCACAGCGCTACGTTTATCGAGTGGTATACATCTTGCAAGGGACGCGACTCTTCCCATTAATTACTTGCGCTCAGTGCTACTGTCATGGCGGATCTGTTTACGCATTTGTTTACTGTCGAAGGTCGGCTTGTTGTTATATTAACGTACAGATCGCTAACTATAACTGCCAGGAAGTCTCTTAGGTGGGTTATGGTCGGTTTTATTGTGGTTGTGTCAACAGTGCGAATGCTAAATTTGTTTGCCACCAAGTATGATTAAAATCGATATGGCTCAAGACATATCTTTTAGTATCTTATGTTATCCACGCGTGCCTCTTAGATCCTTTGGGTTAGTTGTGTCAGATTTGTTTGTTTGTTGTTGTTTAACGAAGCACTCACCAATATTTCAACTCAACTAAATGACGGCGGTCTGTAAATAATCGAGTTTGCTCATGTATTGTCATTTTAGCCATTAATAATAAGCGGCACTGCTTTTCAACCAAACCTTGTGAAATCATTTTATACCACCCGTTATTATTTTTTGTGTATCATGCACAATGTTAGACAAAAGGATGTGTTGAAAGTCTCTATGTTCTAACACTCATATGTTGAGTTTGTGTTCTGTTTCCAAAATAGAAAACACTACCATTTAACACTGCAAATTAGGGCTGGGACGGGTGACTCGGGTACTCGAGTCTTGTGGGCCCTGAATAGGACCCGGGTACCCACAGGACTACCCAGACCCGTGGTTAGTCACGTTATATTTTGTTTAAAGACAAAAACATACTATAGCTCAATGGTTACACTACAAGTCGCTAATGTTAAGATTATTTTCTGACGATGCACTCATTCCTTTTGACTTGTAAATGTTTGAGTAAAAATAAAGCTTCAGTCAACTTCAGTGTATGCATGATCTGATTGTTTGATACATGTATCTGAATAGCTTTAGCCAGGGCTGCGGTAAAACAATTACCAATCTGACATTTTGTTCCCTACTCTTGAGACTTACAGTGGGTACCCGGGTAATAGGGGATCGGGTAACCGGGTAGTAAATTTGAACTCGTCCCAGCCCTACTGTAAATATATCACAAAATAAATGCTTCAATAACTGCAAACTGTGAAAAGTTTTATTGTGGTATGGTACTTAGTTTTAAGTCTTAATTTCATTCCATCTGTGCTTTAAACTTAAATTTACAAATAAAGCGTGTGTGACAGTGTTAATGCACTTTTACACTTCCCAATACAAGGAATAAAATCTGGTATTCAAGTTTCAGTGAATGTTACTTTTGTTAGAAATACAGTCAAAATCAATTGGGTTTCTGTCACTTGCAGAACTACAACAATGGATCATCTCAAGCATGACAAGTACATCCTTAATATCAGAACTCAGCTATTTATCATATCTAGCTTGTGACAATTTTAACATGATATTCTCGTTTCACATTTGTCAACTGAATAATGTGTTATAGTTCACAAGAAAATTAAGTTAGCCAGTCAGGCAACCTTAATGTTATTTCCATGAGCCCTGCTTGAAATTAATGGTTTCTTAACCATAAAAGGTCGGGGATTTAATCTTTCCGAGGACATTTTCTAGTGTGACTTATAACTTGAAAACTACAGCATAGATTCTTCTCAAACTTTGTGTATTAATAGGACAGGTGCTGTGTGAGGTTTGATTTCAATTTTTGGATTTTCTGAAAAAATACAGCTGTTTTTCATTGGGTTACTTATATTTTTTCTACTTAAACATTTTAAGCACTGCATGCATTCTTTTGAAATTTAGGGAACAGTTTCCATACTAAAATAGAGGAGGTGCAGTGCACAGTTTGATAAGTGGAATTTCTCAGAAAATATACCGGTATCTTGTTTCATGTTTTCAACTTAGAAATATTTTTATACCCCTGACCTAAAAGCTTCAAAAGGGCAGCGCATCATATTTAGGACATAAACATACTGTGTTTTCAATGTAGAGCTAGGTTACCTGTAGATTTAACCATGCTAAATTGAATTTGGAACCAAAAGCGCAGCATGAGGTTTCAAATATTAAATCTCCATTCTACCACGACTAAATAAAATGCCAACTCTTTTGTAATACAAAAATATATTGAGTGAAGTGGCATGGGTTGAGTCCAGTATTTTGAGTGGGTTGTTGATCTGAATTTACGGAATCCCTGACAACAGCCTGTAAACACAATATGGTGCTCTATATGTCCAGCAGTTCCTTTACACTGTAATACTTCACACAAACTTATCATACCTTATCATATTGCTTGTCTATTGAATGTAGGAAGTAATCGTCGCTACCTCCACAACTGTTGTAATATATTTATTATTTTTACTATGTATGACTCCTACTGGTCACTCTACACATTAATATATCAAAGAAACATCCCTGTGTGTTTTCCAATATCAATTAAACGGGAGACGAACACTGGTCGCGGAAATGGACAACTACAGACTTTTCATATTGCTTGTATGTAGCACGTGGGTAAAAAATCGTCGCTACCTCCACAACTGTTGTAATATATTTATTAATTTTACTATTTATGACTCCTACTGGTCACTCTACACATTAATATATCAAAGAAACATCCCTGTGTGTTTTCCAATATCAATTAAACCGGAGACGAACACTGGTCGCGGAAATGGACAACTACAGACTTTTCATATTGCTTGTATGTAGCGCGTGGGTAAAAAATCGTCGCTACCTCCACAACTGTTGAAATATAATGATTATTTTTACTATTTATGACTCCTACTGGTCAGTATACACATTATTATAAAAAAGAACCATCGCTGTGTGTTTTCCAATATCAATTAAACAGGAGACGAACACTGGTCGCGGAAAGGGACAACTACAGACTTTTCATATTGATTGGATATGGCGCGTGGGTAAATAGTGGTCACTACGTCCACAGCTGTTGTAATATATTTATTATTTTTACTATGTATGACTCCTACTGGACCGTCTACACATTATTATATAAAAGAAACATCCCTGTGTGTTTTCCAATATCAATTAAACGGGAGACGAACATTGGTCGCGGAAAGGGACAACTGCAGACTTTTCACATTGCTTGTCTATTCAGTGTAGGAAATAATCGTCGCTACCTCCACAACTGTTGTAATATTTTTATTATTTTTACTATGTATGACTCCTACTGGACCGTCTACACATTATTATGTAAAAGAAACATCCCTGTGTGTTTTCCAATATCAATTAAACAGGAGACGAACACTGGTCGCGGAAAGGGACAACTACATACTTTTCACATTGCTTGTCTATTCAGTGTAGGAAGTAATCGTCACTACCTCCAGAACTGTTGTAATATATTTATTATTTTTACTATGTATGACTCCTACTGGTCACTCTACACATTATTATATCAAAGAAACATCCATGTGTGTTTTCCAATATCAATTAAACGGGAGACGAACAGTGGTCGCGGAAAGGGACAACTACAGACTTTTCATATTGCTTGCTTATAGCATGTGGGTAAATAGTGGTCACTACCTCTACAACTGTTGAAACATAATGATATGACTCCTACTGGTCACTCTACACATTATTATACAAAAGAAAGATCCCTGTGTGTTTTCCAATATCAATTAAACAGGAGACGAACACTGGTCGCGGAAAGGGACAACTACAGACTTTTCATATTGATTGGATATGGCGCGTGGGTAAATAGTGGTCACTACGTCCACAGCTGTTGTAATATATTTATTATTTTTACTATGTATGACTCCTACTGGACCGTCTACACATTATTGTACAAACGAAACATCCCTGTGTGTTTTCCAATATCAATTAAACAGGAGACGAACACTGGTCGCGGAAAGGGACAACTACAGACTTTTCACATTGCTTGTCTTTTCAGTGTAGGAAATAATCGTCGCTACCTCCACAACTGTTGTAATATTTTTATTATTTTTACTATGTATGACTCCTACTGGACCGTCTACACATTATTATGTAAAAGAAACATCCCTGTGTGTTTTCCAATATCAATTAAACGGGAGACGAACACTGGTCGCGGAAAGGGACAACTACAGACTTTTCACATTGCTTGTCTATTCAGTGTAGGAAGTAATCGTCACTACCTCCAGAACTGTTGTAATATATTTATTATTTTTACTATGTATGACTCCTACTGGTCACTCTACACATTATTATATCAAAGAAACATCCCTGTGTGTTTTCCAATATCAATTAAACGGGAGACGAACACTGGTCGCGGAAAGGGACAACTACAGACTTTTCATATTGCTTGCTTATAGCATGTGGGTAAATAGTGGTCACTACCTCCACAACTGTTGAAACATAATGATATGACTCCTACTGGACCGTCTACACATTATTATATAAAAGAAAGATCGCTGTGTGTTTTCCAATATCAATTAAACAGGAGACGAACACTGGTCGCGGAAAGGGACAACTACAGACTTTTCATATTGATTGGATATGGCGCGTGGGTAAATAGTGGTCACTACGTCCACAGCTGTTGTAATATATTTATTATTTTTACTATGTATGACTCCTACTGGACCGTCTACACATTATTATGTAAAAGAAACATCCCTGTGTGTTTTCCAATATCAATTAAACAGGAGACGAACACTGGTCGCGGAAAGGGATAACTACAGACTTTTCATATTGATTGTCTGTTGAGTGTAGGAAGTAATCGTCGCTACCTCCAGAACTGTTGTAATATATTTATTATTTTTACTATGTATGACTCCTACTGGTCACTCTACACATTATTATATCAAAGAAACATCCATGTGTGTTTTCCATTATCAATTAAACGGGAGACGAACAGTGGTCGCGGAAAGGGACAACTACAGACTTTTCATATTGCTTGCTTATAGCATGTGGGTAAATAGTGGTCACTACCTCTACAACTGTTGAAACATAATGATATGACTCCTACTGGTCACTCTACACATTATTATACAAAAGAAAGATCCCTGTGTGTTTTCCAAT